ACCCCCGGGGGTAGGGCGGGGCCACAATAGGAAATACAAGTTTTACATTGAAATATATAGGAAAAATCTTTAAAAATCTTCTTCTCAAGAACCACTGGACCAGAAAAGCTGAAACTTATGTGGAAGCATCCTGGGGTAGTGTAGATTCTAAATTGTTCAAATCATGACCCCCAGGGGTAGGGCGGGGCCTCAATAGGAAATACATTGTCAAGTTTTACATAGAAATATATAGGAAAAATCTTTAAAAATCTTCTTCTCAAGAACCACTGGACCAGAAAAGCTGAAACTTATGTGGAAGCATCCTGGGGTAGTGTAGATTCTAAATTGTAAAAATCATGACCCCTGGGGGTAGGGCGGGGCCACAATAGGAAATACAAGTTTTACATTGAAATATATAGGAAAAATCTTTAAAAATCTTCTTCTCAAGAACCACTGGACCAGAAAAACTGAAACTTATGTGGAAGCATCCTGGGGTAGTGTAGATTCTAAATTGTTCAAATCATGGCCCCTGGGGGGAGGGTGGGGCCACAATAGGTATTACAAGGGGGGAGTCTGGTAATGAACAGCATGGCCAAAGTTACTCAGGTGAGCGATGTGGCCCATGGGCCTCTTGTTTTAGATTGGTCATTGCTCGCTATCTTCCCTTTTTGCATTGAATCAATCTTTACCTAGGATGTTCCATTAAAGCAAGGTATAAAACATGCTCTTTTCTAATGGTGTTCTGAGTTGTTATAAGTTGATTACTTAATTACATATGGCTGTTAGACAGTATAGTCAAAAATAAAAATGACATCAGAAAATTCTCCTTGACTGAATAAAAATAATGTACATTGTTCGTGCATTATTCAAGAGGTTTTTATTCTTTTTAAATCAATACAAAAAAGATATGATATACATAATTTGTACTTAAGAGGGTCCTAAGATTGTAGACGTCATACTTTTGCAGGCCAATGTCCCTCTGGTGGTCAAACTATCGGTGAAGCTAATCCAAAGGGAAAGGAACTAGACACGTTTGGGACAGGTAAGTATTTCTTTAATCTATTTTTTTTTTAAATGTATGCAATATTATCTTAATCTAGTTGACAATATATACAATTAAAATCAATTTGCCTCTAATTTTTGTGTGCAAATAATAACATGGATATTTCAGATGGTTGTTTACATTGTATATGAAATAGAGATATAAAATGTTTATCACATAAGTATACACATCATATATAGGATGGCTGTGTACAACCATGATCAGAAGATTGATGACAATTTTGACCAAACGTGTGAACGGTTTATTCTTGTTTCAGATTTATAATGAATCAAATTATGCAATGTGCATCAGGTTTTCGTAAAGCAGATAGAATAAAGATTTAAGAACTAATAAATCAACTAAAAAAATCAACGCATATGAAAAAATATGGATCAGATGCAATCCTGCTGATCAGAATATTTTTAAATTAATCTGGATAAAATCATTCTTGGATTATACTAGTAATCAAAACTTATTATCTATCTAAGGGTTCTATGGACACTTAAGTTCATAATTAGATCATGACAGCAATCTAAACTGAATCACTTAGCAAACTCTCTAGAACAGAGTATTACTTTAAAAGGTAAATTTAGATCATGGTTTTATTTAAACAGATGATAATAATAATAATAATATATTTAAAGAAGGTAGGATAATCTGTGTGCCAATCTTTTCTTCCTCGACGCCTTCAAATTGCAACAATACCGTCACGGTTCTCCATCGGGATAGCTCTCGCTCCGTGAATGGAAGGTCGTGGTTTCAAATCCTTGTCGCGACTGACCTAAGACGATGAAAAATAGGCAGCAACCATTCCTTCGCGAAGCGCCCGGCATTAGGAGTGAAAGTCACGGGCTTTCGGCTGAGATCTTAAAAACCGAGATCCCGTGTCAAGGTAGGCGTTGGCACCATAAAGATCCCTCACTGTTCAATGTTCCTAAGTGCCGAGAAAAGGTCTAAATTTGAAGCCCTTCGTCGTTACTGTAGATTCCTTATTGTACGCGAGTACTTAATATCGCGAAATGGCCCAAGGGCGTCAAATTGCGAGAAAAATAATTCGCGAATGAGTAATTTATCTAGAAATTTTACAAACATTAAAGCACTATAAAAATAAAAGAGAATAATTTTATTTCGCGAGTGGTGCTTCTCGCGTAATTACGCGATAATTTATTCCTCGCGTATATTTAGGAATCTACAGTATATGGTGATGTCTCTATATGAGTGAAATATTTTCGAATGGGACGTAAAACAACATACAATCAATCAATCTCTTAGTCCATCTTGAGGATAACTCCACATAATTCCATAAATGAGAGCATTTCAACCATATAAGACACACATGTTTTTTTTTTTTTTTTTTTTTTTTTTTTTTTTTTGAGAATGAGTTAAAACAAATGAGACAATAGTAGGTGTTTGATATATAGGATGAATCAACACCCATTTTCCATTTTACAAAGATAAGTACTGATTGTATCAAATCTATATAAAGAAACAATTAAGTTTCCTTCTTTCCTCATGATTTCATAATCAATTTTTTTTCAATTTTATTTATAAAACAACATAATTCTAGCTAGAAAGTATACGAATAAAAACGTAAGAAGCCGTAAAAAGATAAAACTTTTAAAAAGCCAGCTTTAAAGATGAAATTGCAAACTATAATAGAAATATTGCGTGGTAGCTACTGTAGTAAAGTGCTTGATAAAAATATTAGCAATTTCTTGCCAATGTTAGCTTCTGAGTCATTTTACATGATATGAGTAGGAGTCAGATTGTAAGATTTAGATGACAATTGATTTAATACCATACCATGTGCATGCTTGAATTTGTATATTTATATTATTTGTTGTAAATGTATCATATACATGTAATTACCTACTTTACCACTTTTTGAGGTAGAGACCGTTCCTTCGGATGACCGTATAAACTGAGGTTCCTTGTCGCAGTAGGTGTTGGCACAAAAAAATTCCTAACTGCTCAAAGGACGTACGTGCCGAGTACAGGTCTAAGTTTGTAGCCCTCCACCGGCAAGTAGTGGCATTTCAATATGAATGAAAAATTTTTAAAGGGACGTTAAACAAGCAAACGAAAAACAAAAAAAAAAAAAAACATCTGGTTGATTTTGTTGAAAAGAGTTGCTTGTCGAGATAAGAGTAGTTCCGTATGCTGACATACCTAGTATTCTATAATTTTATATACTACACTAACACCTGATTACTACAACATAGATCGGATTAACTGAATACTATCTAAATCCTATTTATCCAAAAATGAAGTGCAAATCAATTTTGTGGAGTCATACCAGTGCAGTAAGGACTGCCAAGCCTGCATGCCAGCACTTTCTGTGCCACAGAACATTTTGCTTTTAAGACCTGAAATTCCAATTCTTGTCTCTAGCATTAGTTAACATATATATGATCTCTTTCAATTATCAGATTAGCCCATCCGAATTCCACCTACTGAACTTTTCAAATCTATTGTACATTGCCGTTAATGTGTATGATATATTAACTGCCTAGCAGATTACTTTTTTAGCTCACCTGAGCTGAAAGCTCAAGTGAGCTTTTCTGATCACATTTTGTCCGTCGTCCGTCTGTCCGTCTGTCTGTCTGTCTGTCCGTCCGTCTGTAAACTTTTCACATTTTTGACTTCTTCTCCAGAACCACTGGGCCAATTTCAACCAAACTTGCCATGAAGCATCCTTGGGTAAAGGGGATTCAAGTTTTTTCAAATGAGGGGCCACGCCCTCTTTCAAGGGGAGATAATTAGGAATTAGTGAAAAAATAATGGCGTCATTTAAAAATCTTCTTCTCAAGAACCACTGGGCCAGAAAAGATGAAACTTATGTGGAAACATCCTCAGGTAGTGTAGATTCAAGTTTGTTCAAATCATGACCCCCGGGGGTAGGGTGGGGCCACAATGGGGGATCAAAGTTTTACATAGAAATATATAGGAAAATATCTTTAAAAATCTTCTTCTTAAGAACAGCAAAGCCATGATTGGTCATATTATATGGAAGCATCCTTAGGTAGTGTAGATTCAAGTTTGTTCAAATCATGACCCCCGGGGGTAGGGTGGGGCCACAATGGGGGATCAAAGTTTTACATAGAAATATATAGGAAAATATCTTTAAAAATCTTCCTCTTAAGAACAGCAAAGCCATGATTGGTCATTTTTATATGGAAGCATCCTCAGGTAGTTTAGATTCAAGTTTGTTCAAATCATGACCCCCGGGGGTAGGGTGGGGCCACAATGGGGGATCAAAGTTTTACATAGAAATATATAGGAAAATATCTTTAAAAATCTTCCTCTTAAGAACAGTAAAGCCATAATTGGTCATATTTATATGGAAGCATCCTCAGGTAGTGTAGATTCAAGTATGTTCAAATCATGACCCCCGGGGGTAGGGTGGGGCCACAATGGGGGATCAAAGTTTTACATAGAAATATATATGAAAATATCTTTAAAATTCTTCCTCTTAAGAACAGTAAAGCCATAATTGGTCATATTTATATGGAAGCATCCTCAGGTAGTGTAGATTCAAGTTTGTTCAAATCATGACCCCCGGGGATAGGGTAGGGCCACAATGGGGGATCAAAGTTTTACATAGTAAATATATGGGAAAAAAATCTGCTGCTCAAGAACAGCAAAGCAATTTGTTATATTGAAATGAAAGCATCATTAGGTAGTTTAAAATTCACCCCCCCCCACCCCATAAACTTTTCAATGCTGAACTGATTTTTGCTTTTTTTCCTAGCCAATGTGCTCAGGTGAGCGATGTGGCCCATGGGCCTCTTGTATTAATTATACCTATTCTTTGAATATGTTTCTTTGAAATATGATTTTCCGTTTTTAGGATTGGGAATCCTGCTGGATGCCACTGACAATAAATACATGATCGATTGTTGTGGAATGGTGTCCGTTTGGGGGTTTTACGTCCAAACGAATCCAGGAACAGTCAGTCTACAAATATGGCGCCCCGAAGGAGGAGGGCAGTTTAAACTTGTTGGAGAGAACAGCTATACCGTGTCTGGTGAAAATTTTATTTTGCATCTTTTGATAGGTCCTCAATATTGGAAATCAAGAAGTGTTTTGGGCTCAAATTATTCTCAAAGATTGTTTTTCAGAACATAAGATGAATTTTATCAGAGTATATCATTTAGAATGCACATGCATTCAAAATGCAAAAACAGTTTTTATTAGTATTCGATTTATTTCCAAAAATTATACTTGACTAAATTTATTGCTTGAAAATATATTTTGCTTTACAGGTGGAGACGAAGACAGCGATTTCCTCTACAATGTCCCAACAAACGAGAGAATCTCTGTACGGGATGGTGACTACATCGGATTGTAAGCTTTGTTGCTAGTTCAGAAGTCACATTTAGAATGTTTGCTATCTATCAGGCACAAAAGCTATCTACTGTTCTGTTTAATCAAAACAAAATTTAGTTTCAAAGACTTCGAATCAAAGAATCAGAGAGTCTATCATGGATTCTAAAGAGTTATAACTCACTATCTAATAGAGAGAGAGAGAGAGAGAGAGAGAGAGAGAGAGAGATTTATCAAATGTTTGGTTTAGGTATTTTTAGTCCCCTACCGGTGAAACCGCAGGGGACTATAGGTTTCCTCTGAGTCTGTCCGTCCGTCTGTCTGCCTGTCCGTCTGTCTGTCTCTCTGTCTGTCCGTCCGTCTGTCAGTCTGTCCCACTTGGTTTTCCGCACTTTTTTCCTAAACGCTTGCAGATATTAATCTGATTTTTGGTATGTGAGTGTATCTTGATGAGTTACAGATCAAGTTTTCATTTCGTTCCGCTTCATTGATTTTTGACGGAATTACGGCCTTTTCAATTTTTAGGGGTTTTCCGCAATTTTCTTCTAAACGCTTTCAGATACTGAGCTGATTTTTGGTATGTGACTTTACCTTGATTAGTTATAGAACAAGTTCGCATTTCGTCCCACGTCATTGATTTTTGACTGAATTATGGCATTTTCAATTCTTAACGGGAACCAGATTACACTTGCCGGTAGGGGACTAGTATTGCTAATGCAATACTCTCAGAATGCTTGTTTCAGATTGTAATTATGCATTAGAAAACATTTTTTTTTTAAATAGATTATTAATAAAACAAAGGTGTACAAGCCAGGGAGGTATGAATCGGGGGGGGGGGGGGTTCCCGTCCTCAAGCACCTTTGGTTAGAGCTAGCTTCATCATAGTCTATGATAAAACATATTAGAATTATCTTCACCGTTTCAGTTACACGGCTGGTGCTCCTATGATCTCTCATAAAATAGTTGGAGGCACATCTAAAAGTTCTACCTATACTACCACTATGGGAGCCCAGATCGTGGGCAGCACGTACAACTGGGGAACGGAGTCCCCTGATACCAGAAAAGAGTACTACATAAACGTTCAGCTGCTTCCGGGTAAGTATTTAATACCTGTACAAGTAATAGATTTTCAAAAAGATTTCCTGACTAAAGCGAATAATATCCATAGAACATATATATATATATATATATATATATATATATATATATATATATATATATATATATATATATATATATATAATATATATAATTATGATAAGTAATATACATTTTACGGTCCATTTCCTTCGGGAGGGGGATATTTCTTTCGTGTACATTTTGAAGACTTTGTACAAAACATCATGTTTTTTTTAAGTTTAAGTTGTTTGCTACTCAACAGAAGAATGGGAAGGGAACAAAAATTTAAACATATAATTTTTTTGTTTGTATCTCAATCAACAGGAATACAAGTGGAAATGTACAGTACATGTACATACATGTGGATAACATTTGAAATATGAGAATGTAGTTATACATGTATATATAGAGATAATATGACGTGATATAAAGGATTCTTTAAATGGCTTTAAATCAGACCGAACTAAATAAGAAAAGCAAATTAATGTACGTTCTTCATGCTGGGAAGCTGTGGTTGAGTAAAAGTTAAACGAAATTGAAGATAAGAAATGCTTTAAGATAACTGAAAATATGATAACTATTTACCAATTCCAATTTAAAGAAATGAATAGCTGCTTTATTGAGTCTCAATTGTAGCTAGTAATTTAATTCATTATCATTTAAAAGAAATATTATACTCTTACAATTTTGAAGACAAATTACAATGTTTTCAAAACTTAACATAAGAAGTAAGGGTGTATAAGGATTTCCATGGTAAATTTGAATGAAATCGTTATGACAATGTTGTGTATTAGATGAATAATAAAATGTATTACTGCAGAAAAGTTCACCAAATGTTGACAACAAACTATCATGATCAAGAAGGGTGCACACAATTTCCCTTGTTGAAGTGGATATCTTTTGAAAAAGATACTGTCTGAAGACATTTCTATTTATTGTCCTGGAATGAAAAAAATTGAATCAATATGCTTTATCTTCAGAGAAATGTATATTGAAATTATTAACAAGAATTGTTAATGATTATATAGACATGCATAATGTTTACACATGCATCAATACTGAGCAAATGTAGATCTATGAATGTCGAGAGGCACAGAGGTCAAACTCGGAAATATTTTGACAAGCAAAAAAAGTAATCCCAATTCTCAAACCTGATAAACCTATTGTGTGTGTGTGTGTGTGTGAGGGGGAGCCACTTTCCTAATTTTTCCCCAGATATTAATATATGACTCTTCTTACTTTCTAAGAGAAGTCCGGGTTTCCCGAAGGTTATTTCTTTGTTACTTTTACATAGAGCTTTTAACTCTGAAAATCCCAGAGGGCGGACTCCCCTGATCCCCTGATTTGATAACCCGCGAAATAAATTAAGAAGAAAAACTGCTAATTCATTACTCTGCTGTTGCCTGCCCATATACGATATGCAATTTTTTTATATGAGAGACGAATAAAAATTCTAAAGCTTGAGAAATAGGTCAAAGAACAAACTTATTTAATTTCATGGAATATAACAATAGAACAATTAAAGAAAAAGATGCGAAGATTTACTCGTGACATTGGCTCGGAATGATTTGTGTCACCCATTTACTAGAAGACAAAATGAAATGGACTAATCCGGTAATTTAAAGAAACGCCAAAAAAGTTACACGGACATATGTCCGTATAGGGATGGCATGGAATAAAAAACTAGGGGAAGTAAACACATCAATATTTTAAATCAGTAATATGACGTATTGTTTCTTCTGGTAAGTGTTGTTGTTAAAACGTACGTATCAAATTCCGATGTAAATCAGCTTGCAAAAAACTTGGCTGGCTAGCTGTCAACTTTTAGTTTAGCACCACGGAAAAATTGATCCTGGCGTGAAACAATCAATTGATACTATGAAAACTTAATGTGATCGAACTTACCACCCAGTTTACTATATTTCATAAAATTGATACTTTCATTTTTTCCTTTAGCTGTAACATGTGTTACTTCAGACCCAGTTTTAGTAGCAACGTTCATTTAAGTGGAAATGGAAGGGAGACAAAAAATAACGAGCAATAAAAAACTAAACTACATGGACTACAGCATCCTTTTAATTAGGGGAAAGGGGGATTGGGATTCTAACTTTAACGTTTGAACCATAACCATTTAATGTAGAATAATTTGACAGAGATCGACCATACTGCAACAAAGAGAGAATCATAACCAAATGTTTCATATCAAAGCACTTGAAATTGAACTTGTTTACCTCATAATCAAAATAAGTATCCTTTTAGTAAAAGGGAATCATAAAAACCTCAAAGAAAACTTCTGTTTTCATTTGGAACCATTTTATGCAATATTTATGAATTGATGACCAAGACATCAAAATCACCATTGCTTTTCTTTCAAACATATGGAGATCTGATATAAAATATCTCAATAAAATCTTAAGGAGAACTAAAGGCACCCTCTTGGAACTATTTTATGCAAAATATGAATTGATAAATTTGATCTTTGACTTTTTGTCGCAAAATCCATTTGTGTGTTTCTAATGTTTACAATTTAATTTATACATATGTACATGATTTCTTCCACACGATAGGTAATATACCATCACTATCAAACCTGAATGCTACTGTGACATTTCCGGATAGTACTGTCGCCAACACTTTGATGTATACAGTGCAGTGGAGTGATGACGACCCTTTTGATATCCTAACTGTTGCCATGACAACAGTAACGTCATCATTTTCCTTAAATACCACAAATGGTAAAGCTACTTCATTTGAAATTCAGAAGAGTACGCGTTTTACACTTTTAAGGAGGTTCAATGAGCTTTTGAGCAGATTTGTGTCTGGACCTCTTTTGCTATAATTCAACATCCTATTTATATTAGGATTCTACAATACCAATTAATCTATATTCAGTTAAAACCCATGATTAAATTCTACACGGAAAGCATTAAGTTATGACATATTTTTTCGTAGCGGAAGGTTTTTATAGAAGAAAATGAACAATTTTTCTCTTTCGAAATATTTACAGTACATGTTTTTATTAAGTTTTGATTCCTTTTTTCCATGCAGGCTTCACACAGAGTTATTTTGTGCAGTAAAGATATGTTTGCTGATCCCAAATTGTGTACATGTATTAAATTATCTATTATAAATTCAAATATCATATTTTGACAATTACAGCAAATACATATATATTGTGAAAGTTCAGGGAAAAAAAATAGCCCAAACTTTAATAAAATATTTAAATACTAAGTTTTTACTTCATAGACCCCCGTTTTCAATTATTTTCTAAAAATATAAGAAAACTTTGACCATTCTGCTTGAATTCTTTAAAATTTTAAGAATTTAAATTGAATTTAATGCTTGTTAAATTTATAATACCAGAAAAATTGCATTTTTTGAGAGCAGAAATGTCAAATAATTGATTTTTCGAAGTAATTTGAGACTTAGACACAATTTTTAATGTGTCTATTTAAAGTAAAATTTGAAAAAAGATTGTATTTGATCTCGTGATTTATTTTGATAAAAAAATAATATTTACATTCGGAAATGTTTTCCCTTATATAACACTATTTGAGCAAGGCATATTTAGGTCAGTGTATAAACAGGTTCGTCACCTAACAGTCAATTTATTGTTTGGTCATAAACGATCAATGTAATTTCATAGTGACGTCATAAAAGGTCGACATGTTAAACACATTTAATTCATATACGGTTGAAGTTAGAAAAATAAATCTTGTCAAGGTTTTAAAACTATAGTACTCAAATATTTGTTAAAAATCAGTCACAAATGTAAATATAAGTAATACAGAATCATTTCAAAACTTTTATCGGGATGTAAATACGGGTTGGTATGAGATCAAATCAGGCTTTATGGGATTTGATCACATGACCAACCCGTATTTACATCCCGATAAAAGTTTAAAAATGATACCTTATTTCTTAATTGAAAAGAAAAAAAATTGAAAAACTGATTGAGTTGTAAGACGCAATTTCAGAACAAAAAGGTCATATTAAATGCACCATATCGCCAAAGAAGCATTTTGACCTCCATTTTTTGTTTTGATCCTTAATTAAGCTATGTGTCTAGATACTAAAAAATATACTTGACAAAAAATTCTTCTGATAGCAAGATCAAACCGCCGTAATCATAGAAGATGGCGAAAATGATAGGTGATGATGAACTCAATTTTTGTTTTTCGTCTTTTTATCTACATGAGTAAAATAAATATTGCTTCATGAACCAACAAATGCTATTTAGTCTATTGAATCATTTCTGCCCTTACCATATAACACATGATAAATATGAAAAAAGTTAGTATTATCATTTTAACCTGCTGCTGGTCTACTTCATGAAATAGTCCATTCTTATGGTATCTTATTACTCTTTCACTCATTAATTTAGGAGAGGTGAAAAATACTGGAGCACTGCCGTATGGAAACAATAGTCTGACGTTCACAGTAACTGACGACTGCGGACTTACGGACACAGGATTCCTAACAATAAGGGTCACCAATAGTGTATGAAGAGTGTTATTAAACTAGTACTAGATAATTTGTAAAATAACTATATATATATATATATATATATATATATATATATATATATATATATATATATATATATATATATATATATATATATATATATATATATTAAAATAATAATAATAATATTCAGATAACAATTATATGATCATTTAAAAATGCATGGTAAAAACGAATACACAGTTTGTTAATATTGTGAATAGTGTCCAAGTTTGAAAAGCTTAGATTACAATAACAATGTGTTTACAGGTACCTGTTATAATCAATTTGCCAGCCACAGCGGACATAACCGAGGATCAGGGTGATGAGCTACTTCTTTATACCCTTAACGTCACAGACGAATCTCCTGTAGACACTATAACCTGTAGTATCGCCAACTCTAATCCCACCACAGATAATTTCTTCTCCAGGATTGTTGCCGGTTCCAGTAAGAATAAAATCGAAAAGTTAATAACTAAAATATTGAATAAATACATGAATTGTGTTCAAGTATATATTAAGAATTTCTTACATAAAGCAGCTGAAGTTTTTAGCAAGAAAACGATTGCCATTCTGATGCTCTAATGTCACAGCACTTGGACACAAACAAAAATAAAAAGTTCATCAAAATATTTAAAAATATATTCAGGATGTTGTCTGACTTGCGAATATTAGTTTTATATTTGTATTAAGCTTTCAGAACATGAAAACAATACCACCCATTAATTTTCGTTTTACATTTTGAAAGACGGAACGAAATTTATACAAAAATTTCCTGCTTTATCAACCACAAAACACGTTAATCTTCAATGTCATAAGAGTTTCTTGACATATAAACATAATATGTTTTTTTTTTATTTTACAGCAAATTACGGTATCTATATTGAAGCCCTACCATCGCTTTCCTATGATACAGCGCGTCAGTATATATTGACCATATCTTGTTCGGACACAAAAGATACGACTCAGGGGACTTTTATTGTTTACGTCACAAAGAACAACCCTCCAGTGTTTACAAATCTCCAAGGTTTGACGACGATATTTTTTCGCCTTCTTCTCTAAATTGTAATTCATATTATGTAAAAAGTATCGACGTTCAAATTTACATGCTAGTAAGTTTATCTGACTTGAGAATGTTTGAATTTGAAACAATGTGGTTTCATTATAAAATGTGTCACTCAATTAATTTTTTTTTTAAATCATTTAGCATACTAGTGCCAAGTAATATTTTAAAGGTGGATATTCCATTTTTATAGCTTGCTTTACCAACTTTAATCTTTGCTTTTCAACGTTAATCTTGGCTTTTCCATCTTTAGAGATGGTAATTCCTTTAATCATCGATTTTCCAACATTGAAGTTGGTAATTACAACTTTAAAATTCACTTTCCCAACTTTATTCTATGTTTTTCCAACTTTAAAGTTGAAAAAGCAAACTTCAAAAGTGATAATTTCAACTTCAAAAAATGGCTTTTCCTGCTTCAATCTTTTTTTTTCCAACTTTTTACGGCTTATTCGTTTTATTCGTATACTTTGTAGCTGGACTTTTGTCAATGTTTTATTATTACAATGGAAAGAGACGATTTGATTATGAAATTATAGTAAAGGAAGAACTAATTTCAATGTTTTTCATATATAGAATGGATACATTTAGTACAGTTGTCTTTTAGCATGAAAATGTGATGATTCATCCTGTATATCAAATTCCTAATATGGTTTCATTTTGTTTAAACCCATTCACAACAAATTTATGTATGTCTGATCTCAAAGAAATGGTTGAAATATCACCTGCAAATGGGGTTTATGTCTCTCAGTTGTTTCGATGCGCAAAAACATGCTCTATGGATGAACAATTTCTAAAACGAGGCAAACTATTGACAAACATGTTAATGAAACACGGATATCAACAGTCTCGTTTGAAGTTATCATTTCGCAAGTTCTAGTCGACACAATGACCTTGTCAGCACATACAACATATCATTAAGTCAAATGCTGACTGATGTTTTTCTTACTAATTGTTAGGCGATTATATACTGAACTGTCTACGAATTTTTCCGGGTTTTTTTCGATCATGACAAGGAGCACAAAGCGGATGTGACCGGTCGGTAGAGGATGCTCACTCCTCCATGGCACCTGATCCCACCTCTAAATTTTGAGGTCCGTGTTTGCTCTGCTCCAAATTTGTATCGTATCATTGGACTTTCGAAATTGAATACTGTTCGTTATTTTCATATTTCATGCTATCATTAACAGAGTTGTATGAAGTTATCCTCTATAAAATTATAAAAGATGTACCAAGAGAAATATAAGGGCTTGTAAAGATAGAAGCTATATGTAAGGTCATATGACACTGTTTTATTTCTCACTGATTTGTTTCAGTGTATTTTATTTGCAGTAATAAATTTGATTTTAAGTTATAAAAGCTCAAATTTAGATTAAAAAAGCCAAGATTAAAGTTGAAATTATCAACATTAAAGTTGACATTACAAACTTTAAAGTTGGAAATACCAACTTTAAAGTTGGACAAGTCAACTTGGCACTAATACGCTTCCGTAATTTAACAACTGTTTTATTAATTATTCCAGCCACAAAGACTATTGCTGTATCCAATACCACCACTGGTTCTATAATATATACAGTGGCGTCAACGGATTCTGATTCAAATCAGCTTTATTATAATATGACTTGTGTCCCCGCAGCCTGTCCATTCACAATTCACAACTGTATGTTGCTTTTGAACTTCATAGAAAACAAAGCTATCAGCATTTGATATATGACTTTACAACAGGTTTTACAGACATACTTGTTCGTTTGTTAATACATTTCGTAGTTGGCCTTTTCAGCTGGTATGTAACACCCCCCCCCCCACCCCCCGTGAAAAAAAAAAATCATGGATTTGCACATAATAGGTTTTCTCTAAATAGTAACCATTTTATTTCAACTCTCAATGTAACTTTTTTTTCAAATTTCAAAAACCAAGAGGAAAAAAGATTTAAAATGCATTAATGAGATTTATTGGGGATTATGTTTCTCTACAGTTTCTTTTAGCAGGATGATTTTGTAAACATTATGATCGTTTTTCAACAAACTTTCTTTTTTCGTTTCACTCTTTTTTCTTTGTTTGTATCGTCTCAACTATTTGTAGCTTGGTCATATTGTGTCATAAATAAAGAACTTTTTTACTTACACCCCATCAAATGCTCTCCGGGATTTCCAAAAACATACGCTGTGTGGAATCGAGGACATATATATCGAGTTTTGTCATTAAAATATTGATCTTTAGTGCAACACTCAAATTTTCCACTTTAATTTTTATTTCTCTACAGCAGGAGAAATTATATCTACTTCGGATTTATCCCAGCATACTGTGCCAGGTTATGATTTATACGTGTATGTCAGTGATGGAAAAACTCTTGTAGGACCACGAACACTCACTGTGATCATCTCTGGTAAGGCATTACTACTGAGCCATCCTTCCTTCTGATAATTGTTGAATTATCGTCAATCGTTTTATAAAGAGCCATTCTGTGTACGTATTAATTTTTTATCACGCATGATCCCGGATTTCTTGAAACTTTATACATTGGTAGGTCATTATCCTCCAAACGAAACAAATTATTTTGAGTTGCTATGAATTTCTGTTACCATGGCAACGGCTCTAAAAGTTGAAAAACTTTGGCTGCTTTCATTCCTATTTGTGGGTTTGCACGGTGAAAAAGAATGTAAATTACTAAAGAGGTTAAAATGACGACTTATTGCTAAATATGGTAAAAAAAAACACAACCCATGGGGATCTACGTTATTTAGATAGGTAACTATGGTTACCGGTACATTGAAACAAAATTTTGAAATTAAGAACATTTATATGACTTCTACTTTTTAAGGACAGATGATACAAACAAACTTTTGTCAAAAAATTGGAAAATAACAACTTTAGTCGTGTTCAAAGGAGTAAAATGAATAACTTAAACTGCATAGATTTTCATTTTTCATTGAAATTTTCACAATAATGAGTTTTAAGAGGCCAAAAGTTGTATAGATTTATAAGAATGGCTGCAGAAATGTAGAATTTTGAGCATCACAGAAAGTTTACAATTTCTTCATATTTTAGAAATTTGTTATTCGCATCATTTACAAATAGGTCAAAAAACATATATCAATCCAGGCATCCATTTTTTTTTTTTTTTTTTTTTTTTTTTTTTTTATTATTTTTTTTTTATTTATTTATTTTTTTTTTTTTTTGGTATCATCTGTCCTTAAGTCTATTTTAGTCTCAAGCTATTATTTGAAAGAATAAACAAAGCAAATGATACAACCCATCAAAAGATAATTGAAAGGAATAAACACACATAAAAATTGAGTACTGGTTTCTTGGTTGCCATAGAAACAAAACTCTTAAGCTGCAGTTATTGTGTAGAAACTAAGTATATTCTCTCTCAAATTCTAACAAGAAAAAAAACCTTATTAGAATCTATTCATTGATACGATTACACATATAATAAGTTACAATAAATTGCAGAACATAAAATTTTTTTTAAAAAAAAAGATGTTTGAAAAAAAATCTATGGAAGTTACCAGTGATTCAGTAGAATCATGCAGTTTTGCTTTAAGAAACTATATTCATGTATACGATTTTCATCAATGATTTTTATTTAAACTATGCATAAACTATGTTCATCTATCAGATTGTATCTGACAAACTGAATATTTGATTATTGATTGTCATTTAGAATATATCTTGGTTAACATGGTTTCTATGCAGTAAAAGTGTTTATATAAATAAAATTTCAACTTTGTATCTGATAATTCCTTCTTGTATTTAGATTTAAACTTATTAATAGATGGAAATGACATTTAGTTCACTGATTTTTAAATAATCATGATAAAAGTATGGGCAATTTTCTTGAAAGGTGTCCAAGGGAACAAATATGAACATACCTAAAATAATAGATTTTTTTACTTTCATATCAACGCCATATACATGTATTTCTCTTTTTTGGTTTTTACTCTAGTTATGAAGACATCAATATGTACTCTTTATAAATTTTAAAAAAAAAAAAAATTGTTTTATTTTTTTATGCCAGACACCTATTAAGATTGGATATATATTTCATTTTATGGTTCTTTTCCATAGCAACAACGTATTTGTTTTAAAAACTTATAAAAGTTATAAAACCTTTCATTTGTACGTACTATCAATTGTAATATTCAAAAGATTTGAAACAAATATTCAATGAAAATCTACCATATAAAAATAAGAATTTCACTTTTAAGTTTCCACTGTAACACCACAATTTGGATATATTCTCCATGGACTTTTATAATACTATTAAACATGAAGACTAAAACTTCGAATTCATGTTTCAGCAATTATTATGCAGTTAGATTTCAATTTTTTTAAAAGTATTTTTTCCCAGCTTTTAGACCATTGAAAACCATTTTTCTTTGACATCCCAGATTCTCCGTAATTATTTCTTGAATGAAGTTTTTAATGAAGTTTTAGATTCTACAAAGTTTTGAGGGAATCTGTGATTATGTGTGCCACACTACTTATTAAAAAAGTGTAAATCCTTGCAGAAAATGACTCATTAAAAATGTTACTTATTATAGTAACGTCTCTACAGTTTAAATATAATGACTGGCGCTGATCTGCCATAGATTTTAAAACTTTCAACTCAAAGAAAATTAAAACCCAAAGACAATCAAACCTCAATTTAATTTGAAAATAATAGTCAATTTTTAAGCCCGTCATTGGCTGTCTCTGAACTTTGTCTGATTTGAAATCGAAGTCATGTTAAGGACAGATGATACAAACTTTCTTCAAAAATCAAGAAAATAACACTTAATTAAAAGCTATATTTAAATAAGTCAAATAAAAAACCCATTTAATATTATTATATAGCCAAAAGATATTTTTTCATTCGAGTTTTCACAATAATTGTCCTATACTCTGATTTTAAAAAATCGTACAGTTTTATAAGGAAAACGGCAAAACGGTAGAATTTTGAACAGCTTAGAAAATCTACAATAACTTAATATTTAAGAAATTTTATAACTGTGCATTTTCTTTTTCTTTTATGATTATTTTTACTGTGTGACATTAACGTTTGACTACTTTTGAATTGTATTTATTTTTTTGGTATCAACTTTCCCAAACAATGTATTTAACAGGTATAAACACAGCCCCCGTGATCACAAACTTACCGCTGGCGGCGCCCATCATTGTGCCGGAGAACTCAGCTTTTGCTATGTCTGTGTTCCAAGTATCTGTGTCTGACGTGAATTCGGCTGACAAGCACACCTACACTGCCTCTTTTAACCCAAGTCTAGGTTCCACACTTTTCTCACTAAACACTGCCAGTAAGTTTGTCTAAACTTTGAAGGAATCTCTTTAGCAGGTACATGTAGTTTTTTAAAATGCTAAATAGTGCGATAGCATTTTCACTTCTATAAAGAATTGAAGAGCTGAAGAACATTTTTGTCATTAGTGTATTCTGTTATTGTTCTAATATGGATCTATTCATATGACTTTTTGGTAATACTGGAACACCGTTAATAAACCATATTTATATTGCTTCATGTACATGTTCATGTATTTCAAGTAAATGTATAATCTACCTTAATTTTCTTTTTTAAATTTACATCTTTTACCGTTACTTTTGTTTTTCTGTGTAGCTGGGCTTGTGTCCACCTCATCTACTCAAAACATTAACTTTGAGTCTGTGTCTACCACCGCCACTTCTTACGTCATCACCATCACCGCTACCGACGGACAGGCTACCGCCACAGGCACGCTCAGTGTTGTCATCACAGATCAAAACGAGGCCCCTGTGTTCGGGAAGGCTTCTTATGCTATCTCCGGCAACGAGGGATCGGTAATATACAAAAAAAATTACTCTATTACAATGTTATTACGGTATATAAAATTATAACAAAGATTAAATACATATTGAATTATGCTGAATTGTAAATGCCAAATAAATGCAATATCTCAAGGAACCCAAAAGTTTGACAAACTTCAAACAATCTAGTGATTCTAGTTTCTTCTACAACATACCATAATCAGACTGATAAACTAGACAAAGACCGTCTTATATACGCTTTGTAGTCGGGGTCCATTGTTGGAAATCCTTCGTTTGACGTCACTGATCCTGACTCTGGGGAAACTCTGTCTTACTCAATTGATTGTCCAACGTTTGTTATTAATTCAAACACTGGAGTAATAACGTTTAGGTAAGACCACGTGATTTATGGACTATGTGGCTATTCAAATTATGTTTAGGTGAATGTTAAGATGATTTTTAGAAATGTTTAATGATTTTTTTTTCTACCTTTATTATTGTAGCCATGACTATGACTTGGATAAAGCTGGCACAGCCTCCACCGTCACGTGCACTGTGACTGTAACAGACGGAGATCTGTCCGACACGGCTTCATTGGTTGTTACAATCAATGACGTCAATGATAACACGCCCACTTTCGACAGCTCCACCTACACATTTTACGCTCAGCCTAGTACAGGGGTTGGAACAGTTCTTGGATCTATAGCAGCCACTGATGCCGATGTGGGATCGTTCGGTTAGTTATCACTAATCTTAGCGTACTGACTTTTCATAAATTCGTGTTTTGTTATTATTAGAGAAGTAAAGCTAGAGGCCAAGAGCAATGGCAATCTTGTCTAACTCTTTATGAAAATAGTAGTGTTTCATCCTTTTCTATGCAATGACTTTGTGTAAACTGCAAATAAGCAAGGTGAGTAGATCATGAGGACAGCTTGTGTGTGATACAACACTCAATTAATTACGAATATGTCAAGAACCGTTGAGATACATGTATTGTAGAGTTTGCTTTGCAATAATTGTGATTGTTTCTTTCCCAGGCACTGTGTCTTACACATTGGATCAAACAGGTTTAGGATATGAGTATTTCGGTGTACAAAGTAACGGGGACCTCTACGTAAAGAATGGCTTGACTTCTTTCTCCTCCGGGACAACTGTCACACTGACGGCTACCGCACAGGACTCGGGGGGACTTCAAGGCAGGAAAAAATGTCATTCACTTCTCACATGTTGACCATTGTTGAAGCAAATACATAGTGATTAAAGAAAAAGATCATGTCAAATCTTAAATTATAGAGGGGTTAGAAGAGGGCAACAATAAAAAAAAAACACTGTGTTATGTACATGTAAATTGAGGATTTTTTATCTTTAAACTTGATTTAGAATACTTGTAGCTTATATTAAGAATTGTATGGATCAAGAGACGCTCAATAGTTTGAATACGGAATGAAATTCTTTAGAGTGTATGTTTTTTATTTCTAATTTATAATTCTGTTTTGCTTTGACAGACACGGCCCCTGTTGTTATTGTTATCCCTGAATCCACCACAGCTGCACCTACAACCACCACTGATCGTCACGTGACTTTCCTAGAGGACTCTCGGAACATTGCCTGGGTGACAGTAGCCAGTGTTCTAATGACGGGTCTTGTTTTATTCTGGGTCTATCTGTTGGCTCGGTTTGGAAGCTTTCCTTGTAAGAATGGGTCTTACAAACCAAACGCTCAGTACGTTACTCTATAATTCATGAATATACAGTCCTTGGCAATAGCACAGGCATTCGAAATACTTCGTGATCGGGAGACCAAGTTCGATTCTCGTTCGCAGCGCAGCATCAAACCTTAGACGTAAACATAAGTAGTGACTGTTCCTTCGCTAAGCGCCCGGCATTAAAAGTGAAAGTCACGAGTCTTTCGGATGAGACCTTAAAAACCGAGGTCCCGTGTGTCACGGTAGGCCTTGGCACGATAAAGAACCCTCACTGCTCAATGGCCCTGAGTGCCGAGTATAGGTCTAAATTTGAAGCCCTTCACCGGCATACGATGACGTCTCAATATGAGTGAAAAATTCTCGAATGGGACGTTAAACAACATACAATCAATCAATCGAAATACTTTAATCCAAATGACCGAGGATGTTAGTCGGATCAACGCGATCTGAAGCACTGTGATACCAAGTATAAAAGTGATGAATTAAGTGAAGGCATTGCATACTTATTATGGATAATGATTCTCAGGCTTTGCTTGACATAATTATATAATTATTGTTAATATATCATGGTATGTATACCGATATTCATATTTTCACATGTTGTCCCTTTAAATCGTTTTATTAATTATTTGGTATATTCATGTCAAGTCGATGTGCCTGTAGACGAAGTCACAAATACATGTAATGTAATAGTTCATAGCCGTAGGAACTGCGTGGGGGTGTCCCCTCCCCCAATACATAGTATACTATAGAAAACAAAGCTATTTTATGGATGTGCTTCCTTAATAATTACGTCGGATGACTTTTTGATTTTGAGTTTGCCTGTCAATAAATGTTTGCTTGGTAGTGCCAACCCATTTCTGGCATGGGTTTTGCGGATGTGCAATGATTTTCTGGATCAAAGGTCCCCAAACTGAAAATGTTTTGGTTTTACGTCCCTCCCTCACTAAAATTGTTTCCTACCTTGTAGTTCGTAATTATTCACAAATTCCATTGTGTGCGTTGGAATGAAATATATGGAGCTGAAAAATTGGAACTGAAAAAAAGTGAAATAAATTTTATGTAACTAAAGATAGATAATTATTGTAGTAAACAGCATTTTTATGCGCGGATAGCTAAGTACTATACATTCTACTTTTTCTTTTCAGAAAAGTAAGTCGAAGGCCTCCATTAGACCACATGGAAAATGACAAATTAGCGAAAAGTAAGTTACAGCTTTGGCCAAATTGCGTTTTTTAATGTTCATTGTGCAATATTTTTAGTAAGCTTCCTTCAAATCTATGTAGCAGGCAATGTAGTTCGTAGATTCCCTCAATTATTGATTGGATTTTTCTGAACAGTGCATCAGTGTTCAGAATTAATATGTAAATGTAACCTTGGAATAAGAAGTTAAACATAAAAATATATTTTCATTTAAACATCATGGGAAATGTATTTTTATATCATTACAAATATAAAGAAAGAGGGGGAAATTGTTTTGGCTCAAATTTGAAATTAGCGTTGGTAAAGATATAGAGGTGAGACTTTTGAACTAGTGAGCTGCTTATGTGATTGATGTCATTCATAAATTGTAATGTTCTTCATTCAGAACAGAAAAACCTACCAAACACAGCTGGAAGAAAGCATGGGAAAGATCACATGATTTCAAGTAAATAGATTTAATTTTTGTTAATTTATTTTTGTTCTATGGTTCAAATATTTCCTGAAAGAACACAAGAGGCCCAAGAGCCTTAAAGGTCACTCAGTATAACACAATAGTCTGAAAAGTATCCACAGTAGTATAAAATAATACAAAATAAACTGATAGATGAAGCTATGTTCTCTTAAAGCAAGAAAAATAGAATGATTTGGGATCAAATAAATAATTGATCTAATAGATTTATTTCATTGTCCCTAATTGCTACCATCACCACGTAAGCTTAACATTAATAGCAACACTGCATGAAACTATCTTATTCCCTAGCTGTTTATTTAGCCTCTCTCGATAGTTGAAGAAAATTCAATGTACAAATGTAATTTAAGGTATTTTTTAGCATTTGGGTTTATCTTTTATTTACAAGTCTACCTGACCATTAAAAATTTTTATATAATATAAACATTCTTATATAATTCTCTTATAATATTAAATTGACCTTTCAGTTACATGTATGTTGTTTACAATGATTAATAATCACAGGTGAATAGCAAAGGGAAATGACTTCTCACAGTAGAAGACAAATTAATATAGACCTTCTCTCAACACTCAACCAAATGGTCCAGAATTTTTAAAAAAAAAATTAGCAAAAATATTATTCCTTAATGCAACTTTGTACTCTGTTTGCCTCCTAGATTCCCAGGAGCAGAAAAGAAGATTTTCTAGAAATAATTCATTTTTAAAGATAGATTCAACATAGCCCTTCCCTAACACCGGAATCCCTGATCAAGGGGCCATGAAATTCACAATTCTGAAAGAGGCACACTTGCTTATCATTTTTATAGTACACTAAGTTTATCTGATAAATACCCAGGAGCAGAGAAGATTTTCAATGAATTAATGCATTTTCACTACATAATAAATAGAGCACCGTCCTAACACCCAGGAGCCATGAAATTCATTATTTTGGAAAATGCACCATTGCTCATCATACAACCAGGAACAAAAATAAGAATTCAAAGAAATAATGCATTTTCAATATATAATCAAAAGAGCCCCTACCTTAAAGCCAGAGCCCCTAACCATGTGGCCACAAGTTTCACATTTTTAGAAGGGTCACCCTTTCTCACCATAACTATGTACTTGGTTTATTTGCTGAAATCCATGCAGGAGCAGAGAAGATTTTCGAAAAAATAATGCATGTTCACAATATAATCAATAGAGCACCGTCCTAATTGAAGAACTTCATTTTCACTTTATGATCATTCGAGCCCAATCCAACTTCGGAACCTCTGCCCATGGGGCCATGAATTCACAATTTTGCCAGAAAGGAGACATTTTTAAATATAACACTTATTTTGATTGTTTTAGCTCCACTCCTCTGGCCCCAGAAGGACAGGGGCCATGAAATTCACAATTTTTGTTCTCCTTCACCCATATAAGATATATGTCAAAATTGGTTGAGATTGATTGAGCGGTTCCAGAGAAGATTTACACATGTAGCTGAAAATGTTCAAATGTTAACGTACGACGAACGACTACGAACAAGAAGAGATAGAAATAGGTCACCTGAGTTACTCCAGAGACCTGATAAAATCAAAAAATCATAGATGCATTTGTATATTAGCAATTAGTCTAGACACTAATTACATCAGATATAATAATACTATATTTACATCCACTGAATATTATTTTCTTTATTCCCTATGAAAACCATTGCCGTTTATCAGCAAGTATGTCACCTGCATAGATTTCTTAAAGGCGGAGATTTTAAGCACCACCTTCAAAAATACCTGGTCTGTGTATCCCTGTCAATCAAGTGCACTAAGGTACATCATTGGATGCTAGAACTTGATTGACATTTACTTACTAGTCCCCATGTATACCCTGTACACCTTGTTTGACACTCATGGTGACCTTCAAATTAACTTTTGGTCCTTTGATATTAACCACATATGGTATAAACAATAGAGAAACTGTATCACTATGGAATCTTTAGCTTGATAATATATATACACACACACCTTTAGTATTTGAAACAATTATGATATTCTTTATGATAATATATTTCAAAATTTGGTATAACTTTTTTTCAAAGCTCAACAAATACTTTGAATAATATTTTTTAATGGATGGGGATGCTTTTACATACATTGTACATTCAATTATAAATTAATAAAAATTATTGAGATTAAACTTTATTTACAACTTTTTATTTCTAGTTTAAAATCATCTCAAAATTCCAACACAGGTAAAGTTTGACTTCTTGGATACTGTGCTGTGTATTAAATCACTTCCTGTGTATAGGGATTATGAGACAAATGACCACAAGTAGACTGCTAGCCCTCAAGGCATTCACACCTAGACAAAATAAGCCCCTCTCTCACCTGGAATTTACCACCTGGTAAAAAATCTCTGCCTTTAAGCAACGCTCTTCCATCAATTATGCATACAATGACATACACATTTATAATACAGTATTTTACATATTTAATTTTACTTTAAATGTTATTTACAGATATAAATATAAAAAATAAAATGCCTTTCTTTGTAAGAATGGAAAGCGCTAACGCGCTTCATGAAATATGCCGGCGTGAAGCGTCGTGGTTATGTCCTCATGAATTCTCAAAAATTAAATTCATTTCTTAATTAACAACCAAAGAAAGCAATTTATTGTTTAAGTAAAGATGCCCTTTAACACTGTTTATATTTTAACACATATACAAGCAATGAAATTGAAAACTCAGAATATCTTAAATTTAATTTTACAAAATTAAAAATGATAGAACATTTTGACTTTTTTTTAGTTTAATTAACGAAATTAACTTAGTATTTCTTTATAATACGTAACCTATAATATATCCTTATGTTGTAGGTATGGACATGATATAGCACATCACGTTTAACATCGAATGTGGCGGTGTCAAATCGAATATGCCTTGATCATGATCAGTACAGAATTTTTAATTCAAGTTTTATTCAGTGTATAATTGTAATATTGTTTACTCACAGTGTTAGTACAACTCAAGTATATATATATATATATATATATATATATATATATATATATATATATATATATATATATATATATATATATATATATATATATATATAGAACGCAAACTTTCCTCTTTTTCAGAACAATAAAATTTGTCACAAATCAAACATTACGTGTCATGTTTTTTTTTTCAAGGGGAAAAAAATCAAGAAATAGTAAAAATGGAGTGATCTCTCTTTACACCTCATTAAAATATTAACAGCAGTGATGGTGAAACTTCAGGAGTACTGTCCAATTATATATTCGAGAAGTGACGTAAATCGGACGTGGAAACATAAAAACTCCAAGGAAATTTGAAATCACAAAATTGTACCAAAATCAATAATACTATTTAAAACTTTATACAACCATTCCCCCACTATAAATTAATGTCCAGGCTTTTTGACATCATAGACAGCTGCTTTTCCAATAAAAATGGAACTCGTAAATTTACCTACATTGTCATTGATCACTTGCAAAATTATTTTGTTAAAAAAACATTCTGATTTTACACACAAGTACTCTGAAGTTGATATTAAAAAGATGCTTGAGTTTCTGGTTGACAATATCTGTGCATTTAAAATTTCTTCCACAATCTGTCGAAATTCCAATAGGTACCAATTGCGCCCCATTTTTTAGCAGACCTATTTTTGCATTCATATAAAGCAGAATTCTTTTCTTATCGTCATTTTCCCTTACATATGTAGCAATATACTCTTATCACCTGCATAGGTATTTATATCTCCCAGTTGATTCAATACACAAGAGCATGTTCTACGTACATGTACATGTACTAACAATGTCTAAAACAGTGATGAAACAGGGATATCAACTGCTGTCTCGTTTAACGTCATAATTTCACAAGTTCTATGGTCGATACCATGTCTTTGTCGGCAAATACAACCTCTCATTAAGGACATACGCAACGTAGTTTGAACTTTATTGTCTTTTTCCCTGGAGTTGAAGAGTTTCACTACTTGAAGAAATTGTGTGCTACATTTCTATGTCTACATATGCTGCTGTACACTTCTTCTAAAACAAGTTTGGATAAACAAAACTTCTAGAATATATGTTTAGTAATTTTTGTGTATTTTTCTTTAAATAATACAAGAATTTTCATCAATTGATATCTTTTCAAAACCCCTGATAATGCATGCTGATGTTTTGTCGACGAACATCTGATGGCACTAGAATCTTAAATTAAAAATATCTTGAAAAATTATCAGTAGGTAAGGTACGTTGTGTATGTCCTTAAGTCGAAGGCTGACTGACATTTTTCATACTTATTGTTAGGTCATTATTTAAACACTGAATTGTATGCAGATTTTTTCTGTTTGTCCGATCATGACAATGAGCACACAGCAGGTGTGACCGATCGACAGGGGATGCTTACTCCTACTTGGCACCTGATCCCACCTCTGATGTGTTTTACAAGTCCGTGTTTGCCCTGCTCCCGATTTGTATCGTTTCAATGGACTTTTGAGCTTGATTACTGCTCGTACATCTCAATACATCATTTCAGAACCTCAAGAAATACTGAAACAATACTGAATTAGATTTAATGAAAGAAAAAATGTTTGCAAACCCATCATTTTGTTCACAAAACTCATAAACAACGAATATCTTGTGTAAAAATCATCATTTATTAGACATTACAACCCTTTATAATATGTGTACATTTGACTGATCTGTAATTATGACATATATAACATATCATTCATGACTCCATGTAAGTAATGACCTATATAAACATGTACTAGTACACTGTAGAGGTGTCCAAAATATTGATACAAAAACAGTCCTCAACAGACAACCTGCTGATTTATTTTTTGCATATTTCATTCTTATTTTTTTTTTTTTTTTTACTTTCAATGTGACACCTGGCAGTAAAAACAATTTCTTTACAATTCATAGAGTTCAGTATATGATAACAAGAAGCAGTTACAATTAAGGTACTTATCTGATAATAAAATTAATTTTTTCCCTTAAAAAAAACAGAACATACACCGTCTCTATGCATCATAAAACTGTTCAACAGCTTGCAACTTGGTTGCTAACATTTACAAGTGTACCTTTTTGAAGCTGAGTAACTCAAATAATGTTATATTCCAAACTCATTTAATGACTATCAAATAATTGCTGCAAAGAATTAGGCAAAGAAATATAATAATGATGGGCGAATAAAAAAAAGTATGTGAAAGTAAGAAAGTAAATCACAAAATGTTGAGAAATAGTAAAATTAAAACTACCTGTATTGTATGTAATGATTAATATCATTAACTGGTGTATTTTCAGCACTATATAAATAACATGGTTGACTACTAATCTACACTGATAATCAAACATATGATAAGCATTTTCTCATAATAAAAGGTATAGAAACAATTAAAACTAATGATTCCTATTTTTTGTCCTTGTGGTCATATCCTTATTTATCAAAATTATCACTACAACTATTGAGTAAGGTAACTCCATCTGAGATCAAGATGAATATTTATATCACTGGCCAAAGAACCAAACTGATTTACTAAGTACTTATAAAGTTCTGTTACTTCTTTTACAGAACAAAATTAACTAGCTAGCAATTACTTAATTTAGAATAACTAACAATTAATGCAAGCTCATTTAAAATTTAAACCATTTCTCTTGAAATACATGGACTAAAAATGTTCTCAATTGAAATACATGTTCTTCATCAATTAAGTAGTTAACTACTTATATATAACTGCCCTAAGGGACATTTAAGATTACAATGTGTCAATGTGAAAATTATAAATGCAAACAAGCAAAGCAGTACATAGATACATGTAAGTATGCAGCATTAAGCAGCCTATCACACAAACACATATACACCTTATACAACTTGATTCATTTATTTTGACTTTGATGCCATAAATTACAATTCATTGGCAGTAATTAAATCTAACTTATCTTTCAAAATCAAGAGTATAGGTTTCTTGCCAAACACATATACACAGCAGTTACACTATTAAAGCTATTTAATGTGGTCGGTCATGGGTATGGCACATGGGGGGGGGAGGGGGGGGGAGGGGTACTCAGAGATAAAAAGATTGGCTTAAAAAATACTTGAATCCAGGTAGCTTACCTGGATTGATCAATTTCTCAGCTGGGTATCCAATCATTAAATCACTGGAAAATGGAATAAGATAAACTAACATCTTTTGGACTAGTGCAATAGGAAAAGGAATTCAAGTAAGACTATATGTAAAAATGAGCCGGGGTGGGGTGAGGTAAAGTTATGAGGGGTCTAATGCGGACCGACACACCATTAACGAAGCCGAATATGTGGAGAATTCTATCTCAAAAGCAGCAGCAATCACGTCATGGACCAAGATATTTGTTCACTAGAGAACTTGCACTCCTTCAAAGCAATTCCAAAATTATTTATACATGTACCTTTACATTAACCTGTTCTTCCTCTTTCACCATGATTCTATTTAGCATAGACACCTAATGAACAAATCTCAGCACCATTTCATGAGAAGCATACAAAAGCAAAGGCTATATAATCATGAAAATGTTCAATATAAACATGATCTACACATAAAAAAATCCATTCTTAAATTATAAATATCACATTTCATTTACTCAGGACTTCGAATTTTGTCCATCACCGTTAATTATAAAATCATTGATTGTTTTTCATCATTCTATTACACACTTATTATCACTGTGTATGTGAAAGTTTATTACATCAACACTTCTCAACTTTTCCTAGCCATTTTAAAATGAAGCAAATGGCGTATAGGTGAGTTAACATGGGCGAACACTGTATGATGGTTAACAATATAAAAAAGATAAAAGTTCCATAGTTTGTCAAAGGAAATAAACAATTACAAACACAATGTTGATGTAAAAGATCTTGTTCACATGTGTGTTACTGTCAATATATACAAAACTGAAAAAGGTAAACCAAAATGATTTTAAATTAATACACTTCAATAAATTCTTATCTTTTTCAGAAGCAATTATAAATCAACACAAATCATTTAAATTCATTGTAAGAGAAAGACAAATGCAGATTAGAGTGAACAGATACCATCTGAACATGATTAAATTAAAAGCCTCCTTTATTTAAAGCTATTAAAACTCTGTTATACAGAGAGAATTATTGTCAGAACTAGCAATCACATCAGTAACACTTAATGCTGTAGTTTTCTGTAAGACACTAGGACGACCCTTTTGTGGGCCTCTAAGACACTATGACAGCCTAGGGGCTCAATATTTATCACAGACAACTACATTCTGAAAATACAACCACACACAGTAGTGAATGAAGAAATCATTTAAATTGCCACAATTTCTGGGGCCCTGAGGAAGTGTATTTTATCTGAATCTCTTCTGCCTTAGAATTTTTTTTCATAAATATCAGATCTATACAGAATCATCCTTTACATTTAAAACATAAGATGCAAGCTATTTTACAGAAGGATTCAAGTATTGTAGACATTCATAGATCATTAACAACAGTCTTTTTTCTGCACAAAACAGATGTATGTATGTATAGGCCTTCATGCATAGAATCCTGTTATTACAGTATAATTTACAAAATATTTCACTCCCTTTTAATTATATAAGCCTAGGATAATGATTGAGATTGGATAAAACATTACATGAAAAACTTCATAAAATATTTCTTCTTCCAACTTCTAAAATATAACATCTGCACTTCTTTTAAAATTGTCAACTTTCATACATTTAAATTAACAACTTTGCATACATTTAGATTCTGCCATTTGGTGAATCAGTTACACATTTATTTGAACACTAAATATACCTGTGTGATGTTATGATCTTTATAAACCATGTCCTTGAATTTTTAACATTAAAATAAAGTTTGATTGACAACTAGTATATAAATTTGTGTCGTTATTAGTACATGGAGGGGTGTTACTGTTAAAACATGTACAATAAGTGTAACTCAGGGCATTCATAACTTTCTCAAGATCACACAGGGAAAACATAGTTCTCTATAATATCAATATGAACACATATCTTTAAGTAAAACTGATCTAACAAAATCACATACAAGTCCTTATTCAGAATATCCTAATTATCAACACAGATAAGATCAACTAATTACATGTGGTTGTTGAAAAAATAATAAACTCGTCCCATGCTTGGGTATACACTATACTAAACATACCTGTTTTATACAATAGAAAATTACTGTAATTTAAAAGTGAGTTTTTCAAGCAAGTGTTGTATAAATAAATGCACGTGCATATCATTTCATAAGTTTAACAGTGGTAATGATTGCAAACATTTAACAGACATTTTTTTTTATGATTTGATATTATGGTTTTGGAATGCATTAAAATAATTTTAACAAATTTAAGAACTCTACAACAGAAAGTGACATACGTTACTAGGTTATATACAGTGCATTTCCAATTACATATTGTATAATTATGAAGATATCGTAAAAACCTACAAATATATCTACATGTATCTGGAAAACCAGACAGAAATATACATGGGAGTATAATGGTATAGCTTTTGTATGTGCTAAACAAAAACATACATGAATGCACACAAAAAAAAATTGATCAATTTTTTTTTTTCTTGAGAGCATTGCAAAAACATGAAGAGCAAAAATAAAGTATAAAATCACAACCAAAATAAAACAACTTTTCTTGGAGCAAACAATTGATGGTTTTGCCAGTGTAAACTATAGAGCACTTAACAGGAGTACCACAAAACAGCATATATGAGCTTTCTTAATTGTGTACAGAAAGTATGTATACATAAACGGAAATGATTACAAAAATTCCGCTTTTTTATATTCATTTGACAACCACTCTACTAAAAATTTTTAAAAACAACACTCTTTCTAAATTCTAGGGAAAATTTTTGGTGTAAAACTTTCAGCACTTCGGACGTTGTAATATGATAATCTATATGTCTCAGAGGCAATTCAAAAATGATGGAAGCCACTTGACCTAGTATTGCATACAGTCTATGCAGAATCTAAATTCTGATACATGGACTGACTCCAGGACGGACGGGCCGATGTTGTCTCTCTCTTGTACTGGCGAGAATTCAGCTGTTGAGGTAGCCACCCTATAATTGATAAATTCCTAACTACAAGGTCCTATCCTATGTCTTAATCTACATTATCATAGTCCTTTGGCGTCTTTTTTATTTCCCCTTGATAAGTTGGTTCATAATCTTTGGGTTTCATTCTCTTGAAGAATCCACACTGAAAATGAATATAAATAGATCATATAAATATGTGGACTTTAAATGAAACAATAGGCCTATGGGCCACAATGCTCACCTAGTCTCTTGATCCAGCTCATCTTAAGATGGTTTTCTTCCTATCTATTCCCATGTAAAACCTGATCCCTTACTGTGCCCCCACCCTTACTCAAAGGGGATAAACTTGAATCTTCTATATACAAAATAGTCCAATATTCTACAGAAATTCCAGCAAAAGGAAGTTGCTGGAACAACTTTACCAATTTATATGTATATTAGTTTATACATTTCATCAATTTACCTTCCAAAATATTAAGATGAGCACCACTAACAACACGATTCCGCCAGCAATGGCTACCAGAATAATCCACCACTGCAGCTCCTTCTTCACTGAGGGTTTCACTTCCGGCACAGCATACGTGGTAGCCTTAAACAAAATTAAAACGTCGCGGAAAATAATTTGTCTGCTCCCTTAAGCTTTGGATAGATTTTAAGCCCAATTCTTCAGAAGCACATGGAGCAAGAAAAGGCAAATAGAGAAAGTAAAATTTTTGATTTACTTGGTTTAACATTTCAAATGTGCAAAGAGAATACTTAAGCTAGAATGTGAGTCTATCCCTGTGATTATGTTTCTGATTTTTCACTCACAGTGCCCTGATCATCTGAAGTGTCCTGGAAAATATTCAGATCTGGAGACACTGTTACTCTGGCCAGGGAAGAGATCTGGACTTCTGAATTAGGATAATCCTACAAAATGCAAAGACAGATTGTGCTTTCAAAAAATTCATGTAGGCAGGGTCATTCTTCATAATGCATTTTGGCAATTTGGTTTTAAAAACACTGCAAAAAGTTTGGGGGGAAATTTCATAAGTAGAATGAAACAGAATAATAACAGATGAGTGAAAAAAAATGTGTTCCATTATGTTATTAAGACTTAATTTTACAAAAGGGGACAATTTTTTTTAACAAGTACACTGTACTTTTTGGCAGAAATTTCATAACAAAATCAAATCCCTGGTAAAACTTTACTTCACTTGTTATTAATAATTACAATAATACTGAAATATTTTAAAGATATACAAAGTGCAAAATAATGTTCCCAAATATCTTTTTTGGTTTAAACATGATAAAACCAACAATAATTTCTTCTTCAACAAGATGTTAAGAAACTTGCACGAACCCAATGCTGTTAAATCATCATTTTGGGGGGACATGTTTGTTGATTTTATGGTATAAACCGGCCAATTTTACATCCCAACAAACAAAAAATTTGTCAAAATCTCCTGTTTATACAAATAATCCATGAAATTATGTCCCCATAATTAAATGAAATTTTGGTTACCCACAAACATTGCACCCCAAAAATTAAAATAGTTCCAAAGTATATCGAATATTATAGAACTGTTGATGTCAATACCTGTAGCAGAGTGGATTCCCAAAGCCGAGCTCGAATGACAATTTTAGCTGATTCTTTCTTGTCCAGCCTGAATATCTTACAGTGTATTCTTATACACTTGGCTGTGTTGTCTTTACAGCTCTGAAAATCAAATTTCTGAATGAGAATTTAATTCCAACAATTAATCACCTACTACAAATGTAATGCTTCATTATCTGAAATCTTAAAATTGATATTCTATTGCCGCATCTTTTGATTTACCAGCTTGATTATGTTCCTCCCTGAGGGGGATTCTCGACCTGGTTTCTGTGTCGTGGTTGATGGTTCCTCATTGCCAATCTCTCGTCTCCTCCGAGTGTCGGGGGTGTTATATGTCGGTCCCTCCCCGTTATTGACCACAACAGCAGTCTTAACCTGCCATCACAATGACATGTCCTAATTATTACATACTTTATACTGCACTTACTATATTTCAGCGATCCATAAATATTTATTTTATTTTTATCATTTCGATTCCTTTCAATCTCTGTTAAAACATTTATTTTTAAGGTGAATGCTTTCAAAATCTTATATACGTCAAGAATAGTACATGTATATGAATGCATTGGTTTAGAATGTCTTTTTAAAATCATAACCAGAAAAATTGTTTTCATTTCCATCACCATTTACAAGAACTGTGAACCAACTATTATTGGCGACAACTTGAATTCATGATTTGTCAGTTTATGACGACCAATTGTTGTGACTGAGAAAATTTTGTACATAAATACACAATAAAATAAACAGGTCACAGTGAGAAATATTTGCAAGTAAAGCAAGGTTGTGTAACTCATGGATATTTCTCCACACACAAATAAAAGTTGGTTTACAGTATCTTTGAAAAATGCTGTAATGACGCAATGAGAATGGAAAATTTGATTGCATGCAGTCTGTAGTTTGACTACAAAAAACTCTCTTTTTTCTGGGACAATTCTTTAAATAAATGTATTTTTGGGCAAAAAAAAAACTTTTTCATATAATTAATAATACAAAATAAATTAACTTCAATCAGTATTAGATCTGAGTATCAGTTGAATGGTTAACTAATTTCTTGTTTTACCCCATCTCTACAACTGTCTATTTGTACAATGTAACATTAAAACCACTGTATACAATATAAGACAAGTTATACACTGAATGATTTATCACATATAGCTATTTAATATATCAACATATAATAATTATAACAACACTTGCTGTGAAATTGGACAGGCTGTTTCAAAATATATTTTCAAAATATATTAAGGTCAATTACAGCTTTGAATGAGACTAAGGAGAATTACAACTTAGTCTCCTCTAAAATCATACGGTACTTTGTAATTTGATAGAGAAGAGAAGGCCTGACACAAACACATATTTCTTCAATTTCCACTAACAATGGTGATTTTGATAATTATAAATCTCAGATTTCATCAGAAAAAGTTAAATTAAGTTCATTAAAATACAGTAAGGCAATGTCAGCATTGGTTTTAATGTTACATTTCAATTTTAAACCAAAATCTCAACAAAAAGTCATAACAGTAAAACTTACTGGTAGTCGAATGATAAGATCAGCGTTTTCCTACAGTAGGCAAGCAACAGAAAAATATAGGTTAGTTAGTCACCCAGCAAAAAGTTAGATCCACCCACAAGACCCGTCTCACAAACCACACAACAATCAACATGTGGGATCATGGTAATTTTGTTTTCTTCTCTTTTCAGTATATGTATTACATGTACATACTATAATTTTTTTGTATTAAAATGTCTAAACAGACTATCTGTTCATAAAACAGTTGACAATGTTGATATTTGTTGTAACTCGTTTGTAAAACAGGTCTAAGATACCAAACAATACCAAGGCTTCCTGTAGTTTGAAATAAAATGTTCAAAATCTTAAGTTTGAATTGGATCATCTTTTTTTTTCAATGGTGTTTTATCCTGAAAAGGAATGACAGGAAGCTGCAATACTGATTGGAATCTAATTGGCTCATCAGTTAAGCAGTGTTTCTATGGAAACCAATTCATCAATTAATTACATTTAATGTTTTTAATTACAACATTATGTATACATATAGACTGACTGTTATACAGCTCTAAGAATATCTATATTAAAAGAATGTATTCCAGAAAATTTTGTATAAAGCAAGTTCAATATCGATATAGTGAAACAATCAATTTAAAATTTTGTATAAAGCAACTTAAATATCGATATAGTGAAACAATCAATTCAAAATTTTGCCCTTTTTTGGAGACATTCAAAAAATTTGATTTTAAAATTATCAAAAGTATATTTCACAGCTATTGACAACTTTAAGATGTTTCAAATAATTAAAATAAAAAAAAATCTTTCCAGAGAAATCAGATGAATAAATAATATTGTTAAAGTGTACACTTATATTATTGCCACTCAAAATTAGCTTCATACAGTGTATATATTGTGCAATATAAAACAAGGTTATTTTGATATAAAGGGTGTAATATAAAAAAGCAGTTAGATATTTGATTTGCAATCATGACAGGAAGTGTATTTTCTTTTCTAGCAAGTCTAGCACAGCACAGTAATATTTATGCTTGAATTTCTAGCTTGTGCAAGGGAGAATGTTCGCACTATACTGTTTACAAATACATGTAATGTATATTTTCAGGTTTTATACATGTAGTTTATACATTCAACATCAAGTCTATGCACTGAATGCCTTAATCAATATAAATATAAATGCAGAGCAGAGATCCTTAGCTGGCATTTAATGCTGTGCTGTAAAGCAATAAATAGGGCCTCAGTATAACTGTGCAGGATTATGAGTCATATTTTGGTGAATGTGTCGTGCATGGTTTGACTGTGTTGTTTGATCTGATATACTTTAATGCAGCATTGTAAAAATAGGCATTTATCACTGTATACAACAGTACATACTGCGACTTGAAGAACATTGTAATACTGGGGATCATGGGTACACTGTGCTTTGGACCTATCCAGAGACTGAAAAAAAAATTCAAGAAACATTTACTCAAAACAAAATAAGCAATTACATGTATAACACTTTTAACAAAAACTTTAATTTCTAGGTTTCTAACTGTTGATATTAGAACGATGAATCTTAATCTCTCACACTTTTTTTTAAATTTGTGTCACTCTTATCATACATATAAATCAGGTGATCTGTTCCCATTACCTGTATCATTCCATACAAAAAATCTGTGTTAAAACCCACACAAACTATTTCCAATATTGGATAAAATTCATAACTATTCAAATGGACATTATTAACTTGTTAATTAGCCATGTGTACATGATAAAAATCATGTTAAATTTCCCCAGTATACATGTATGAATTAATCATTGCCCATCTCCTATACATGATCCAATCCATATACACTATCTGTTAACTATATCTCCCCCCCCCCCCCCCCCCAAATGAGTCATTCAACATTGAGACAATGTTAACTAGCGGATATCCCATAAACATGGACCAACTATCCCCTGTACAATTAATCCAAATTAAATATCCTTAGTACATGATGCAGTCCATGTTAATATCTATCCTTGCACCCAATTCCATTCTCATTTCCTATTCCCACTCAGTGTTATCCAGTAGTTAGATTTAGTGTATGTTAACTTTTCCAGATATGTATTATCTTACCTCAGTCTGCATGAGATACAGGAGGTGTTTCCCCTCTTCATACGCCCCGGGGTTTTTCTCCACGGGCCAGAAAATATCTAGAACGGCAGACCCCACAGAACCAACACCTTCATTGTATACCTATAAAATAAGTTTTGAGATGAATTTAAATATGTCCATGTATATTTATATTCGTGGATAATAAAAACATTCAATAAGTGGACTGTTGTCTGATCATGATAACAGAATTAAATCATTAAACTTATCATTTTACAATTAAATGTGCAAACTAAATTTCATATTTGTGCTGGACCTACAGTGTACATTACTCTACAGGTATAATTTTTTTGTAATTTGGCATTTTGTTCCCCAAAATTGATGGAAATGATTGCTTTAAAAATCCAATGTTAATGGTAACCATAGTTATTCTTCCAAGCTTTGGAGCTATCACATAATTCATTAATTACTTATTTGTACAATGAATTCACCCCATTTCTGTTAGAACTACAACCACCCTGTTTCTGTGTCTTACAGTAAATGTATGGTTGACAGCTGGACCAATAGCATCCTCATGCTTCACAGCACTTGCTCCACGTATAGGGCCCCTAAACACCACATCATTAGCTGGTTCCGCCTCTCTATGTAAAATACATGTATATAAAGAAAAATTATCTCACAATTTCAGACATGACAGATAAAATTTTTTAGACTTCAAACTACATCTTCTGACATCAACCACGGGTTATTATTATTATTAAGGAAAGAAGACTTTATAATCTAAATAGCATTTAAAAATGGATCACAGCTAAATATGTTCTTATAAAATTTAATGGGATAGAAAAAAATGTGGAAAAAAGAACAAAATCACAATATGAATGAATTAGCTGTACATCTTTTGAGTTACTTACCCAAACACTTTGATGTTTGTTTTTGTAACCATCCTTACAGGAAGTGTGACTTCATCATTATCTGGAGATTGCTCCTGGCTTGTACTATAAAGATACATTTAAAAAATGTTAAAATCTTTTCCCATAACAAATAATTATTCTCCATCTTCAACATCAAGAATGATTAAGAAAGTGAAATAGAAGAGTTATTCCCCTTGAAGTGTGTTGTAAAAATCTAATCCAAACAAACCTACAGAAAAATGACTTACGTGTTAAAGAGACCCCTGATAGTGAAATCTGACAAGTTGAGAGGTAAGTTTGAGGCATCCAGCTCAATATTAAACTCTGTACGAACATCAGATTTCACAGAGTTGCCAAATGGATTGGTATGCTCACAGAATATGGTAGTCGTATTGATGTTGATACATGCAGGAGGTGACAGTCCAGGCTGAAAAAATACAATATAATCAGATTAAAATACAATCATAAATTAAAGCACAGTTGAACTTCCGTGCCTCAAACATCCATATCTCAAATACCACAGATATGTCAAAGTGCATTGGAAGTCCCAACCACTTTTCCTCCTTATGTATTAAATCTCAATATTTCCATTTCTTGGGCATCTCTCAGTTTTTTTTTCTTGGCCCCACTGAGTTTTTGCTGATAAGGTTTTGCTGTATAGTAAAGCAAAATCATACTAAATGCCAACAAGATTTCATTTATACACCCTTTTACAGTTCTGAACAAACTGTTCATTTTTTTAAACACTTGCCTCATCCAATTTTAAAGATACGTTTTATGTATTTAGAGGTAATTAGTGAAATTCTTAATAGCATTACACAATGTATTGTATTTAAAGATAATTGGTAATATTCTTCATTGCATTACACAATGTTTTGTATTTAAAAATAATTGGTAATATTCTTCATTGCATTACACAATGTTTGGTGTCCTTGCTCTGTAATGATCTCTACATACCGGATAGATAGGTGTGCTGCCTGCGTACTGCATGTCTTTGGGTACGACCAGGTAAAAGCTGGGCTGGTAAGCTGGCTCCCCTTTGTTGGTCAGTGTTATTTTCACCTTGAAGAGGTCATTTTCACCAATACTCAATACATACTTATTTCCATCCCTGAAAATTGTCCAGTAATTTATATGTGATACCAGAAGACATCTGTTTTAAATTTATATTTCACATGCCTTATCACATTGTCAACCTAGACATACATGTATTTAATCTCTGTAATGCAAAAATAACATAATCCTAACTAAAAGATAAGCTCTAGAAATATAACATGATAGTAGCACTATGCACCATTTGATAACTAAAGATCCTACCAAATTTATAAAATTGTAATTCATATTAATTTTAAGAAGGACTGGTTGTATTTCTCTTATATTATGAAAAAATAATTGTTTATTAAATCTGGGATTGAAATCCATACAATGGAAAAAGAAAGAGATGACTTGAAATTTAAAGGTAAAATACTTTTAAAATATTTTAATTTTTGACACAACTTTCAACATGACATGTAACTAAAAAGTATTTTTAAAAAATACTCTAAAATCAATGATGACTTGTAGAGTACTTTATCTTCCTACAGGGTTAAGCTCTGTATGAACTCACCACTCCAAATCACCACTCAAAAGGGATCAGACTAATCTCCAGTCTTATATTACTCTGATATAATGACTCGCCTCTCCAATGGGATCAGACTAATCTCCAGTCTTATATTACTCTGACATAATGACTCACCACTCTAAAGGGATCAAACTAATCTCCAGTCTTATATTACTCTGATATAATGACTCACCACTCTAAAGGGATCAAACTAATCTCCAGTCTTATATTACTCTGACATAATGACTCACCACTCCAGAAGGAACAGACTCATCTCCAGTCTTATATTACTCTGACATAATGACTCACCACTCTAAAGGGATCAGACTAATCTCCTGTCTTATATTACTCTGACATAATGACTCACCACTCCAAAGGGAACAGACTCATCTCCAGTCTTATATTACTCTGACATAATGACTCACCTCTCCAAAGGGAACAGATTCATCTCCAGTCTTATATTACTCCAAAGGGAACAGACTCATCTCCAGTCTTATATTACTCTGACATAATGACTCACCTCTCCAAAGGGAACAGACTCATCTCCAGTCTTATATTACTCGGACTTAATGACTCACCTCTCCAGAGGGAACAGACTCATCTCCAGTCTTATATTACTCTGACATAATGACTCACCTCTCCAAAGGGAACAGACTCATCTCCAGTCTTACATTACTCTGCATAATGACTCACCTCTCCAGAGGGAACAGACTCATCTCCAGTCTTATATTACTCTGACATAATGACTCACCTCTCCAGAGGGAACAGACTCATCTCCAGTCTTATATTACTCTGACATAATGACTCACCACTCCAAAGGGATCAGACTCATCTCCAGTCTTATACTACTCTGACATAATGACTCACCACTCCAGAGGGAACAGACTCATCTCCAGTCTTATATTACTCTGACATAATGACTCACCACTCCAGAGGGAACAGACTCATCTCCAGTCTTATATTACTCTGACATAATGACTCACCACTCTAAAGGGATCAGACTCATCTCCAGTCATATATTACTTGGACATAATGACTCACCACTCCAGAGGGAACAGACTCATATCCAGTCTTATTTTACTATGACATAATGACTCACCACTCCAAAGGGATCAGACTAATCTCCAGTCTTATATTACTCTGACATAATGACTCACCTCTCCAAAGGGATCAGACTAATCTCCAGTCTTATATTACTCTGACATAATGACTCACCACTCCAATGGGATCAGACTCATCTCCAGTCTTATATTACTCTGACATAATGACTCACCACTCCAAAGGGAACAGACTCATCTCCAGTCTTATATTACTCTGACATAATGACTCACCTCTCCAGAAGGAACAGACTCATCTCCAGTCTTATATTACTATGACATAATGACTCACCTCTCCAAAGGGAACAGGCTCATCTCCAGTCTTATATTACTCTGACATAATGACTCACCTCTCCAGAGGGAACAGACTCATCTCCAGTCTTATATTACTCTGACATAATGACTCACCTCTCCAAAGGGAACAGGCTCATCTCCAGTCTTATATTACTCTGACAAATGTCATCTGTACCACACTTCTTCACAAAATCAATCTGAAAATGCAGGCAAATAAATACATTCACATTTAACTGATAATTCAGATGTTAAAAAAAATATGTCTGAATATTAAACACTGAATAAGGTATCAATTCTGATCACTTATCTATGAAGTAATATTCAGAGTACTGCAAAATGCTTGTCCCCATTTTAACTACAGATGTGTATTTTGCTCTCAATAATTATAGGAATTATATTTATAGCAAGGCTAATTTACACAGAGAAGAACAGGTCAGTTTTGCACTAAATTTGAAAATGAAGTGAAAAATATATACGAGGGGTTATCAAAAAGTTCGTGGACTAGCGCCATAAAATTAAAACCTCTTAAGATACATCAATAAATTTTTACACATTAAATAAGCATCTTCTTTTCTATCCGTAAAATAAACTATAAATCATAAGTTTTATTTTTGAGTGAATCGTAAATGTTTTTGTAAGCAATGGTATGTCAAGGCGGCGCAACCTCGAACATGACGTATTTTCAACCTGAGTGTAATTGAGAAAACTCTTCTAATACGAGCATTTGTCATTCGAAATTACCATTAATTCACTCATGTGATATGACATAATTTTTCCGTAAAAGTTGCAATCTTTACCTGATTCTATATATTCTATGAAATTTTATCGTAAATTTTATAGGGAATGTCCAAACAATATAGGGGTTAAAAATGACGTCGAAAGGGGGTAGGGTGTCATTTTACAACGTTCTATAAAGTTTCAGCCCCTGGAAAACCTGACATAGACCTAGAAAATGTTTAAACAGGCTGCAGAGAAATAAAATACATCCAGAGTACTTGTGTTTAAATACCAAGACAGATTTAGCAAGAAAAGAGATGCACGGTTAATGTCGATTTGTAGTCAGGGTGTCCAAAGTCAGACACGTCGAAAAGTGACGTTGATCATTGGTTGACATTGAACACCGGCAAGAAAATTATGCTGGCAAATCAAGCGAGGATCATTTCCTATGTATAGATTTAATATTTACAATATTAATGCATTGAAATCAGGTGTTCATAACCTTGTAAAGTCATATAAACAACACGGGTTTAGGTCTTTACTTTACTCAAGAGAATCTCATCAAGATAAGTGTATTGAGGCAGAGGGAGCGGGCATGGAGAAATAATGACGTTGTCGGACGTCATAAAAATAAACGGCGACAGCGCCGGGTGATCATATAATGCTCTTTTTATTTAATGATAATTTGGCAAATGATCAACATATCAAGCTGAAATTTTCAACACTTCTTAAACTTTTGTTGATTTATGTTCCCTGTAAATTTTTTAATCAACGACTACATAGTATTAATTTTATCTCATCAGTCCACGAACTTTTTGATAACCCCTCGTACATTTGACCCAACCACATTTTACCTCTTTTTTTTTTTACCAGGTCTAGAGATTTTAATTACTTGAGTCACATGATACAGACCTTTTCCGTAAAGGAAGTGACTGACGTCTCAGCAGTCTGATTAGCGATCATAAGGATCGGAAACATGTTGATGTCTGGAAAGACCTGCCTACGACGACGTCTGAACGGATTGTTTCCCAGGCTGTATGCTATGTCAATCTGTATCGGTGTTAGCTTGTCCTTAATATTGTCCTAGAAATATCAAAATGTAAAAACTTATCAGTGTCATAACCAGTGATTAAATGACCTTCACTACATACAGATACACATAAGGGGTTTAGATTCAAACTGTTCAAATTCTATTCAATCCCTAGTGTTCAATGTATAATAATAACTGAAGACAGCCTTGCTAATTTATCTGTTGGAAATTCAAATTTCTTTTCTAGCAGCATATTTACTCTGTCTGTTTACTGTTTAATAGTCATTACATCAGTCACTGCCTGTCCACAATTTCCAGAATCTCATACTTCAAAGTAATGTCATAAAACCACCACATTGTAAACATGTGCTGATACAATCACTTTATATCCACTGAAAGTTGACCTGTAATCTGTGAATGCTTACATGTATATTGAGATACATGTATATCACTTGTATTTTACAGGAAATTACAGCCCTCTATCTGACACAATTACTGTACATCCAATGACATTTGACCTGTGACCTGTGAATGCTTACAATGAGATAAATCACTAGTTTTTTACAGCACTCTAGCTCATAAAATTACTATATGACCTGTAATCTGTGAAAGCTTACAGCAAGATATATCTTGAGTCTCTCACAGCCATCGAGTTTCTGGTACGGAAGATCCTGAGTATAAGACACCATGTCTGGTTGCGGGAAGTCTTTAAAAAAGATTCGCTTCTCTACTCGATCTTTTTCTGCCACCACTTTTACATCGATCCTTTGGACTGTTGAAAAGCTAGAGAATATGAAATTTTATATTATCATAAACTGATGTTCAAAGAAATCAATACACCTTTTTTTGAATGAATTTTTTCTCCTAAATGGTAAAGAATAGTAACAGTCTAAAAATTTACTAGAAACCAAGATTATGAACCACTGCAAATACAACTTCTTTGAACAGAATTTGCCAAAATTCCCTCTGTCTTAATAGAGAGGATGAATTGGATAGAATTCCCAAGAAGTCAATGTACCTTTGTTCAGGTTTAGCAGTAAACATGAGGCAAATCTTCAACTCCATACAGTATCTGGGTTTAGTGACTTCGGCTGGATTGTCAAAAGGACAGCCCACAGGTTTACTGAGGTTAAACTTCCTGGGAGTGAAGGTGATTTTGGGGAAAAGGTGTACAATAGGTCTAGTTCGCAGCATAATGGCTTTATTTGATGCGTATGCTCCCACTGTGATGTCCGGGTATCCATTGCGGTCTAAATCCAGACCTCCAGACAAGGAGTAACCAAAAGTCCGCAGAGCAGGATCCACATCTGTGGCTGTTATTTTCTGAAAATAAAAAAAAATACTTAATTAATCCATATAATTATGCATATTAAACATTAAATTGCATTTGCATGTAAATTCTCTAAATTCAAGAATACAATTTCACAATATTAATACAATATATATATATATATATATATATATATATATATATATATATATATATATATATATATATATATATATATATATAAATGCTTGAAGAACTTTATCATTTAATTTACCTGAACATATTTAGGAATGATCCCAGTTTCTGATCCATGAAATATATATACAGCACCACGTTCAAAGTTGTCATACGGTGCCCCTACTGCCAAATCTGTAGATAATACAATACATATCTGAGTTTTTTACTGCCATAAATGTACATCTAGAGCATAATGTTAAAATCTGTAATTAACTAACATATAAACCAAAGGGACAGTCATATTGTGCTTTTTTAAACCATTAATATAGATTTGGGACATTTCTCACTAGTACACCAGTCTGTCTTTCTGTCTTGCTGTTTTCATGTTTGCCCGCTGCTTTAAGACTGACCTTTACTTTTTTACATTAAGACATAATTTGCTGCATTGATGGTCAAAATCATAGCTCTCCCATGTCAAAATGTAACATTTAAAACAGTTCTTTATTTCCTAATCACCCACATGTATGTATCCACTATAGCTTTATAGTATCCTCATATGGAAAATTACTAAACATACTGTGGAATCATTTAAATTCTTGAGGGTCAATGTTCGTGGGCAAGCAAAATTTTATTGGTTCATGGGGATGTAATTTCGTTGTCAGCTCGTTTATTTGGTAGATTTAATTAATTAGTACATTGACAAAATAATTGTTCGTGGGGATGTAAATTTGTGGGTAAGGGTTACCCACGAAATCCACGAACACTGATCCCCCACGAACAATGATGATTCCACAGTACCCTAGCCACATTCTATCTACAAATTAGGGCTGGGACGATATATCGAGATATCGATAATATCGATTCAATGTGAGGATGATACGCATATCGATACATATGAAGAAATATCGACATATCGTCCAAAAAATTCTGACTAATGTTTTTCTTTGTTTACTTGACATTTTGAGTTTAATATGTAAAATAAATATGCTTAATATAAATATAAATATGAAATACATAATAATTAAGACCACTTGTGCAAAATAATTAAGTTTTACAACAGACATACAACTTCTTTGAATAAATTATTCTTATTTGTGAAGAAATGTTTTGTTCATTTCAATATAAACAAGAGGCCCATGGGCCACATCGCTCACCTGAGCACATTGGCTAGGCAAAAGCACAAATCAGTTCAGTATTGAAAAGATTACCTGGGGGTGGGGGGGGGGGGTGGCTTGAATTTTAAACTACCTGATGATGCTTCCATGTCAATATAACAAATGGCTTTATTATACTTGAGAAGATTTTAAAATAATTTTCCCAAATATTCCTTTGTAAAAATTTGATCCTCCATTGTGGCTCCTCCCTATCCCAGGGGTCATCATTTGAACTTGAATCTACACTACATGAGGATGCTTCCATATCAATATGACTAAACATAGCTTTCCTGTACTTGAGAAGAAATATTTTTTCTATATGTTCTTATGTAAAACTTTTGATCCCCCAATGGGCCCCATCCAACCCCTGGGGGTCATCATTTGAACAAAACTGAATCTACACTACCTGAGGATGCTTCCATATCAAAATGACTAATCATGGTTTGCAGTTCTTCAGAAGAAGATATTTCCCTATATATTTCTACTTAAGACTTTGATCCTCCATTGTGGCCCCATCCTACCCACGGGGGTCATGCTTTGAACAAAATAGAATCTACACTACCTGAAAATGCTTCCATATAAATATGATCAATCAGGGCTTTGCTGTTCCTGAGAAGAAGATTTTTAAAATTTTTCCTATACATTTCTATGTAAAACTTTGATCCTCCATTGTGGCCCCACCCTACCCCTGGGGGTCATGATTTGAATAAATTTGAATCTACACTACCTGTGGATGTTTCCATATAAATATGAACAATCTGGGCTTTGCTGTTCCTGAGAAGAAGATTTTTCCTATATATTTCTATGTACAACTTTGATAGTCCATTGCAGCCCTGCCCTACCCCCGGTGGTCATGATTTGAACAAACTTGAATCTACACTACCTGAGGACGCTTCCATATATATATGACTCATCATGGCTTTGCTGTTCTTGAGAAGAAGATTTTTAAAGATTTTTCCTATATAAATTATTTCTATATAAAACTTTGATCCTCCATTGTGGCCCCGCCCTAACCCTGGGGGTCATGATTTGAACAAACTTGAATCTACACTACCTGAGGACGCTTCCATATAAATATGACTCATCATGACTTTGTTGTTCTTGAGAAGAAGATTTTTAAAGATTTTTCCTATATATTTCTATGTAAAACTTTGATCCTCCATTGTGGTCATGCCCTACCCCTGGGGGTCATGGTTTGTACAAACTTGAATCTACACTACCTGAGGATGCTTCCATATAAATATGACCCATCATGGCTTTGCTGTTCTTGAGAAGAAGATTTTTTAAAGATTTTTCCTATATATTTCTATGTAAAACTTTGATCCTCCATTGTGGCCCCGCCCTACCCCCGGGGGTCATGATTTTAACAAACTTGAATCTACACTACCGGAAGATGCTTCCATATAAATATTACTCATCATGACTTTGCTGTTCTTGAGAAGAAGATTTTTAAAAATTTTTCCTATATATTTCTATGTAAAACTTTGATCCTCCATTGTGGTCACGCCCTACCCCCGGGGGTCATGGTTTGAACAAACTTGAATCTACACTACCTGACGATGCTTCCACATAAATATGACTCATCATGGCTTTGCTGTTCTTGAGAAGAAGATTTTTAAAGATTTTTCCTATATATTTCTATGTAAAACTTTGATCCTCCATTGTGGCCCCGCCCTAGCCCCAAGGGTCATGATTTGAACAAACTTGAATGTACACTACTTGAGAATGCTTCCACATGAGTTTCATCTTTCCTGGCCCTATGGTTCTTGAGAAGAAGATTTTTAAATGTTGCCATTATTTTTTCACTAATTCCTCATTATCTCCCCTTGAAAGAGGGCGTGGCCCTTCATTTGAACAAACTTTAATCCCTTTTACCCAAGGATACTTTGTGGCAAGTTTGGTTGAAATTGGCCCAGTGGTTCTTGAGAAGATGTCGAAAATGTGAAAAGTTTACAGACAGACAGACAGACAGACAGACGGACAGACAGACGGACGCCGGACAAAATGTGATCAGAAAAGCTCACTTGAGCTTTCAGCTCAGGTGAGCTAAAAAAGGATTTATAACCAATTAAACATATCATGATACATATCGTATCGTGGCTCAAATATCGGGATATGTATCGATATAGAAAAAGTTGTATCGTCCCAGCCCTACTACAAATGTGAGGTACATGTAGAAGTACAGTCTACCTTGGTATCCGTCCAGATTTAGATCCCCGGCTTTGGAGAGGGACTGTCCAAATCTCGCCTCTAAACACTTCATTTTCTCACACTCGCTCTCTGCCATGTCCAGGGTGATGAGGAGGGGTTTAGTAAAGGAGGAGAGCTGTCAATCAAAATTATAAAACAAACCTGTTCAAAGATTACAAAGTTCACATCAACATTATACATGTATAAGCCATGCTAAGTCTAATAGAATTGTTAAATATAAAAGACATTATCATCATTAATTTCTATTTTAGGCACATATCAAAAAAAAATAATCTGATGCAAGCCTGCAGTAGCATGCACCTCAAGATTAGGGGTGAAACGATACAGCTCCTTCACGGTTCGATACGTATTGTATAATTTTGTCTCGGTTCGGTTACTTTCGATACAATACATTTTGATAGAAGGAAACAAATTCTACATTGTTTTATGCTTTCTTTTTCTAAATCTTGTTACATATTTTACGAATTTTATTTGCAAATTGACTAGAAGAAATTGATTAAAATTATTTGACTGTCAAAAATTATTTTACAAGCTATCAGTCATCAAAAATTTACGTTTTCTATACTTATTTATTCTGAGTAACGTGTTATACCTTATGCCAAACCCGACTGAATAACGATCACGACCGAAAAATGAACCGAACCGAAAATTAGAGATTTTGCACCGTGTATCAAACCGAGAAAAAATACCGCGGTGCATCGATACCGCGGTGAACCGTTTCACTCCTACTCAAGATACATCATCTAGGCAAGATTTGTGCAGCTAGGTCTCATTGAATTACTTGGGAATGGATAATGTTGAAGTGAAGACATCAACTTCTACATAATCTCATCCGAGTCTGAATTGGGTGGAACAATGGACCTGCTCTAAAAACTACTAAAACTATTCACTCAACCAGAAAACACAGGTCAGATGCAGAACCCAAAGCATTAGTAGTAGAAAGTGTCTCTCATGCATCATTCATGCAAATTTGCTCCAAGTAAGGTTTACAGTTACTTGGGAATGGGCCCACACCAAAAATTTTCACATGGAAAGCTGATGCCAAGGTATAGCATAAGATCATCTCAATATAGATGAGAAGAGCATCTTAAGGATACTTGAACATTGAAATGCATAATCAAGGCTCTGCTGTTCTTGAGAAGATTTTTAAAGGTTTTTCCCAATAATTTCCTATTTAAATTTTTGACCTCCATTTGTGGTGAATCCATCCCCAAGGTCCCTGATTTGAATAACGGTAACTTGATTCTATACTTTTTGAGGGAGCATTCCTAAGGTTTGACTTTTCTGACCCAGTGTTCCTTGAGAAGAAGATTTTTACTTTTTTATCTATCATTGAAATAGGTAGTGGCCCTTCAATTGAAGAAACCCCCTTCCCAAGAATGCTTTGTGCCAAGTTTGGTTGAAACTGGACCTGTCCAGTTCTTTCTGGAGAAGATGAAAATATAAAAAAGATTACAACAACATCAGACAGCAATCAAAATATAATCAGAAAAGCTTTCCTGAGCATTTGTATATACTTTTTGCATCACATGTGTATTACACATTTTACAGAGTTGATTGCAAGTACAGAATACATGAACTTATGTATTATATGTGACCTTTTGCATTCACATGAATTTTAAACATTTGACATAATTATTACCTTTGAGTTAGTATTGTACACATAAATGGCCCCTCCAGCAAACATATTGGTTGTGGTGTCAGTTTTGGTGTACAATGGGCTTCCAACAACTAATTCATCATATCTGTCAAAAAACAAACAAACAAACAAACAAATTAATAAAGGGAAAGCAGATTTCAACAGCAACATTCAAAATGCCTTCCCTGCATACTGCATACTCCAAAATAAAGTACTGAAATTTATTTTACATATTTAATCATTATTTAATACACAATATATATGTACAATTTTCACTTGACATGCCTGTTAATTGTTACCAAAACTGTACTTGAATTTCCCAACAATCAGTTAAAATATAAATAAAATCTTCAAATGCTTCATATTTTATAATAATACATATTTGTAGGAGGAGTTTATCAAATCCTACCCATCATTGTCAAAGTCTACTGCTGCTAAGTCACTTCCAAATGCTGAAAATGCCATGGTTCCACTGATGATGTTCTGGACATAGTACACAAGGTCACTGTTACTTTTGGTAAAGATGACCACTTGACCAGTGGAATTGGACCTTGGAGCACCCCCAATGTAAACTCTTCTTGGGTATCCCCTGAATTTCCCTGATGTTACTGCATAGCCTTCAAACATATGTGATCAAAATTAGCTCCTATATTTACAGCTTACACGTGATATCTACTTTTCTGTTTATCAGAGATGTGATATAGAGAATGCGGTCTACACCTTAACTGGCAGACAACAATGTAAACATTGCTGTCAACAGTCAATCAACCAGACAACAATGTAAACATTGCTGTCAACAGTCAATTAACCAGACTATATTGTAAACATTGCTGTTAACAGTCAATTAACCAGACTATATTGTAAACATTGCTACCAACAGTAATTCAACCCGACAACATTATAAACATTGTTGTCAACAGTCAATCAACTAGACTACATTGTAAACATTGCTGTCAACAGTCAATCCACCAGACTACATTGTAAGAATTGCTACAAACAGTCAATCAACCAGACTACATTATAAACATTGTTGTCAACAGTCAATTAACCAGACTACATTGTAAACATTGCTGTCAATAGTCTATCAACCAGACCAACATTGTAAACATTGCTGTCAACAGTCAATCAACCAGACAACATTGTAAACATTGCTGTCAACAGTCAATCAACCAGACAACATAGTAAACACTGCTGTCAACAGTCAATCAACCAGACTACATTGTAAACATTGCTATCAACAGTAAATCATCCAGACAACATTGTAAACATTGCTGTCAACAGTCAATCAACCAGACAACATTGTAAACATTGCTGTCAACAGTCAATCAACCAGACAACATAGTAAATACTGCTGTCATCAATCAGCCAGACATTATAAACATTGCTATAGACAGTAAATCATCCAGACAACGTTTTAAACATTGCTGTCAACAGTCAATCAACCAGACAACATTGCAAAAATTGTTGTCAACAGTTAATCTTCACTTCGCTATAAGCGTCAATTCATTATAAGCGTGTTCGCTATAAGTGTCTTTTACTGTATTTGATAACCCTACCTAAGAATGAGTGTTCAACCACGGGGGCATTTATACAATAACTTTACCTAAGTATGAGTGTTTATCCACAGCGGGGCGCTTATCCTCTTCATGGTACGGCTGACTGTAACTCCATGACTTGTCTCTTACTGCTGAGCTTTGAGAAATATCCCCTGTTATATAGATTCGGGAAACCTGACCTGTAAATACATGCATATTTATTTACCAAGTTTTACAATCTTATACATATATCTAAATTTTTACATCTCCTGTAATTTTTTTCTAAACTATCAATGAAATTGACTTGAACACTATTTTCGTGTACAGTCACGCATATCAATATATTCACAAAAAAAATTGCACTGTTGTGATGTCACAATGAGGCTATTGAGATGGTAATAAAACTAGAACTGTCCAAAAGGGAAAAATACCCCCCGCAGGGTTTTCAGAGAAGGTGCCAAGTCACTTATATTAGTATTTGATGGATCGAAGAGGTGTTCACAATTTGTTTAAACATTTAGAGTGAAAATTTACTGGTAATTGCTCATAAAAATTTTTAATGAATGAAATTAAGGCGCAGCCTAATAAAACATCAATATTTAAAATAACATTTTTTTATTACATTGAAAAAATAAATAACAATTTTTCAAGTATTTCTCTGTTGGAAAGTATGGATGCATAATTTATCCATTTTTTCTACAGTGTCTATAGGTCAAGATCATGACACACCCTCAGGTCATAAGCAATCTTTGTGTGAAGTGGAAACTCCCAACATCCCAACATTATTCTCCATAAGAAAGATATAGGCCGGACATGAATTATGAACTTTTTATGTCAGTGACCTTGAACTTGCCCAAATGACCTTGAGTCAAGGTCATGACACACCCTCAGGTCATAAGCAATCTTTGTGTAAAATGGAAACTCATCAAGTTTATCCATAAGGAAGATATGGACCGGACACAAATTATGAACTTTTTTCTTTCAGTGACCTTGAACTTGCCAAAACGACCGTGGATCAAGGTCATGACACACCCTCAGGTCATAAGCAATCTTTGTGTAAAATGGGAACTCACCAAGTTTATCCATAAGAAAGAAATGGACTGGAAACGAATTATAAACTTTTTCTTTCAGTGACCTTGAACTTGCCAAAATGACCTTGGATCAAGGTCATGACACACCCTCAGGTCATAAGCAATCTTTGTGTAAAATGGGAACTCACCAAGTTTATCCATAATAAAGATATGGACTGGACACGAATTATAAACTTTTTCTTTCAGTGACTTTGAACTTGCCCAAATGACCTTGGGTCAATTTCATGACACATCCTCAAGTCATGAACAATCTTTGTGTAAAATGGGAACTCACCAAGTTTATCTATAAGAAGATATGGACTGGACACAAATTATGAACTTTTTCTTTCAGTGATCTTGAACTGCCCATATGACCTTGGGTCAAGGTCATGACACACCCTCAGGTCATATGCAATCTTTGTGTAAAATGGGAACTTACCAAGTTTATCCATAAGAAAGATATGGACTGGACATGAATTATGAACTTTTTCTTTCAGTGACCTTGAACTTGCCTAAATGCCCTTGGGTCAAGGTCATGACACACCCTCAGGTCATGAACATTCTTTGTGTGAAGTAGTAGATTCTAATGTTCCTCCATAAGAAAGATATGGACCAGACACGTTTGCACAGACAGACAGACAGCTAGACAGATGGACGCACAGACGGACAAAGTGATTCCTATATACCCCTAAAACTTCGCTTGCGGGAGGTATAATTATAATAAATTAAGGCAGGGGAATATTAAAATCATTTATTAATATTTTTGTTTGATTTAAATATGTACAATGTTCATATAAGGAATATTAAGGGATAAATAAAATATACTGATATAAACCACGAGAATGTATGACTGAGTTTTGAACCTATAATCAATTACAGTCAAACTTGTCATAGCGGTCACCTTTATCCAGCGGTCACCTGTCCTATGCGGTCATTTTATTTCCGCCCAATGAATTTTCCTATATAATGTAACTCTATTAAGCGGTCACCTGCGTAACGTGGTCAGCGGTCATCAAATTTCATGTAAAATCACCGTTTTCCCTCGTATATAGCGGCCATTTTGTCTGATCACGTGACCAGATCTAAAGTCAGGTGACTCCCAATTTTTGTCACTAATGTAAATTGGTCGTGTGTAGCAAGATCATGAAAAAATAATTGGCCTTATTAAAACCATTTAAAATATTGGATAATTTATTTATTCATATAACAAAGCTTAACAAGGGTGCTAGTGGTCGAAAAGGTGATCGGGGAAACGGACTTACGAGAATCTTAATCTTATTGAATTGGAATCTGGTTAAAAAAAATTCTGAATGATACCCAAGGCATCCTTATATTTATCTATTAATGGATATAATTAGGTGTTTCCTAATTATTAGTTCACCTTTGGCATGTCCAACTCCTATAGGTGTAATTGTGTAAATGCATGACAGGCCGTTTTTAACACATAAGAAACGTATTATTTGTAGAAACTCTAATTAACTGTTTTGTTTACTCAATGTGTCCTGATTATCTCGTGATTTTCAACTAGGTAAGACGACAGTTAGGATTAGTCACGCTTCATTGGTCACAACACCTGTGAATTTGATATCAATTTGTATTGTGCACTGCTTTGATAAACTGAGAATATTATGACTTGTCTGTTTATTACGCTTCTATTTACATACAATTATCAGGACTAACTAAACTTGTTTTTTTAGAGGCAGTTTAGATAAAAAATATATTATATTTTATTCATGGCACAACATGATAATGTAAACTTATAATAAAAGAAAGTTTTGTTGTTGTTTGGAGGGAGGATAATGGCAGTGCCCTATTAGACTCAATATATTTTTTGTTGGAGTCATCAAATTTATCTTGAACTTAATCTTGAGACTTTTTAAATCAAAAATAAATCTGAGACCATCGATGTCCAAAGCACATCTTTCTTTTATATTCTATGATGTAGTGTTTCAAAACACAGAACTTACATAAATTGGAAAAGAATTTTTCTTGAAAAAAGATGAACCTCTTTTCAAAGGACATCTCTCTATAAAGGTCACTTTTAATGGTTCCCGCAGGTGACTGCTTAATACAGGTTTGACTGTACATTCCTATTGTTAAGCATGGCTTTATTTTTGCAAGACTTACTTATGAAGAAATCTTGGTTTAGGGAAGTTAAAACCCAAACCCATCCAAACAACCAGTATCATTTTTATATCTTTTTATAATAATAGACAAAAAAGCTTAAATACAAGGAATTAGAACATAAACTCCTCAAAGACTACCTCGTAAGGAAGTTTTATTGTATTCATTTGCAAAACAGAATTTTTCATGTATCCTCAAAATGCTAACTAAAAAAAGGTATTTTTCCTTTTCAGTTAGAAAAGGCATTACATTTGTTTCAATGCAATACTGGGAAAATTAGTATAAAAACTTCCCTCAAATTAAATGAATCTATAATATGAAAATCTCTTATATTCCATTTAAATAGTGACCACTGAATTATTTGCCACATAAAGCATCAGATCTATTAATTAGGGAAAATTTTGTCCTTATCTTATTTTCATCCAGTTCACCTTCAGCATTAATTGGCAGATTTTGTAATTACGTGTAATCACATTTTTTTATTTTATTTAATTACCTGTCCAGTCTACTGATCCTGGAGCTCCAAGAATGATCTCCTCATCCTAAAAAAACACACAAAATTACACTCTTTATCACAGGCATATTTTAAAGAACCAATATATTAACTTTTTACAGCCTTAGTAAATAAAGGATAATACTGACAGGCATCACCACAGCATCTACTCCAGACTGACAATAAGCTGTCCCCTCATTATCTCGTCCATCATCTAAACACTGGCGGATTTCTCCATATGGCTCAAGGTTATTTGAAAAGGATGCACACCTTCCCAGGGGATTGTAGTTCAGTTTGTATCTAAAAGCACAGGCCTAAAAAAGAAATAGCATAATTACAACCCTTGTCTGCATTCTTTTTTTTATGAAAGAGAATCATATTTAGGGCTTTTCCTAAATGTGAATAGTGAGAAAAATATGATTTTGTATAAATATCATACACAGAAATATTGATAGCATTAATTTGTGATTAATATTCCATATCCTGTAATTACACTTAATCTTAAAAATACTTCATAAGGATAATATATTTATATATTTCCACTTATAATATATTTGTAATTAATATATCTGATATATTTCTGTCACATCCTAACATGTTTGATTTAGCAAAAAAATCCTTGAATTAACCTATCTAATTCCCTTCCTAAACTTTATTGTATAGACAAATTTCACATTCGTAAGAGTTATCTCCCGTTGTCAGCTAACACTCATTTTTCTCACTATATCCTTTATAACTTACCCGTTTTCAACCTTCAAACACTATAATCTGACAATTTTGATTCGTTCCTGTATTGCCATAGTATGGGGCAACATAAAAAAACATAATGAACATATTCAGGCAGATTTAATTTATAAAACATTGCCCCGTAAAGTTGGTAATGTTATAAAGGGAAAACAGTGTCTTACGCCGGTTGACCCCAGATTGACCCCGCAAAGGGAAATAACTTTTGTAAATGTGAAAGATGTTTATGGTCCGTCTATTCCACATATGACATTTATATTTTTCAGAGCATCTCCACAGACTGTACACATTGAGGGCACTTCTCATCAATTGTACACATTAACAGAACAATTCAGACTCTACAAACTAAGGGTTCCTTCCAGAGACTTTTCATATCATAACTGTACACAGTAAAGACTGTTCCTTCCCCCACCCTTCTAACACTGAAAGAAGTCTTTACCAAGCCCCTTCAATACCCTAATACTACACACACTGAGGATCTCACTATACCCCCCCCCCCAAATGATATACTGTAATTTACATTTTATTCAAGAGAACTTTATTTTCACATAATAGTAAAATGTATGTACTACATGAAAAAGTAGTTCTTGTGAATAATAACAGGACATATATAGGAAGGATTAACAAAAATTGTATCTCATCAATAAATCTAGTGCTAAGATCTTGCCAAAATATAAGTGAATTGTAATACTTACCAGCGCTATTCCATCCCCCGAGCTTCTGACTGTGCCCCCTAACCACTGGTCATTGGTTGAGATCCTGCTATTCTCTGCAAACACTGATGCTATAACAAATTATACAGAGTAGTATATTTTTATCACTCTAATCATTTGTAATTGATTCTTCTCTCCTTTCTTGCTGTATTAATAAGGGCATATTTTTTTTCTCTTTTTTACTTACTTAATACTAGAATGTTGATTATGTATTTCCTTTATCTTTACAAAAATGTCCCCATTTTATTAAGTTTTTGGTCTAACCCCCTCTGCCAAATCTTCTTTAATAAGATAAATCTTTTCCTCTGCCTATATATGCTATATCATAACCCCCCCCCAGCTTTGCTTTAATAGATTTCTTTCACTCCTCACTTACCATTTTGGTTGTATTTTCTCCACTTACTTCCATCTCTTTTACTATGATAAATATCTCCTATCTTTAGTGCCATAAGTTATAGACCACTCTTCATCATCTATGTTGTTGATTCCCATATCTTTGCTATGAACCTGTGACTCTCCCCTCTTTCCTGCACCTATTATTTCCCCCAAACATTGATGTAATATGCCCCCCCCCCTTACCTATGTTCTTGATTTCCCATATCTTTGGTTTTACCCCTACATACACCACCCCTGTGCCAATGTTTCCCCCATATTCCCCCTTTCCTATGTTGTTGATGAAATTTTCCTTATGTTTGCTATTAACCCCCCTTTTTCAGCTACGTTCCCCCTATTTTTGCTGCTATATGCCCCCTTATCTGTGTTAGTGATGAATTTTTCTTTACCTTTGCTATTACCCCTACCCCAGCCACCCCTGCAACTATGTTTCCCCCAATTTTTCCTGCTCTATATACTCCCCTTACCTATGTTGTTGATGATGTTACAGCTGGGGTTACTGTCCCCCCCCCCAATTTTTCCTGCTATATGTACCCCCCTTACCTATGTTGTTGATGATATTACAGCTGGGGTTGCTGTTGATGTCACACTGATACACGCCTCCTGGGGCATAGGATCCATTAGCTGCATATTTAGGGGCACCCACTAGCAATCTGTAAAGAATTAAAAGGAAACTGATGTCAGTTTCTGGAATACATAAAGCTTTTAAAAATGAATCATTTCAGAATGTTTGGTAATGACAGATCGGGTAATTACAACTTTTTGGGTAAAAATTAATGGTGCAGACAATATATGCATGTTTATGCATTAATGTAAGCTAGGATATGTATAGAGAGAGAGAGAGAGAGAAAGAGAGAGAGAGAGAGAGAGTGAAATTATAAGATATCATCAGGAAGGATTAGAAGGATAAGTCCAACAAAACAAATATAATGCAAAACATATTCTGCTTTGCCCTTGTGTTTGTTTCATTAACATGATTAAAGAAGAATGATTGCACACCTGAATATATTAGTCAGTCTAATAATCAGTTATGGAGGCATCTAGCACCACACAAGATGCTCAAATAATATTTCCTGAACAAAATATTTCTTGTTATAAGCTTAAAATCTTTTATTATTTTTTTTATATTAAAGACACTTTAAATGTTTTGACAAATGCATTTTATTAGCATTTAGTATTATCTTTTATAATCAGCAACTTAACCTCTTAAACATGCTTACAATGCATGTTGCACCCTCTTGAAAAACACTTGAAAACCCTTCTATCAATCAAAACTTAATATTCCTCTACAAGTAGTATACACACTGCTAAGCAGTTTAATGGTCTCTGCAATAAGAAGCATTAGCATGTCAAGAATTTCACTGAAGAATGTTTCCTCAAGTACTGATTGTATTGTTCTCTTGATCATAGGGCAGATAAAGCTCTCTAACAATGGGAGGAGAGATCACACATTAAACCTGTCTCCTACTGCCTTAAAACAATACACATCTGTGAGGCTGACTGGCTAGTATGTGGTGATAATGAGATCTATGGGGGTGTCTGCACTTTATGTACGGGAGTTTGTAAACATGGTAAACATTCTGATAATTTATACATAGCAGTAAATCTCCACCTTGTGGTTTATATCTGGGACATTCCTATAATATAACATTTGTAAGAACAGTGACTAATGTACCATAATTATTTAGGGGAGATCATCCCATGCTATCACATCCCAAGATATGATAAGAAAACTTTTGTATCGTCATATCAATAATTTTTACCTCACTGGCCTAAGGAGTAAAGACTTTAAAAGGTTATAAAAATTATACAATTTTTTATCTCCAATATAAGAAGAAATACAACAGATGTATACACATATTATAAATGGTGCACACAACAGCTGAAATTCAACATGACTATGACAATGAAGTTTTACACAACACTGTACAAGTCTAACAATGAACATGACACTGAGTTATCTACTTAATCTCAGCTTTAATTCTAGATGATCTACTCTGTGGTAATGGTCACACGCTGGCTCCTCTGATGTGAACCCCCTTCTTTGTTTGTATCACACATCAGGATGATGTAATATGAAGCTGTATAGTTTATATGTCTACGCTAATTGATTCAATAGGGCATTGTGTATTGGCTGACTGTGGGTTAGCAAATTAATGGCCCTGTGGGAACAATACAATCTCATTCCATGCAGTGATCCCCAGGTTTTTAATCAAACCTCAATCAACAATAACAGCCACTGTGTATTCCTCCAGCGCTCTCTGTATTAAATGAAAATTAATAATGCCAGACTGAAAAAGCTGTATGTCAGGAATGACTCAATGCATTTTTCTATTGTAACAGGGTTTTTTTTTGATAGTTTGTTTTCGTTTATTTTCAATTACCCAGGACTTAATTACCAGTGAAAATAATATTCCAAATGATTTAGTCTATCAGACTCTATGACAGACATCAGACATATTACAAGCATGATTGATACAAGCAGACAATCACATATGCCCAATGCATTCATTCCTTGATATCCTTGACATATTGATGTTGCTTTGGGTAAGTATTAATATAAACACACACAAATAATATCTCTTACTCTTCCGTAATTTACCAGAGAGGGGTCCAACATAGGACCTCCCCCCAGATGGACTCTCTAATGACTTTCCAGTCATTGACCTTGTCATACGTATCACTGGAGGCTCTCACACATCAGGAAATATTTCTTAATACACCTCACTGCATTTAAAAAACAAATTTAAAGGTGTCATCTAATATCTGCTAGATAGGATGACACTCAGTCATACCAAGCCAACTCTAGTGTGAAGCAGAAGAATTTCAGATTCACTTCACTATTAAGAATTATATCCAGGCAGAGTTAATTTCAATGACTATAGAAACCCAATAGGGAGCATCTCCAATGCAATTAATCTAAGGTGTAAGGTCTAAGGTCCCATTGGGGACATATAAAAGTGTGAGAAGTATATAAGCAGTCCTATAAAGTTGATTAGTGTTTATCTCCTATTGGAACATGACATATAGTTTTATCCACTTGGGACAACACTAAGTCTCATTACAGGCAATGGACATTTTAATGGCTAGCATCTTTCAAAGTATTAACAATTACCTGAAGAGAGTGCAGTTTTTTATTACAATACAATTTTGTATGAATCCAACTGCAAATGAGCCTCTGATAGATATTTTGATATTCCCAGGGATCAGCTGTAATGAGATTGTTTATTCCCAATGGAAGACAGGTTTAAGACATTGACTTAATGTGCTGAGCAGGGGGAACAACCCCAGGTCTTTCCAATAACTCAGCATTAATTAGGATCAAAGCCCTGCAATTCTAGGTTTATTCTTTAGAAATTGAGTATAAACAGCTGACCAAAAAACAGTGATGAAAAACAATGGATAAGGGTTTGTTCTTTTTTACCTAGCATTCTGTCTCAGCAGGAGAATGTATAATCAGTCAGAGCAGCTAAGAGATCAATAAAATGTGGCCAAGATGCATTCATTGGAGACATGCAAAAAAACTCAACTTCTTATTCGTTCTTGAAGCAAATTCATGTCATGTTTCATCATAGTCAAAGATTCTTTAGGCTTACTAAAGCACATGTGCAGTTACAGAAATTCAAAGCTCCAGAGAAGGGAGGCATTACTGTCCCACATTTCTACTGTACTACTGAGAAAATGTGACAGTTTGATCGATAGGAGGGGGGGGGGGGGGGGAAGGAGAGGAAGAGATTTCAACAGAAAACAAAGTTGCACTGGATGTCACTGCTTGACCCACTAATTATAGTTCCATCCTTTTTATGTTCAACTATTGAGTTTCCTGTAAAACACTTCCTGTTCCTAGAGGACCCTCTTTCTATACACTTATCATTCAAAGTCTCTAATTAATCATGTCCTTGACATACCCTCTGTATTTATTAAAAGGGTATATGCTGACAATGCATTGTCAAATGACACAAGGAACACAAATTCCTGTGAAGTGATACCAGTTAGTGAAGGAATGTGTACACTTACTTGATAATCTTAGTTGTCCTCTAAGAGCCATTTCACTGAGTAAGACACACTTAATACAGACCAATACAGTTAGTTATAGACCTAGAAGATTTGCACATGAAGGGTGACAATATAATTATCAAAGATCCATAATGTCAGATGACTCTCTTATCAGATGTCCACCCCCTGACCAGTCAATGACCTTGGGGTCAAACACTGGGTCAAATGTTAAATGACATCTGGCTGATAATGTACTTTTATGTACATCATTTTTCATGTAACATACACTGTACAGTAAAATAACTGTGGTACCCAGCTGTCTAAAAGTGAATTTATTTAGTTTATCACATGAACGTCTTGAGTTTTCTTTTTTTCCCAATTTTTTTTTAATAGGTTTTAATGACAGATTAAAGAATGAACAGTGACCATGGTGACTGCACACCATATTCATAATCAAGTACCAGTACTTTAAATACATATACAGCACTGTCACACTCATGTATGTTATGCAACAGATAAAAATATAATAACTTAAGTGATGTAAGTTTTTTAAAGTTTCAAACACCATGTTGTATACAGAGGTGTCTTAGTATATAGTGATGTTTATTAAACCCAGATGCTTTCATTGATCTAAGTTTGCAATCTTTAATCAAAATTTTATTGTCAAGTGTCATATATGGTGTACCGAGCATGCATGTTCATGGTTTTAATCAGTTTGAAATGTGACAAGAATCATAGTTTCTCAAACATTTTGCTTTAAAATTCTTCAATGTATTGTTCATGTTGCTCATTGTCAAACAAAAACAAATAAATGAATGACATGGGGGGGGGGGGGGGGGGGAGGTGATTTTTTTAATTAATTTTGTTACATATTTCTTCTTCCCATACTTAACATGCATAAACTGCAAAATCCTCCCAAAACACAAAACTTTCCTTTAAATCAACACAGTCAGCATCAAAATAGAAATAGCAATATTTTTCTTCATCAGTGCTGTACAAATGAATTTTTAAAAAGTTGCCAATACATGCAATAGAGAGAAATATTATATTCCTATAAATATTTAATCGTCCCATGCATAAACCATGTATACTTTCGTAAACAATAATTTGATTCAAATACAGCCAAACATAATAAGTTTCACCTGTGCATGTGCAGTACGGAATGCATGGGATGGGTTAAGATAGAAAGAGGGCAAGGCACGCTAAAAACACAACTTACAGATATTGTTCCGTGCTATTGATCTTATGTTGTGCGAGTGAAAAGCCGAAATAACTGTTTTTAGGTCCCTGTTTAATGAATGGCATCTTCACATCCACGTTGAATCCTAGAACATTAATTATTCCAATAATTAATAGCAGTCTTTCCCATGTCAACAAACATGGGACAGCCATTGTTGCAAATGTCGCCAATGTCTCGCACCTGTCCGAGAACTGGAATCGCGAGATGTCACTGTTTAATGGGTAGCGGAAGAATATCACAATAGCTTTAGCTCAAAATTTGCTATTACTTTCTTATGATTTTTTTAAAGCCAGAAATATTTAAATGACACAACACGAATAGTTTGGCGTGTTTAATATAATTAAAAGTACATGCAAGACCTGGAAAAACAACATTACTACAAGGTAATATGCACTATTTTTTGCGGAAGAAGTAACTTCATTCCTGTTTCGTCTTCTCGAGTGGGAGGAGACGATAGCTTCAAACTTGAAATATAAAGATGCTATCACGAACAAAGTTTTTATTGTAAGATAAGGAAGTTGGAAACTAAATAAGGATGTTATCTAGTGCTGTCAAACAACATCAAACTAAACAGCATGCGAGGAGAGAACGACAAGGTTTGCCATGAAGAATGTAGTTCTACTTTCACTTTGCTGTACATAAACAAAAACATCGATAATAAGGGAGAACTTGTTGGTACATTGTTAAAGACGGGCATTGTATATTGTAAAAGAAATCTTTATACAGGGTAAATTCACCATGGACCAACATGTATATATCCTATGGAACAAGGGTTACAAAAAGGCCCTGCAGTTCAAAACAATTGAAAAATAAAAATAGAAAATTTTCTTAAAGCCTGTTAATGTAACCTCAGGCCAGTCAGGGTGCAGTAGGTACAAAGGTTACTGTAATGCAGTGTTTGAAACTCACAGTAAAATTAGCTAGACATGCAAGGTTTACTGCTTGTAATAGTTGTCAGCCCTGCCAAACATGCCAAAGATTTACTAGTCTGAGAAAAGTTTTCTTTTATATATATTTATTTGTTTTAAGCTATTATCAATCATTGTACAAAAACATGCCCAATTAAGAATTTTTCGTGTTGTTTACAAATTTACCGTTGTAATAACATAACTATAATTTAAAATTTTAATAATACTGTTATTATTTATATGATTAATTAAATTGATGCAAATGAATTACTGAAGGTGTCGTATAGAGACTGCATTTTCTCTACATGAATTCTGACTTTTTTGGAGGGAAGGGGGGCAGAGTGCACCAAAAACATTTTTTAGCACTAGCCCCAGTCAAGCTAGCAATTGCAAAATTTTACCAGCCTGAATCGCTTTTTACTAGCCCCCTTAAAAGTGAGAAAAAAATGACAGTTTTGTTTCATTCCTTTAGATTTAATCAACAAGGCTGATATTTAATTTCAAAAATTAAATTTCTATGAACTGTTTGTTCTACATTTTACTGTCAATTATTTTACACATGGATGCAGTTCTATGCATCACAACATGTTTGTAAATAACCATGTCATGGCCCACTGCCTGCCCATCATTTCATTCATTTGAAACTCAGGTGCATTTTAATTCAAAGTGTTTCTTGCATTGATGTCTGCAGTGACAGTCTCCATCTAAACTTCTCCTTCACATAATTATACAGTTGAACTTCGGAATCAACATCACCACACGGCCATCTCTTCTGGGGGGGTTTTTACCATCACTTGCCGCATCCCAATCTTTTTAAAATTTGTGTCCCGGTGCTTGATTTTTTCAAACAGTCACTTGGACAGACATTTTCTTGATGTTATCAGTCCAGACAAATTTTTACCTGCCTTGCTGACAGGATTGCAGGTTTTTGACAAGTCTGCAAATATTAAATAAGTCCAGATAAAACTAAAATAAATGAAACAATTTACAAGCAAAAATATTTTATCGAAAACTTAATTATTCACTTTTTGTTGAATTCACGGATTTCTTAACACTGTGAATATAACGAATATTTACACCATGAATTATTTATAACTCCCTTTATACAGAACATGTTCATCCACATTTTTGTACACTTTGAAAACAACAAATTTGTCCTGTCTAATATGCATGTCTTTTTTTATATTACTCTCAGATGAAATGATCTAATTTATCTGTTTTTTCATGTGCTTTTTTTTTTGCTTTTAGAAAAGAGAAAAAAAGAGGCAATAGTAGCATCCACAGCCTTAACTCACGCCCTGGTGGATCATCTCAATGGAGGGTAACAAACATCTCTCTCCTCCTCTCTACACTTATATCTCTCCTCCTCCCACATACATGTCATTTTTATTTTTAATCATTTTTTGGAGGGGGGGGGTTCAAAATTAAAATTGTTTCATCTACTTTGCAAGGTATGTGAGAGGATCAAATATATAATTCTGATAAGATTTATATTAATTTTTTTGTTTTGATCAAAACAATACAATTGTACATGTACAAACATTTACATGTAATGTACACTTAGGCATGCCCAGTTATAGGCAAGCTAGCTCAATGATGAGCTTTTTAATATTTTTGATCAGTGCATATTATCTATTCAAGATATATTACTAAAGTCAGGTACTCTTCACACAATTGCTCCAAAGAAAATAGTTCCATTCATGATCAGTAGATACAACATTACAACAAATATTAAGAATAATGATGTATATTTAATACGTTAAAGAAAACACAAAATTAACGTTAAAAGATTTTAAGAAAATCACTTTTCCCCAGAAAAGGAAATAAAAAGTTTTCATATTCCTACGCTCGCTGCCTCCTCAGTCTTTTTCACGAAATTATATATTAGGTCATCCTTCGATTGATAGTGATAAATCTTTTCACCAATTATATAACTGTCATGATTATTGTTCGTTGGTTATAATTGGTGTTAGAATCGGGACGATCCCCTTTGTGTTGTACCTTTCACTACGCAAGCGAGGTGTTGGATATTATCACCGAGCAAAATTAATGTTTTTGAAATAAATAACTTTTTAAAATATTATACTAAATTTGGACGTTTATCTGTTAAATTCTCTAACTATTATCATTGCAATCCATGTCTATTAATTAGTTGTTTATTTCTCATTCTCTTTGAAGCAGGATTAAGACATTCCAATTGACTTTTAAGTGACTGTCAAAAGATTTGATACTCGTTAGGTGTAAATGCCTCAGGACCTGTTAATCTTGTTTACATAATTATTTAGCAATGTCTTTTATATATCCATTCTATCAAAGAAACACACCTGTCCATCAATTAATTCAGCCATTGTCATGATGCAATTATTGTTTACTCTCAGTATTACAAAATACTTTCTTCAGTTTGGAGGCCCGATGCTCTACCGGCCACATCCAACTCGGTTTAGACTTGTAAGCTATTGTTGAAATTCATGTTGATTGTTATTTACCATCGTCTATAATAAAATCGGAAACCTGGTTTACTAATTCTTGGACTTTATATTGGAAGACCATAAGCAGATAAGGAATATGGCACCTTTCTCGTTTACATTGTATTACGGCCCCACAGCGCCGCTACTTTATTACCCGCCAACATTCCTTCTTCCCCGTTTACGCTAAACAACGGATATAGTCCAGGAATTACTTTTATAACTTTATAACCAAAATCTAACTGGTTATACATCTGCAACGTTGTGATAATAAAAGTCACTACACGCATGTAACGTTATATATGTACATGCAGTTTCCTTAGTACATGCATATTTTATTCAACAAAAGATGTTGAAACTCAGTAGCCTAAATATTATGTCATTTTAGGATATTTATGGCCATTGTATAGTTGACTTTCTACAGCTTGAGTATCTCTGACGTTTTATCAGTAAATAGTTTTTTTTTTTCAATTAGAAATCATCTGAGCACAATGAAAATTCGAATAAATTAAAAGTCGAATATCTTGGATATGGGGTAACCCATATCTATTCTTGTTTATTTTGAACTATTGCATTGTTGTAAGAGAATTGATGTAAAGTGATGGGATACACAGAGCTAATGTGATTGTCCTGGGAGGTTAAATGTTGTAGTGTTTTATTCTTATATTTAGAGTTGCTCAGGCCTATGTAAATCAGAAGAAGTTAGACACTGAAACCAAGATTTTACAAGCTAATGCATCCCAGTTCTGTAGACAGACGGTACAGTGGGTAAAACTAGTCGAGGATTTCAATACAGCACTGAAGGTTTGTGTACACTAAAAAAAACAACATTTTTCTGTTAACAGATGGTTATCTGAAGATATTAAACTAAACATTTTTATAAAGAAATTACAGAAAATTAGAAATTTGTTAATGCAAGTAATAGCATGTTTCACCCCAACTGCTCTTCTTCTGTTTCCATGGTAACAACAGTTATTTTGAATGTTGCATGCACAACAGAGGCTTTTTGTAGAGAAAACATCTGAACATTATAATTACTATAAAGTTTCATTAAGATTGTCCAAGCCCATCTTGGAGAACTGTGGACAAAATTAGGTGGACCAATGAAAATCTTTCCTCCTTTAGGTAGTCCGATCCTCAGGTTCTAAAAATCAGCTTTTAAGTAATTGAAAATGCTCACAAAAATGTTTCTGATTTCACATAGTAACATGAATTTACCCATGGAATTTCTTCAAAGTTCGTCATTAAAGTTAATCATATTATATAGGGAAAATTATCAAATCTCAAATATATTTTCAGGAAATGTGAATAAAAACACCAGCTATGCATTTTCTAATTGAAAATTGATCAACAAATATAATTAAGGATAGAAAAATATAGGTATCCAGGCATTTGGAGAAAATTGCATCTTTTTTATGCTTGTACAGTATTTTAGTTCTTCTTTTTACTTCAGTTGTCATATACATGTAAATACATAGTGAAAAAACTTGTGCTATCGATTGCTAGATATCACATGTCACATCTAATTTCATATCATGCTAATTAGCAGTGGTATCTAATAATAGACTAAAGGAAATTCGATTTCTCTAAAAATGAATTCATTTTTTTTTCTTTTATGGGGTACAAATGTCAACTTTTTACAATACCGTTTCTAATACTTCAAAGAACCCTGAATCATCTAAAGATGCATAAATTGAAAATTGCTGCACGAAAAGATCTCAATTTCAAGCAACATTTTGAATAAAATAATGAATTTAAGAGTTATCCTTCCTGGCGGAGGATTGGATATCCTTAACTATGTTTGGGGTGGCAAAACAAGGTATTGCAATCTGATCTATGAAAGCTTGAAAACGTATGCCAGTCAATTTGTGTGATTCAAATTACCGTATGAGAATAACCCTCTGAGGATGGTACCAGACTAATACTGGTACTAATTAATTTTCATACCTGATGGTGAGTGGCCTAAGGAAGTTGCGCTGCCTTGCGGATAAAACTAACCATGTCAGATTTAAATGGACACTCAGGTTCAGTTAATAGTCTACCCTTATTAACACTGCAGAGTTAAAACTCTATTACACACATTATATGTACATTTATATGAACCAGCATATAGAGTGGGCAGTTTGAGAACTTGTTCAAATTTAATCATAGAGATATATAAACAGATTAACTTACAGACAAATAAATGTGCATGCACATGAAAACCTTTAGTTTCTATACAGATATGAGGGATAAGGCAATGCTAAAGAATTTGAATTGAAATATAATCTAATTCAGTAACTGTGCTGTTCTTAGATAAACCATCCAAAATATCCATCATGTTTAATGTTAGAATATAAATCTGTTACATGTAACGTTATAATGTTAAGTGATATAAACTGTATAGCCAAAAAATGACAGGTATCTGTATATAAAGTAGTTTGCCACATTGTTTGGCCACACTTTTAACAGATGAGTGGGATCTACTGTAATGGGCTGTCCTCAGTCTTAATTCATTCAAATTTGTACGTATTTTTTTCAAATTATAATTTTATTTGAAAATAAATAGTATTGACACCATGATTATCTTTGTATTGTTACAGGAGCTGGGAGATGTGGAAAACTGGGCCAAAAGTATAGAGACTGACATGAGAACTATATCTAGTGCTCTAGAGTATGCATATACTAAAAGTGAATAAAGTTTTAGTCATGTTAGTGAAGGAAGAAAAATAAATGGCTTATTCTGATGTTACCAATGAGAAAACCTCACTGCAACTTTAACGCATATCTATCCAAAAGTGTGCAATTAAAATATGTGTTTTCACAACTTCCTGACTTTTTAGCTATATGAGGTATATTTATTCCCACAGAAAAAGTACATGTATTCTACAACAGGTAGAAATTAACATAAAGGTTCAGGTTTATGTACGGTGTGTATGTTAGCTTTGAAATATGATAAGTTGTTGATGTGTTTTGTAATATTAATAAATGTATCTGTTAAGTGTTTTTTTTCCTCTGAGTATAATTTATTATTAGTTTGGCATTTAGTTTCTCTTTGGTCAATTTTTAAGTGAAATGAGAAATAATTTGACAAAGCAGGATAGCCAATTAATGTGAGCCAGCTATTATGTGACATGCTGGCTAAATAATTTTCCATGAAGTGAAATGGGTATACTTTAATGTTTTAAGATGCATTTTTTTTAAATCTTGAATATATTAAGCTTGTTAGGTTCATTTTGATGCAGTGAGTGAGCCTCAAGTTAAGGGCATCAAATTTTAAGGAGCAGCCAAAGCTTAAGCCAAATAAAAAAATATGTGTGGTTCCGGTTACCCGACCTTCCCTTTTTTATACCCCGACCCTAAACTTTTTTTTGGCAATTTTCATATTTTTTCCGGAATTTTCCCCTATTTTCATCAATGGCTCCAGGTTTAAGTTTTAGTTTCAGCAATGACGGCCTCCTTGCAAAACATAGTGCTAGTGTTTAATAGTGTTAAATCCAAAGCAAGCTAGCATGTAGGTGTCCCCTACCAATATTGACTAGTATATTATCACACCACATCTAAATGCCATTTGCAAAGCAGTGATTAGGTATAATTTAGAAAAATTAAGATAATCATTTTGATTAAAGAAAAATTTTTTTTTAAAAAATCCCTACCTACCTACCCTAATTTTTTTGGAAGTGTAACCGGAACCACACATATTTTTTTGTTTGGCCTTATAATGCTAATATTCGGAGACACAACACAGTAGATTTTCTAGGCGTTTGATGCAATGAGTGAGTCATTACTGTAAACTTTGACATATAGAACGGCCAAATTATAAGAAGCAGTCAAAGCTTACAGTGCTATTATTGGGAGACTGTTATTTACGCAGTAGATTTCTTAGGCGAGAGATATACTCGAGTTTTATATAAAGAAGGAAACTCCGTTCTATATGTCAAAGTTTACAGTAACTATAAATAGCTAAAGGAGTAAACAACAGTATCATTTTTTTTTATGTTGAAAATAAATTAAAAGAGTTAAACTTCAAAGATGATGCTTTTTAAGTAACAAGGTATACTTTAATGTGATAAATCATATATTTTAGCTCACTCAAAAGCAGGTTGTACATGTAATTACAAACAAGGTCATTGTTCAGAAAACAAATATAGAATTTTCTACGTAAACGCAATTAATGATATCCTGTAACATCAACTTATTTGTCTGTAGCATTTTCAAGTGTTTCCGCAGGCGCGGATCCAGGATTTTTTTTCCCGAAGGGGAGGGGGGGGGGCAACCCAGTCAAAAAATTCCAACCCAGATATTTCTTGACAAGCAAAAAATAAATAAAAACCTAAATTCCCTTCCCAAACGTATTAATTAAACTCAGAAAATTTCTTCACAAGCAAAAGAAAAAAAAACAATCCATTTCCCAAACGTGAAAAAAACTATTTCGTGGTGGTTATGATGGGGTCCACGTTTTCTTGGGTGGGGATGGGTCCAAAGTCATTTTTTATTTGCTTCAGTATATACTTTCAATAACTCTGCAAATTCCGGGGGGGGGGGGGGGGGGGTCCGGACCCCCCTCTAGATCCGCGCTAACAAATGTAAACGATCAAACCTGGAATTTCATACCAGCGATGTGCATGAGAAATGGATACCTGTAATCTTCTTGTAAGTTTTCAAGACAAAGGAAATTTTTATTAATCATGTTAATCAAGGGTGAGAAAATCATTCGCTGGAAATACATGTACATGCAGCTAGATTTCTTAGCATGTATATTTTGCACTTGCTTTATGGTTTAGATGTTTGGTTGAAATGAACTGAAAGTTGTTGAATGAACTGAAGAACAACTTAAACTATTCGTTATAGATGAAGACTGAGTGGTTGTCATATTTCTCGTCTTATTCTTCTTCCGGACACAGCAAGGGCAAATTCCTTCCCTGACCCGAGGAGACAAGAAGGCGTAAAACACTGGGTTGATGCAGTTGTTGAGCTGGAGGAGTAGAGAAGAAATAGTTTGTGTCACATATTCTGGAGTGTAAAGACCAAATTCGAAAAGGATTGAGAACACGTGCCACGGCAGAAGCAGAAGAAAGAAAGCAAGCACAACCATGATAACAACTACTTCCATCTTTCGTACCGAGGAATTTTTCGTCTGCAGACTATTCCTTTTGAGGTTAATTATTTTTAGAGCATGGAATATCACCATGACGCTTAGCGGTGCGAGATAAGAAACCAAAATATCCAATGTTTTCTCAGTTTTCTCGTTAAATTCGAAGGTTTTTAAGACTCCTAAGATAAAGGACACGGTAAAAATTCCAATGATGGTCATTATAACAATGTTTTTTGTCAGTAGAATGTTTGCTTTCAGTGGGTAAGAGATTATGATGTACCGAAACACTGATAGTGCAGCAATTAAAAAGCCAGAGGCAAGGTACGTTGAAGATATCATAACCATAATCAATTTCTTTAAGTATTTGTATAAGAATTCACCAGTACAATTCTGTAGGTTCCTATAGTTATTTGGGTCCATGTAGGCATAGTACAAAAGACCCCACAGTAATCCACCCAAACAGTATACACAATCTGAAAGAGCGAGAAAACCTATGACAGCGTACGTTTTGCTGTGTAAATTCTTTTTCAAAGTAATGATGAAAGATGTCAATCCGTTCCCAATAAAACCAAATGTTAACATAGCGACTTTTAACCACTCGATTACTGGTAGATGCCATTTACAAACAAAGACATGATCCGGCGTTCGGGATGTTGTATTAGATGTGTTCGAATATACGTAGCTGAAAGTAGTGTTCGGAATGCTAGACACACTGATATTTTGAAATCCAAATGACATTTTATTCTCACTACTAGTAATTGCCACTTACAGTGTAATCAAATATGAATAGTAGAGGCAACTTTGTGATTTTGTTAACACTATACAGGTAGTCTTGGATGACGCTCGGATAATTTGGCCGCAAATCAAACCTTTCAATCACAATCAACTTAAAGTATCAAATGTATTGCCTATAATTTCTAAATGGTTTCATTGATATGAATTTGAATAACAATGAATTATTTGTCTAAATAACAAACAATTAACTAATGGATTGAATCTACCAATGAATGGCGGGCAGCAGATCAAGGAAAGGTGAAGCTATATGCAAACATCAACCCTCTTGAGTTAATTCATGTAAAATGAAGTGCTCCATGTATTACATTAATGCTCAATTCAAATCATTGATTATTGATGTATATCACATTTTCATGTGGTGCGGTACTCAGAAATAAACTGCACACTAAAAAGGTTTAATTTCATGATAATTTAATGGAGTTAGAGTGATTCGAATAGATCTAAAGTAAATTGAAGTCTACAGTTAATTTCTCAATTTGTATTCAATTTAGGAATTGTTAATATTAGATCAAGATTAATTAATTGAACACTATTCACACGTGTTTTCCGATACCAAAGTGTTTTGTTTTGTTTTGTTTTTTTATTTTTTACTGAGATAAATCGCAGGTATCCTATGTTAAAAATGAATGAAGAAACTTTTTCTTTCAAATTTACTTTCTTTATTAGTGTAAAGAGGTCCTTTACGTCAGAGTTCTCATGATGGGGCTATGTTATTCCAAATTCTAGTAAAATAGTAATAACCAATTATGATTGTAAATATATATAATAGAAATGTGATTGACAAATTGTGATGTCATTTTTCCTTATACTTGAAGCAAGCTTTACACAATTTTTTCTTACGAAATTATTATTACCCCCCCCCCCACTTGCTTGAAAAGCGGGGGATATATAGTGATGTGGGTGTCCTTCCATATGTCCTCCGTACTTCCTTTACACTTGGGGGTACCCATCTCTTAACCGCAACTCCTTCTATAGCACTGATTAAAAATTCATGAGACTTTCATGGAATCTTTTATACATAGTGCCATGTGCACCTTTTATTTTATGCTCTGTTCGGACTGATATTTTGGGTTTTCCATAGCAAAAAATGGACACTGACATAACACTCACATGGGAGCCGGGTTAGGGGTTATCATTTTGTGAGCTCACTGGACGCTCTACCTTTAGTTGTATGTAAAATTGATTTGAGAATGAATTCCATCATAGAAGAAGTCTTATCTGTATACGTATTGTTAACATAGAATCTTTATTTGATTGAAATTTTCTATTTTTTGTCTATCTGTGACGTGTGAAGCATCTTGAGTAAGATGACACATTTCTATAGCACTTTACTCTTGTACACTGCTGCAATCCCTGAATATCTTATAATCATCTCATCGTTTTCTTTTTGATGTTTCTTGTTATTATGCCAACAGTAAACATATTGAAGATAATAGGATTTTTTTTTACATTTTGATATCGCTTATTTTAAGATATCTACATTATAGAGATCCGTTATATTCCTAACGTATTTCTACATCTTTGATTTTCATTTCTCTTGAAGATGACATACCCATCAATAAGGTATTCCTTTCATCTTAACCAAATATGAATTTGATTCCTTCATCTTTCGTCGAAATTATTTTTCTTCGTTAGACAATCACGTTACTATATTTTCATAAAGGATACTAATTTGCACGGATATTAAATTATAATCAAAAGCTAGCAATCAAGTAATTGAATGATGTTAGGATTCTACTTGTAAAAAACAGATATTATCTTGAACTCGCTGTTTTTTGTCCGGTCTGTATTTTTCGAAAATATAAGGACCAATAATTTTGGTGGCGATTAAAATTGATAATCTATAGTTTTAGACTTGCATGTCGGTAAAAGTACCCCACCTTCGTTTAGAATGCTTGTGTGTTCCAGTCATAATCAACTGTTCGTGGACACTTCTTCATTCTTGTACTAAGGACTCTTGCCAAATTAATTAGAACAAAGAAGATGGGCGAACAAAGCGTGAAAAATGCCAATAGCTTCAAATGTATAAAAATCAAATTCAATTGTGAACGAAGTATTTTAAAGCAATTTTTTTATCATTAAAATTATGACAAACAAAATTTTTCTGTTGAAATATTGTCTCGACAAAAATTATTCTATGGCAAAAAAAGAAAAGAAAAAGAATTTCATATGATTTGAACCCAAGCAATAATAGAGACTGACACCACACAGCTCGTAACTGGTATAGTGGCATTTAAGTTTTTATATCCTTAGTTGACAATTTACTTCGTGGTATTTACTTGATCCCCTTTTTTGGTCGAATAATAACCTTTATCAATAAGGCATGTAATGAACTAAGTTTTCACAGAACCCTTTTTAAGACATGGCCGTAGGAACCGGGGGGGGGGGGGCAATAATTTTGCCGATATATAGATTACTATAGAAAAAAAAAGATACTATAATGTATGTGCCCCCTCAATCAAAACGCCTGATGTCCTTTTTTTATTTGCTTGTCAAGAATTTTTGGTAGTTGATAGTGCCCCCTCAAACTGAATATGTATGGCTGTGCCCCCCCCCCCCCCAACTGAAATTGCTTCCTACGGGCCTGTAAAAAAATGGAGTGGAGACCCACTGATGTAGAAAAATTGTGTTATAAAGAATTGATCATTTTTTTACCTCTTGGATGTGTGCATGCTATTTCATAGACGAATAATTTTAGCATTTGCGAGATTGTTGCAAATTGTGGAGATTTTACATAAATATTACATTATGTTAACTGAAATATCAAAGAAAATTGACCTATAATTCAGATTTAATTTTTCAATTTCTTATAAATTTTTCGAACCATAGGTATTTTTCTCGGTTTGTTCGCCCATCTCATTTATGTCTGATTTTATAACATTTTGTCTGAAGTCAAGATTTAGAAATTAAGACTTCTGATACTTTTGCTTCTCGAAGAATAAATTTATTATCTCTTTAATTTCATATAAAACCTTAAGTATCAGAGAGACATCAGAGAAGGGGTAATTTAAACATTGAGAGAATCCTTTTGCGATTTCTTTACCAAACCACTCCAATGACCATTTTTCCCAAAGTTTGAGTATCAAAAGTTTACTCTAATTTAAACTAACTATCCTTCCTTGAATTCCTAAGACACGATTTGATACATTTGCAACTTGAAAACTTTTTACATTAATTCAACAGAATTACCATCTCAACAGAAAATAAGACAATCAAGCATTTGATCTTTGTTTAACATTTACCTCTTCATACGCATAAAAAAGAAACCCAAAATGTAAACCTGCATACTTTTTAATAGATATCTAATAATAAACAAATATATATATGTATATAATATCTATAAATTCATTTATAACAAACATTTGTGGTCTTCTGTAGAAGTGAGTTAATTGTAAATTGTTAATTATCACTCAGTATTTATTTTCTTCCTGGTGCACCATACGCTTGATTCTTTTCACTCTCTGCAATAATAAGGATAATACTGGTTATTTAATTCAAACATGGTTTTTTTCTGCAGAGGAAGAAAATTTTCATTCAATTATACTTTAAAGTGATTTTTTTCAACTATTTTATTTCAACTTAATAGTTTAAATTCCTTAAAATCACGCTTACGTATTAATTTTAAGCATTGTTTCAAAACTGACCTGTCATGCTACACACATCACAGCTACATTTGTTAATGATTTTTATCTTGGCCTCCTGTAGTGTTTGTTCAGGGCCACATCTAACACTAATGATCTTTTCTCCAGCGGATTCTCCAGTACAACATTTACAGCTCTTATCGAAGCTGTCTTCTGTAGAGCCTTTAGGAACAATGGTGGGCATGTACTTAGAGATTCCACACGAGCCAGAGCAGTAGGTGTATTCTACCTCACCAACAGACACACAGCCAGTCTTCTCGTCGTTGATGACTCGTTTTTCTGTATGAAGTTGACATGTAGCTGAAAAAGAAAATGGAAGGTTTTAAATGCATATATTGTCTATATTTCAGAGTTAGAATAACATCATCCTTTGAGAATATATGTGTAAACAGTTAAAAAAAACTTACTTTTTATTGGTTTGCATCTTGGACAACAGCTATCGGTAACGCCTTCGTAAGAAAGCTCTTCTCCCTTGTTAAACAAACAACAGATTACATCATTTTAACCCAACAGAAAATTATAATCATTATTTTAGCTCTACTAATGTTTTGAGAACATAAGCATGATCCCTACCTCTTGACAGACGGGTATCTCACAGCGGCGACTGCACACCATCTCCCCATCAGAACACTCGCAGTATTGACAGGAGTCAGGGGATGGAATAGGCTCTGAGGGCTGGTAAAAAAAAAAACAAGACAAATTATTACTGCAGGCCACCGAAAGTATACAGGTGTGGTGTGAAAAAATCTTATATTAAAGGGTTTTATGACAAAAGCACAATGTGAACGATTGAATGTAATTACCAAATACATATTAATCCCCTTTTCCCCCAATCCACGATACTGGAAGTTTATGTAACTATACAGTATTCCAGTACCCCCTACCCCAGTCCCCTTTACTCACAACATCTTATCCAGGAAAAAAAATAAGAATGATATATATTCTTGTAAAGTCTTCAATAAATGGTCAGTATTAAAATTTTGTTGTATCTCAGAACTGTATGATCTGTTGTATAATAAACATTACACAAAATGATATATTCTGAAGATGGAGCTAACTGCTTTTTCGTAGAAGTGTGAATTTGAAGCTTTTTCTATGTTTTTAACACTCTACCTGATAAACGGTGCCATTAACGACACATTTCTGACATTCTGTGATGTTGACACATTTATTATTCTCCATATAAAGTCCTGCAGGACACACACAACCAGGCTCGATCTTATTGCATAGATCGTCGATGTTCTTGTCTCGGGTCTCGCATGTTCGTTGACACAGTGAGTAGTTTGACCATATTTGGTCATCAGGACAAGCTACAAGGTACACATAGTTGTAAATTTCATATGATATTTTTAAAATAGATCTTGCATTTTAAATTTCTGTATATATTTATTAAGAGCAGATTCTTTTTCAAATACTTTTTTGCTACATCAAAAAAAAGGACAAAAGACCGCCTGCTTTGTTTTTCTAGGACTATCAGACATGACATTCAGGACAACATAAGTGTCTATCTATTTTACATACTGCAGTCTCCGTTATCGCAGTCCTTCTCTTCCTGAAGATTTTTGGGACAATCAGTGGCATTGACAATAATTTGACGATCTCTCGTGACTTTGCCTTTTCCGCAGGGTACAACACATTCTGTCCAGGTCGACCACTCTGATATCTGGCATTCAGCTGTAAAATCAGCGCAAATTTGAGACCTGAACTTTAAGTTAACTTATAACATACCAAAAAAGTCACTCATTTGGAAAATGTTATATGAAGATGAAGTTAAATACTGCATTCTAAGAAATTATTCGTTCATATACATGTAAATGCTTGATTGATTACTTATGTAAAAAAATAAATAAGGGGAAATTATGTCTTGAAAAATAGCCAATCAAGCGCAAAATTAGGACAAATTCAGCATTCGATGTATGCATCAAACAAAGTATCAAAGTTACACCAAAACGTTTAGGTTTGGTCCTGTTCGATACATGTTGAACTGATTCAGTGTAATTTGTGCGTATAATGTTGAGCATGGGCAGCATGAGCTGCATGTGTTAGATTAAGCATCCAAAAATACGTCTTCTGTGCAAGATTAGTGTGGAAATTTCTTGCATAATTCAATAATTGCTGAAAGCAGTTATTGAAGCAGAAAGTAATTTAAATGCACTAGAGGATTTAAAAGATGGCGTAGTACTCAAAGTATAAATAAGATTAAACATTTAAAGATGAACTGTATGTTTAAGTTTGGTTTGGTTAAGATTCCTTTGTGATGATATGGGAACACACAGATGCTCAACTTATATGAAAACGATGTCAATAGAGTCAGCCCATAGCAACGGTTTCAAAAGGGGGGGGGGTCCTCCCAAAAAAATCTGACAAGCAAACGAAGAAGGACAAAAAACCTCCTTAACTGCCCAAATCCAAAATGGGGGGGGGGGGGGGGGCAGCATCTAAATGAAAATTAATGCTATACTGCCCCCGGGCCTGATCTAGTTTTAAAAAATACCATGTATCTATATATGCATCTATTCAGTAAATTCGAAATAACTATGTGCTGAGATATGCAGACGAACCGACAGAAAAGACAGACGGACATGGTGATTTTAAATTTGTTTCGGAGAGTATAAGAAATGATCAATGAACTTACTGATGCATGGTTCTGATCCACAGTCCTGGCTTTCCACAAGTGTTTCATTACAGAGGTTAGCATCTGCCACATCTGCATACTGACGGCTTCTGAACTGCTTGCCTGGTCCGTCACAAGTCTTAGTGCACTGTGTCCATTCACTCCAAGGTGTCGTAATACAACCTGATAACAAGGGAAACTTATTGTACTTCACTCAGTCATTTCTTAAATATTGAATATATTCCTACACGATATTTACAAAATAGTGTTATTGATTCGTTGTTTGAGTACATGTGTATATGGTACAATGGATTATGGTGCAAAATAGCTACATGTATTTATTTATTTTAGTAACGCAGTTTTCTATTCATCTATACTTACAAGATATGTCTTCATTGCAAAGTGCTGTTTCCTCATTTGTGCCACTACAAGGAAGTCCTTTACAGGCAGGTGTCGGGCTGTTGCATGTTCTAGTTCTCTTCCGATGACCTCCCGAGCATGTAGAACTACAAGAGCTCCATGTTTGCCATGATGACCAAGTGCCATTTACTAAATATCAGAAAGAAAAACAATCACATACGTAACGTACTGGCGAAGCTTACTCCTCACAAACTACTAGAATAAAACTGTACATCTTGCAAAGTCTACATGTGGATATTTAAAAACTCGCTGATTAATTAAAGATTTGTTTGCTCATTTATGCCTTTCAAGACGATTAAATTTTGCTCATATAATTGTGTTTATTTTGCGCTCTTTAACATTTTACTACAGTACATACCATCCTGTTTAGGATCATCTTTACACATGACGTTTCCTACGTTGTAGCAGTAACTGTCAAATATTTGAAAAAAAATATGTAACCGTCATTTCGACAAGGAAATACAGAATGATGCATGAGCGATTACATTTTTTTTTTTGCCGACATCTATATAACAATAGTTTCAGAATACAACACCACGTTTATCTAGATTTTCCAATAAAGGGTCTTAATTATTTCAAGTACATATGAACTTTTGACCCAGTCTTAAATATAAAACATAAGTCTGAAAAAAAAATCACTAAACTGGCATACATAATCCTAAATACAATACAATGTATATTTTAATATATTCCTGGCTGGTAAACTGACCATTCCTTACAGTCCCCTGATGACACTATGTCGCCTACTGCATATGTCTTTCCTTGGTAAACACATTGTACACATTGTGTGGAAGTGTTCTCGCATTGTTTGGTTTCACGAATACTTGTACAGTTATTGGGATCCCCTTTCTTTACTTCCCTATTTAAAACAAATCCAAACTATTTTAAAATGAAATTTCAATGTTTTTTCCAGTCCTTTTTTCTCGTATATAAAAAATCATTTAAAAAGAATCCTTTCAATCTCTTTATATCATCAAAGTCTAAGAATTATGAAAAGACAAGAAATCTTATGAATCACTAAGGCTTGTGAAGAGGCAAGGAATCTCAAGAATTCAGTTTTTGATTTGAATAAAATAACTATTAACATTATGTATATCAAAATTTGGCATTGTCTTTTCAAGTTCATTGTAATCAATTACATGTTACTATTCATTACCTGTATCGACTCTGTACTCCGGTCCCACATGTAGTGCTACAGTCTGTCCAACCTGACCAATCTGTATACTCACAGCCTACAAATCCCACAACACCCAAACTTTAGCAGGTAAGTCAATCATCAACAAAACATTACATTGATTTGTTTATTTGTTAAACGTCCCTTCGAAAAAATTTTGAGAAGCCACCACACGCCGGTGGAAGGTGGCAAATTTAGACCTGTACTTCCACTCACGGCAGTGAGAGATCTTTTTCGTGCCAGTACCTACTGCTATAAGGGACCACGGTTTATACCGTCTCACCCGAAGAACAGGTCTACGTTGCGCAGTGGATTCGAACCTGCGACGTAAGGATCAACTCCTTACGCTGCGACTCTAGAGCAAACTATTTAACCACTGCGCCACGCAGGCGACATTTCCTGACAATTACTGTTTTTAAAAATGATAAACCAATAATGATTATGATTTCGCTGTTTTTGATTTGTTATAGAAAAATTCTGTAACCTCTTTATTAGATAATAAAACTGTATTAAATGAAAATTAAATCCCAATTAAATAAATACAAAATAAAAGTGAATGAACTGTGCATTTCAATCACAAGAGAGAGTTTAAAACACTTTTTACTGTTAAGGACCAACAAAACAGATTTGTATTGGAACACCACACAAGAATATCGCCAATCATTTATTGCAATCTACATTGAAACAGTACTGTGTTAAGTAATCGAATACTTACAAGAGGGATTTACTGAGCATGACATCTGCTTGTTCTCACATTTACTGAAATTACAGAAATCAGCTATTTGAAGAAAGCACTTATCACACATTTAAATTACAATAAATATAGCACACATATACATCTAGCAGATATTACCTACATGAGTGAAAAACAACTTCATACTTGATAGCAAATGAAACGTTTCTTGATTTTTTTCTTCATTTAAGATGATTTGCTAAACATTGTATTACTTCTTTTAAAAAGGATAAATCACACAGGTAAAAAAATTTAAAAAAAAAATATTTGTCGAAGTAAACATAAAAAATGACAATATATAGTCATTAATGAATATCAAAAAAAAAAATCATCATTTACAATTTATTAGGTAACCAGACTGCAATGACTAAATACTGACCATGTTTCACATTTTGAAGTGCTGATAACGTGTCCTTCCGGTACGGGTTTGTTGTCATGGTAACATGGACAGTCCTCCTCCTTGATACACATGTTATCATCGTTTCTGACGTAACCAGGTTTACAGTAACAGGCAGGCTGACAGTCGTCGGGTTCAACACAGCTACCAGGATTCCTTAGATCCCGACAGGTTAATGGACAGTTGTTTACAACTCCAGAACAGTTTACATATACCTCAAGGTCCGTGCAGGTTTCTATACGAGATGAGTGTAATGCATTAAATTTGACATTGCATAAAAGATTAATTCTGTAATATGTAAAACACGTTAATATTCAAAGCTAGCAGTAAGCATTTTACAACATAAATTTGATATTTAGCAACGAAACAATTCATGCCAATTATGAATAATCTGAAAGAAATATAGAAATACAGAATCCCCTTTTAATTACCATTGACACATCCTTCATTTACTGTGAAACAGGCCTCGTTTTCATAGTCCATATTTCCAGCACAATCTCTTGACCTTGTCTTTGTTCCTGGCTTGCAGTTTACAGCTGTGCACGTGGACCACTCAGACCAGGCTTCACATACTGGGGTGGTTGCTACAATTCATATCAAAATGTGTTAGCCATATGGATCAAAATGGTAACTATTGACAGGAATGTGCATATGATGGACTAGCATTAGTTTGGAATGAAAATATATACAAAAACATACAAAGGTGTGTGTTTTTAAAAGACATTGATTTAGTAGATGTATTTAGACAGTTTTATTTCATTTAAAGAGTTTTATCAGAAGTCAAAACAAAATATGTGATTTATATACTGTATCCATATGGATTCGAAGCATGCATTTTATGCATTTTAAAAGAGAATTCAGGAAATAATATTGAATTCTCTTTGACTGTACCGGTTTCGAAGGCGGATCCAGGGCCGGCGCGACGGGCGTGCGCCCCCCCCCCCCCACAGACCCCCCTGCCTTCTACTGCCCCCCCCCCCGTTACGAAATTCCTGGATCCGCTACTGGGTTTTAACTTGAAATTGTTTCGTTAGTGATAGAGTAATACATTTACAATTACTCACTTGGGCATGGTTCAATGTTACAATCCTCAGACTCCTTTAATGTTTCTTTGCAGTGATCTGGAGTAAGAGTGGTTGTGAGAATTCTTGATCTCTCTCTGCGACCAATACCACAAGGTTTGGAGCACTGCGACCATTCACTCCAAGGCTGGTATGTGCATTCTAAAAAGATGAATGTTATCATAAGTATGAATCTATATTAAACAAACTCAATGAAATGTGAGCGACTAGCTTGTTTTCACTAACCTTCACAAGACCCAATCTGACAGTTCATATATCCATCAGTACAGGAACTAAAAATTAAAATATAAACATTTATTTGGTTTTATATATATATATATATATCATGTTTTGACTTTCTTGTGTTAGTATTTTATAGAAATCATTTTAGGATTAATATTTGATAAACTTTTGTACAAAAATCTATCAAAGATCAAAATCTATTATCTCAACTTTGAAATCAGCACAGCAGGTCAGAAGACGGCTGTAAATATTGTATTAGCGAAGATGATTGCATCCAATTCAAAAGATTAAGAAAAGTTTTAATTTACAATTATTTCTTGTCAAACACAAACAACATACCAGTTACTACATCCATTTATTATGACAACAACACCGTCATCTAACGAGTCACCAACGTAAATCTTTTCTGACTCAGAAATAACGGAGTCATCATTATCTTTGTTGACATAACCAATGACGTCAGCAGGCTGATAACCAAAGTTTTGAACAAATACATCCTTGTTGAACACACATGGTTTTGCGGTGGTGGTTTTGAAGGTGGTGGTGGGCAGAGTAACCACTGTGGTGGTAGAAGAAACTAGACAAGTGTAAAGATAATTAATAAAATGTGGCCACGGAAAGTTTAAATAGATCACAATATGTTATTTTTGTCTTTGTATGAAAAAGTTTTTGACAGTGATTCAAACTGAAATATTTCCTTTAAAAAATGATAACTTACTATGACCGTGTTATATAATTTATAATACTTGTTCACTAATTAAGCTAAAACTTTTATACATGTATCTTTAATTCGAGAATCAATATATTTCTTCCATTCTCACCTATTTCTATACAGGCTCTAACCGTTAGAGTGGAAATGGTAACATCCTGAGAGGGTGTAGATTTTGTAAGCTCAATTCTTATTCTATATCCCTCGGTTCCCCCAAGGTCTACAGTAACCTTATTACCAACTGGATTGCTCTTTAAAGAGAATGTCATTTTATTAAAATTCAGTGCAAACTAACTACTATTTTCACATACTTCCGAAATATGTAAAATTTTCCTTCGAAATATTAATAAATACTATCTCGGAAATTAAAAATACCTCGGTAGTTTTGACTTCCGTGTTATCCTTGTCCAGCAAGGTGACCTTGACCTTAGACACGTTAATGGTATCAAAAGACACTGTCGACACAGCAGAAGACTCGTCCTGATCAAGAAGGATAAATTCTAATTTTGGTGTGGGCTCGGAAAGTGAAACCCCTGTTCCACTGAAGATATCTAGAGGAGTTGTCAAACTTGGCAAGACAATGCTGATTGCGTTTGTGTTGCTTCCTTCAGTAATCATAGTCTCGGCACATGCTATAATATTGAAAAAAGATCATAAAATATGTTCTTTATACTCATTCCAATAACCACAATTTGGGAATATGAAGGCTTTGTACTTAACAATGAAAATCCTCTCTCTCTCTCTCTCTCTCTGTGTGTGTGTGTGTGTGTGTGTGTGTGTGTGTGTGTCATAACTCGACAAGAATCTTACGTGTTGTTGTTGGCGTTGAGCTGGATGGAGTCGTTGGTTGAGTTGTTGGGGAAACTGGAAGAAATAAAGACAGTCATTGAAGTTGAAATATGCATAACTTATTAATTGCCTGCTTAGTATTCCAAACTATCATTATGAAGCAATTATGAAAACTTTCAACTGTTCCAAAATATAATGCTGTTAAACAAATCAATTTTGATTATCTCAAATGAGTGCCTTAATTGATAAAAAAAAAATAAATTATCTCAATTGTCTTAATTGAGAAAAGCTTCAGTGCATTTTAATTCACTAACCTGTTGTCGGAGCAATTGTTGTCACTGCAAAGAAAAAAAATCATTTGAAAACCTCTTCAAAACAGAAGTTAATAGAGAGAGAGAGACATGTTTTTATAATATTTTCTTTGATTTTCCTTTAGCCTCATTTTAATGCAGTGAGTAGGCCGAGACATCATAGATGAGCGGTTGAGACTCATAGCTTAGCGATTGTGAGATTGAAAGCATTTGTAAACATGGATTTCAGCAACATATTTGAAGAAACCATCAGTTTTATTCTTTGTCTGGATGGTTTACTTACTCTCTCAATCTTATGATAGGCCAGGGAGTATTTTTACAACACTTTTCGTGAAGGGAAGGAAAATCTCGAGTTTTGCTGCATTTCTGAGATTCTTTCACATTGTTACAAAATATTACTTTTATTCAATAAATAAATAACAGTATTACACTTTTGAAAATGAAAACGTCCTATGTTTCATAACATTATTCATCATAACTCTTTTTTTTTGTCATTTCCTTGTCTTTCACTATCATGGCTAAAAATTTAATACATGAGTCCAAACAAAAGACACACATAATCATAGATATACTTCTTATTTTTTTCTCATAGGAAAGATGAACACTAGATAACAAACTATTTTGGATACATTTTATAAGGAAATGATTGATTATTAACATTGAGTTACGGGTACATTACCTGGGGTATAACATGCCTCTATGGAAACAGCTGAAATGTCTATCAATTGACCTGTGACCGGTATCAGGTTCAAACTAACATCATTCCCAGTAGTGCCGTTAAATGATATTGTGTAGGGAGTTGATGAGGTTGTGTCCACAACATTCTGCACACAAATACAACGTTAAAACAAAATCAAAGTTGTGTGAAAAGAAGTCGTGGTGAAATGTGCAATTTTTTAATTTAGTATCTTGCTGGAATTCGTCCATTTGATACAAATAAATAATGCAAAATGATTTTATAAAATTGCAATGTATTTGGAGAAATTTAGTCGAACTTTTCTGGAATATGTCAGACCATCTCATGAAGAGTAATTTTATATTGATAAGATAATTCATTTTAGTTCTTGGTACTGACCGTTGTCTTAGAACTGATTAAGTTCTCGCCAGACCATATATCAACCGTGAAACTTTTAACATTTTTCACAGTCATTTTGACAGAAAATATTTTTGCATCATCGTCGTTTATTCTGTACAATATCGTTGATTGTGGGTAGCTGTAGGCACCACCAGAATTCAACAAAGAAAATTCAGCATCCGTGGGAGAAACAGTCAAAGCACTTCCAGCGTTGGCGTAGGTCAGTACACTCTTTATACAGGCTTAAAATGTAAAAAAAAAAAAAAAAAAAAAAAAAAAAAAAAAAAAGATTATATACATCAAAGAAAAAACTAAGACTGAAAAGAGAGATAGAGATGGAGAGAGAGAAACATACGTTGTACTGTTGTTGGGAATGTTGGAACAGTGACTGTTGTTACTCTTGTACTAGTAGTTGAACCTAAAAAAAAAATAGAATGAATTGTCAGATCTTTAGAAAATGTGCATTTCATCATATTGCAAGTCTGAGAGCATACCTTTAAATATAAAAAGTAGATTTCGAAACATAACATCAATAACAGATTTCAAAATAAAAAATACAAATACTGGCAAAAAAGTCTTTGTAAGCAAAGATATTAACGGTGTTATTAATTATTTATTATTAGTTATAAATTGATTAATTATTAATTAATAATATTATGTTATTAATTACGCAAATGACTACAAGCATATTATAAGTGGATTATGGGTTGTTCAAATTGAATGGATCAATTGTAACTCTAGAGGATATTTACGCAAAATCTTTCTCATAACGTTTATAGCGTAAATTTCCACATCTACGCTGTGTGCTTACACTACCCTCTTAATTTCAAATTTGTTTTATTTAATCAATAACTATTTCCGGAATCACTTTAAAAATGTTTTTCAAAAGATCAACATACTTTTTTTTAAATGAGAAACGAAACCAAATCAACAAATATAATCAGAAATAAGAATTCTTCTTTTAAAGCAATTCTTAGAATTCATTCAGGATCATGAGTTCATCCAAGATACCTAAGGTTATTGGGGATGAAATAGTAACACTTGGAGTTCCCGTTACAGTGGATGTTGTACTAAAAGTAACCAGAGGTGTAGTAGCAGAACTCGGTGTAACACTTGGTGTTCCAGAAGTTGTTGGTGTAACACTTGGTGTGCCCGTTGAGGGTGTAACACTTGGCGTTCCTGTCGATGGGGTCACGCTCGGTGTACCCGTCGATGGTGTGACACTTGGTGTTGCTGTAGAGGGTGTTACACTTGGTGTTCCAGTGCTTGTTGGAGTAACACTTGGGGTACCTGTTGAGGGTGTGACACTTGGTGTACCAGAGGTAGTTGGCGTGACACTTGGTGTTCCCGTTGAAGGTGTAATACTTGGGGTGCCCGTCGATGGTGTGACACTAGGTGTCCCTGTTGTTGAGGGTGTGACACTAGGTGTTCCTGTTGTTGAGGGTGTGACACTCGGTGTGCCCGTCGAAGGCGTGACACTTGGCGTACCTGTTGAAGGAGTGACACTTGGTGTACCTGTAGAGGGAGTGACACTTGGTGTTCCTGTTGAAGGTGTGACACTTGGTGTTCCAGAAGTTGAAGGGGTAACACTTGGTGTTCCAGTTGATGGTGTTACACTTGGTGTTCCAGAAGTTGATGGTGTGACACTTGGTGTGCCCGTTGATGGCGTGACACTTGGTGTACCCGTTGAGGGTGTAACACTTGGCGTTCCTGTCGATGGGGTCACGCTCGGTGTACCCGTCGATGGTGTGACACTTGGTGTTGCTGTAGAGGGTGTTACACTTGGTGTTCCAGTGCTTGTTGGAGTAACACTTGGCGTACCTGTTGAGGGTGTGACACTTGGTGTACCAGAGGTAGTTGGCGTAACACTTGGTGTTCCCGTTGAGGGTGTAATACTTGGGGTGCCCGTCGAGGGTGTGACACTAGGTGTTCCTGTTGTTGAGGGTGTGACACTAGGTGTTCCTGTTGTTGAGGGTGTGACACTCGGTGTGCCCGTCGAAGGCGTGACACTTGGCGTACCTGTTGAAGGAGTGACACTTGGTGTACCTGTAGAGGGAGTGACACTTGGTGTTCCCGTTGAAGGTGTGACACTTGGTGTTCCAGAAGTTGAAGGTGTTACACTTGGTGTTCCAGAAGTTGATGGTGTTACACTTGGTGTTCCAGAAGTTGATAGTGTTACACTTGGTGTTCCAGAAGTTGATGGTGTGACACTTGGTGTGCCCGTTGAGGGTGTAACACTTGGCGTTCCTGTCGATGGGGTCACGCTCGGTGTACCCGTCGATGGTGTGACACTTGGTGTTGCTGTAGAGGGTGTTACACTTGGTGTTCCAGTGCTTGTTGGAGTAACACTTGGGGTACCTGTTGAGGGTGTGACACTTGGTGTACCAGAGGTAGTTGGCGTGACACTTGGTGTTCCCGTTGAAGGTGTAATACTTGGGGTGCCCGTCGATGGTGTGACACTAGGTGTCCCTGTTGTTGAGGGTGTGACACTCGGTGTGCCCGTCGAAGGCGTGACACTTGGCGTACCTGTTGAAGGAGTGACACTTGGTGTACCTGTAGAGGAAGTGACACTTGGTGTTCCTGTTGAAGGTGTGACACTTGGTGTTCCAGAAGTTGAAGGGGTAACACTTGGTGTTCCAGTTGATGGTGTTACACTTGGTGTTCCAGAAGTTGATGGTGTGACACTTGGTGTGCCCGTTGATGGCGTGACAGTTGGTGTACCCGTTGAGGGTGTAACACTTGGCGTTCCTGTCGATGGGGTCACGCTCGGTGTACCCGTCGATGGTGTGACACTTGGTGTTGCTGTAGAGGGTGTTACACTTGGTGTTCCAGTGCTTGTTGGAGTAACACTTGGGGTACCTGTTGAGGGTGTGACACTTGGTGTACCAGAGGTAGTTGGCGTAACACTTGGTGTTCCCGTAGAGGGTGTAACACTTGGGGTGCCCGTCGAGGGTGTGACACTAGGTGTCCCTGTTGTTGAGGGTGTGACACTCGGTGTTCCTGTTGTTGAGGGTGTGACACTCGGTGTGCCCGTCGAAGGCGTGACACTTGGCGTACCTGTTGAAGGAGTGACACTTGGTGTACCTGTAGAGGGAGTGACACTTGGTGTTCCCGTTGAAGGTGTGACACTTGGTGTTCCAGAAGTTGAAGGGGTAACACTTGGTGTTCCAGTTGATGGTGTTACACTTGGTGTTCCAGAAGTTGATGGTGTTACGCTTGGTGTTCCAGAAGTTGATGGTGTGACACTTGGTGTACCCGTTGAGGGTGTAACACTTGGCGTTCCTGTCGATGGGGTTACGCTCGGTGTACCCGTCGATGGTGTGACACTTGGTGTTGCTGTAGAGGGTGTTACACTTGGTGTTCCAGTGCTTGTTGGAGTAACACTTGGGGTACCTGTTGAGGGTGTGACACTTGGTGTACCAGAGGTAGTTGGCGTGACACTTGGTGTTCCCGTTGAAGGTGTAATACTTGGGGTGCCCGTCGATGGTGTGACACTAGGTGTCCCTGTTGTTGAGGGTGTGACACTAGGTGTTCCTGTTGTTGAGGGTGTGACACTCGGTGTGCCCGTCGAAGGCGTGACACTTGGCGTACCTGTTGAAGGAGTGACACTTGGTGTACCTGTAGAGGGAGTGACACTTGGTGTTCCTGTTGAAGGTGTGACACTTGGTGTTCCAGAAGTTGAAGGGGTAACACTTGGTGTTCCAGTTGATGGTGTTACACTTGGTGTTCCAGAAGTTGATGGTGTGACACTTGGTGTGCCCGTTGATGGCGTGACACTTGGTGTACCCGTTGAGGGTGTAACACTTGGCGTTCCTGTCGATGGGGTCACGCTGGGTGTACCCGTCGATGGTGTGACACTTGGTGTTGCTGTAGAGGGTGTTACACTTGGTGTTCCAGTGCTTGTTGGAGTAACACTTGGCGTACCTGTTGAGGGTGTGACACTTGGTGTTCCAGAGGTAGTTGGCGTAACACTTGGTGTTCCCGTAGAGGGTGTAACACTTGGGGTGCCCGTCGAGGGTGTGACACTAGGTGTCCCTGTTGTTGAGGGTGTGACACTCGGTGTTCCTGTTGTTGAGGGTGTGACACTCGGTGTGCCCGTCGAAGGCGTGACACTTGGCGTACCTGTTGAAGGAGTGACACTTGGTGTACCTGTAGAGGGAGTGACACTTGGTGTTCCCGTTGAAGGTGTGACACTTGGTGTTCCAGAAGTTGAAGGGGTAACACTTGGTGTTCCAGTTGATGGTGTTACACTTGGTGTTCCAGAAGTTGATGGTGTTACACTTGGTGTTCCAGAAGTTGATGGTGTGACACTTGGTGTACCCGTTGAGGGTGTAACACTTGGCGTTCCTGTCGATGGGGTCACGCTCGGTGTACCCGTCGATGGTGTGACACTTGGTGTTGCTGTAGAGGGTGTTACACTTGGTGTTCCCGTGCTTGTTGGAGTAACACTTGGGGTACCTGTTGAGGGTGTGACACTTGGTGTACCAGAGGTAGTTGGCGTAACACTTGGTGTTCCCGTTGAAGGTGTAATACTTGGGGTGCCCGTCGATGGTGTGACACTAGGTGTCCCTGTTGTTGAGGGTGTGACACTAGGTGTTCCTGTTGTTGAGGGTGTGACACTCGGTGTGCCCGTCGAAGGCGTGACACTTGGTGTACCTGTAGAGGGAGTGACACTTGGTGTACCTGTAGAGGAAGTGACACTTGGTGTTCCCGTTGAAGGTGTGACACTTGGTGTACCTGTAGAGGGAGTGACACTTGGTGTTCCTGTTGAAGGTGTGACACTTGGTGTTCCAGAAGTTGAAGGGGTAACACTTGGTGTTCCAGAAGTTGATGGTGTTACACTTGGTGTTCCAGAAGTTGATGGTGTGACACTTGGTGTGCCCGTTGATGGCGTGACACTTGGTGTACCCGTTGAGGGTGTAACACTTGGCGTTCCTGTCGATGGGGTCACGCTCGGTGTACCCGTCGATGGTGTGACACTTGGTGTTGCTGTAGAGGGTGTTACACTTGGTGTTCCAGTGCTTGTTGGAGTAACACTTGGGGTACCTGTTGAGGGTGTGACATTTGGTGTACCAGAGGTAGTTGGCGTGACACTTGGTGTTCCCGTTGAAGGTGTAATACTTGGGGTGCCCGTCGATGGTGTGACACTAGGTGTCCCTGTTGTTGAGGGTGTGACACTCGGTGTTCCTGTTGTTGAGGGTGTGACACTCGGTGTGCCCGTCGAAGGCGTGACACTTGGCGTACCTGTTGAAGGAGTGACACTTGGTGTACCTGTAGAGGGAGTGACACTTGGTGTTCCCGTTGAAGGTGTGACACTTGGTGTTCCAGAAGTTGAAGGGGTAACACTTGGTGTTCCAGTTGATGGTGTTACGCTTGGTGTTCCAGAAGTTGATGGTGTGACACTTGGTGTGCCCGTTGATGGCGTGACACTTGGTGTACCCGTTGAGGGTGTAACACTTGGCGTTCCTGTCGATGGGGTCACGCTCGGTGTACCCGTCGATGGTGTGACACTTGGTGTTGCTGTAGAGGGTGTTACACTTGGTGTTCCAGTGCTTGTTGGAGTAACACTTGGCGTACCTGTTGAGGGTGTGACACTTGGTGTACCAGAGGTAGATGGCGTAACACTTGGTGTTCCCGTAGAGGGTGTAACACTTGGGGTGCCCGTCGAGGGTGTGACACTAGGTGTTCCTGTTGTTGAGGGTGTGACACTAGGTGTTCCTGTTGTTGAGGGTGTGACACTCGGTGTGCCCGTCGAAGGCGTGACACTTGGCGTACCTGTTGAAGGAGTGACATTTGGTGTACCTGTAGAGGGAGTGACACTTGGTGTTCCCGTTGAAGGTGTGACACTTGGTGTTCCAGAAGTTGAAGGGGTAACACTTGGTGTTCCAGTTGATGGTGTTACACTTGGTGTTCCAGAAGTTGATGGTGTTACACTTGGTGTTCCAGAAGTTGATGGTGTGACACTTGGTGTACCCGTTGAGGGTGTAACACTTGGCGTTCCTGTCGATGGGGTCACGCTCGGTGTACCCGTCGATGGTGTGACACTTGGTGTTGCTGTAGAGGGTGTTACACTTGGTGTTCCAGTGCTTGTTGGAGTAACACTTGGGGTACCTGTTGAGGGTGTGACACTTGGTGTACCAGAGGTAGTTGGCGTGACACTTGGTGTTCCCGTTGAAGGTGTAATACTTGGGGTGCCCGTCGATGGTGTGACACTAGGTGTCCCTGTTGTTGAGGGTGTGACACTAGGTGTTCCTGTTGTTGAGGGTGTGACACTCGGTGTGCCCGTCGAAGGCGTGACACTTGGCGTACCTGTTGAAGGAGTGACACTTGGTGTACCTGTAGAGGGAGTGACACTTGGTGTTCCTGTTGAAGGTGTGACACTTGGTGTTCCAGAAGATGAAGGGGTAACACTTGGTGTTCCAGTTGATGGTGTTACACTTGGGGTGCCCGTCGAGGGTGTGACACTAGGTGTCCCTGTTGTTGAGGGTGTGACACTAGGTGTTCCTGTTGTTGAGGGTGTGACACTCGGTGTGCCCGTCGAAGGCGTGACACTTGGTGTACCTGTAGAGGGAGTGACATTTGGTGTTCCTGTTGAAGGAGTGACACTTGGTGTACCTGTAGAGGGAGTGACACTTGGTGTTCCTGTTGAAGGTGTGACACTTGGTGTTCCAGAAGTTGAAGGGGTAACACTTGGTGTTCCAGTTGATGGTGTTACACTTGGTGTTCCAGAGGTTGATGGTGTGACACTTGGTGTGCCCGTTGATGGCGTGACACTTGGTGTACCCGTTGAGGGTGTAACACTTGGCGTTCCTGTCGATGGGGTCACGCTCGGTGTACCCGTCGATGGTGTGACACTTGGTGTTGCTGTAGAGGGTGTTACACTTGGTGTTCCAGTGCTTGTTGGAGTAACACTTGGCGTAGCTGTTGAGGGTGTGACACTTGGTGTACCAGAGGTAGTTGGCGTAACACTTGGTGTTCCCGTTGAGGGTGTAACACTTGGGGTGCCCGTCGAGGGTGTGACACTAGGTGTCCCTGTTGTTGAGGGTGTGACACTAGGTGTTCCTGTTGTTGAGGGTGTGACACTCGGTGTGCCCGTCGAAGGCGTGACACTTGGCGTACCTGTTGAAGGAGTGACACTTGGTGTACCTGTAGAGGGAGTGACACTTGGTGTTCCTGTTGAAGGAGTGACACTTGGTGTACCTGTAGAGGGAGTGACACTTGGTGTTCCTGTTGAAGGTGTGACACTTGGTGTTCCAGAAGTTGAAGGGGTAACACTTGGTGTTCCAGTTGATGGTGTTACACTTGGTGTTCCAGAAGTTGATGGTGTGACACTTGGTGTGCCCGTTGATGGCGTGACACTTGGTGTACCCGTTGAGGGTGTAACACTTGGCGTTCCTGTCGATGGGGTCACGCTGGGTGTACCCGTCGATGGTGTGACACTTGGTGTTGCTGTAGAGGGTGTTACACTTGGTGTTCCAGTGCTTGTTGGAGTAACACTTGGCGTACCTGTTGAGGGTGTGACACTTGGTGTACCAGAGGTAGTTGGCGTAACACTTGGTGTTCCCGTTGAGGGTGTAACACTTGGGGTGCCCGTCGAGGGTGTGACACTAGGTGTCCCTGTTGTTGAGGGTGTGACACTAGGTGTTCCTGTTGTTGAGGGTGTGACACTCGGTGTGCCCGTCGAAGGCGTGACACTTGGCGTACCTGTTGAAGGAGTGACACTTGGTGTACCTGTAGAGGGAGTGACACTTGGTGTTCCTGTTGAAGGAGTGACACTTGGTGTACCTGTAGAGGGAGTGACACTTGGTGTTCCTGTTGAAGGTGTGACACTTGGTGTTCCAGAAGTTGAAGGGGTAACACTTGGTGTTCCAGTTGATGGTGTTACACTTGGTGTTCCAGAAGTTGATGGTGTGACACTTGGTGTGCCCGTTGATGGCGTGACACTTGGTGTACCCGTTGAGGGTGTAACACTTGGCGTTCCTGTCGATGGGGTCACGCTCGGTGTACCCGTCGATGGTGTGACACTTGGTGTTGCTGTAGAGGGTGTTACACTTGGTGTTCCAGTGCTTGTTGGAGTAACACTTGGGGTACCTGTTGAGGGTGTGACACTTGGTGTACCAGATGTAGTTGGCGTGACACTTGGTGTTCCTGATGATGGTGTTACACTTGGTGTTCCGGTTGATGGTGTGACACTAGGTGTTCCGGTTGTAGTGGGTGTAGTGATGAGTTTTGGCGTTGTTATTGTTTGTTTTGTTGTAGCTGAAATATTTGAAACCTTTAAAAGCTGGCAAAATTCGAAATCATGCAGCCTTCATGATGAATTTAAGGCAATATCTTTTTTCCATTTCATTTCACTGACCCTCTTTTTTCATTGCAGTTGCATATAAATAGTCATATTCGTGTTATATTTACTAACAACTTAAAAAAATATTCATTAATAAAGTGTTCAAAAAGTTGACTACATGTATTATCTTAGCTATACAGTATTTCATACATGTCTCTATTGCCATTTTTTGTCGAAAGTTTTGATGTATAAATTCATTCCTTTTCCCCCGTTTCTTTATAAGGATGCCATGCATGGGCTCAGTTTTAAACAGGAAATAAAACCAAATTATTCTCAGTTCTTAAACAGCTGTGGACCTTAAGAGCTTCCACTGATAAAAATGGTGCGTTATAGTCCGTACACCTAGTGGCGCAGACGGTCACATAGACGATCATCGCAATTACAATATTCCCCATTCAAAACTTTGTTTATACCATTATCAACTATAATTTTCCCTTTGTAAAGATGTATCGCATAAAATTTGAAGGAAAATGCATAATGCACTCAGGTTATTATATGACTGCAAATGGAGTGAATAAGAAAGTAATAATTTTTCTAATGAACTTCAACAGGATGAAGTTAGAAGTAACACAGTGTAACTATGAATATTGTAGAGTTTTAATACTATTTTTATGAAATCTAATAAGTGCAATACAAGTACAATATAAAAAATTACACTAAGTTGATTTTTGTAATACTTCGTTATTAATACTAAAAATATTATAATTATTTATAAATCTACTGTACCATGACATGTGAGTAATCTTAATCTGCATTTTCAGTAAAATCATGAAAATCAAGAGGACTTGAAATATATCTACAGGACCACACCAATGCATGAATCGTTACAATGTTCTGTTGGATGATTTGCAGTATACAACAGAGCTACCCTAACGAGACTGATAGCCATCATGGTAGCATAATTAAAGTCTGCTACTTACTTAATATCCACAGATGCACCACATACGCAGGCCATTGTTTCTTCAGAAAAAGTCAAATATACTTTAAGTTTGCGACTTTTTAAAAGATAAAGTACTTTAAAATCAGCCGGTGGATATATATACTGCCATCCTTTAAAGTTAGAATATAGGCATATAGATGGCCCTCATTATTAATCACCGATGCATAATGAATATGTCGAACAAATATCCGACTTTGAAAATTTTGAAAGTCCGTCTCATGTTTATATTTTTGTCTGGAAAGGTTTACATCCTCAATAACTGTTTAACCATTTCATATTAACGTTTAGGAAATCCTTATAAGGACTTTCCCTTATTCAAAAAGTGACCAATATCTCATATTTTAATGGATTCCTTAGACTTGCAGAATACCTGCTGAAGGCGAAGTAGTAGAAATAAGAGGAGGAAGGCTTGGTCCTCCAGCAGTAGCAGGTGTATAAGATATAGTTGCCGGAGTAAAGGCAGCAGCAGCTGTTGTACCGACTGAGGACACAACTGATGTTGTTGTTGGGAGTCCTTGAGATGTAGTTGAAGTAATAGCAGATACTGTTGGTGTTGTAGGTGCCGTCTGAGTACTTGTCTCTATATAAATAGCAGCAAGTTTGCATGCATATTGACAAATTTTGTGGAATAATTTGTTCTTAATTTCATTGTTTTGGATATATTTTTGAAAGTGGACGACATAAAAGTGTACCATTATGAAAACAATACTAAGAAACCCGTTGGCCACATCGCTCAGCTGAGTTACTTTAGTCCAGCTGTTCTTAAGAAAATTCTTGAAAGATTTTTATATTCCCTTGAAAATTTGTGCCCCCATATTATGGACCCACCAACTCCAAGAGGTCTCTGAATCGACACAATTTCGGGAAGCTTTGGTATCAATATGACTATATGGCCTTGCATTTATAGAGAAAAAATTCTTTTCCTGTATACAAGAATTATATAAATTTTGATCCTGATTTTAACCAACTCTAACTCGGGGTTCATAATTTGATAAAAAAAAATCCATACAACTTGGGAATGTTTGCAAATTAATTATGGTTCCTTAGTTTTTCTTTTGAAGATTTAAAAAAGTATATATATGTAGTTCTATGCCAAGCTTTGATTCTATACTGTGGCCCTTAGCTCTCGCCCCCCCCCCCCCCCCCGGGTGCATTGAGATGGACAGTTTAAAATTAAGATTTCCTCGGGAAGCTTTTAAATAAGTTTCATCTTTCCTGGTCCGTTGGTGCTTGAGAAGATTTTTCCTACATATTTCAATGTAAAAAATTTATCCCTCGCTGTGACCCAACCCTACCCCCAAGATTTATAATCTACAATTATTTCTGAAGCTTTCAAATAAGTTTCATATTTCTTTAGTCCACAGGTTCTTGAGAATAATTTTCCTATATATTTCTATGTAATCCTTTGATCCCTTATTGTGGCGCCATCCTACCGGAGGGGTCCATGATTTCAAAAATATAGAATCTACATCATGCTCGGAAGATTTTTATCTTTCATTTTACTCCATTGGTTCTTGCGAAAAGTTTTAAAGATTTTTTCCTATATATTTCAATGTTAAAGATTTGATCCCTTATTGTGGCCCAACCCTACCCCCAGGGTCCATGATTTGAAAATTACAGTATCAAATTCTCTTGAAGCTTCCACAAAAGTTTCATCTCTCTGTTCCAATCGTTCTTGAAAAGAAGATTTTAATTATTTATTTCTATATATTTCAATGTAAAACTGTCATCCACTATTGTGACCCCACCTTATCCCCAGAGGGCCATGATTTAAGCAATTTAGAATTTACGTTATCTCAGAAAGCTTTCAAATAAGTTTCATCTTTTCTGGTCCAATTGTTCTTGAGAACACGAATTTTGAACATTTTATTATATATTTCAATTTAAACATTTGATCCCTTATTGTGGCCTTACCTTACCACTGGGAGTTATGATTTGAAAAAATTCAGAATTTACACTTCCTCAGGAAGCTTCAATATGAGTTTCTCTTTTCTAGCCCAGTAGTTATAAAGAAGATTTTTAATGATCTAACCATATTTTTGCCTTTTCTTGATTATTTTCTATAAGACCCTTTATTTGAACAATTTAAAATCCTTTTTAACCAAAATGCTTTGTGCCAACTTTGGTTAGAATTGGACCAGTGGTTTTTGGGAAGAAGTCGAAAATGTGAAAAGTTTACAGACGGACTGACAGCTAGACAGACAGACTGACGACGGACAACAGGTGATCAGAACAGCTCCCTTTAGCTTTCAGCTCTGGTTAGCTAAAAAAAGAACAATTTAAAAAGTATTCTATAATAAATAATTCTAACTCCATTTTTTAGGCTCTTGTCTAACATAAAGGATATCCTCATTTGAAATTTCTCTATGCCCTTTACTTCAAAATTTCAAATGACTGCATAAAAGAGAGTCAATTCTCTGGGATAAACGTTTTGACACAAATATACAGTGGTTTGGTCAAACACTATGAAATATATCTTTGATGATTCAATATAGTTAGGATTGAAAAATAATAAGTAAACATTAATCAATCTTGAATTTATCTATCTCATTACTAATTTGAGTAACAGTTGATGAAGCCAAAAAACGTTCTATTTGAAAACAAATATTATGCAAAGTACTAAACTTTTGGCAGATGAACTCACCAGAGGAAGGAGTTGTTATTGATGGAGTTGTAACTGCTGTTGCTGGTGTAGACGGCGGTGTGCCGGTGGTCCCGCTTGGGGTTACACCACTGGGTGTTGGTCCACTGGGAGTTGTGACGCTTAGGGTTGATGTACTTGGTGTCGTTCCGCTTGGTGTTGTAACAATGGGTGTTGAACCACTTGGAGTTGTCCCACCTGTACTCGACACACTTGGTGTTGATCCAGTTGGAGTTGTTTCGATCGGAGTAGATACACTTTGTGTCGTTATTTGGGTCGTTGATGGTGGTGATGTTTGTGGCTGTACACTAGTTGATCCTGTTTAAAATACGTCATTTGACTTTTTTTCCGACTTTGACATCAAGATTTTTGTGTCATGTTTAGTAAATGTAGTGCAGTACATGATCTGGGAAAAGTTCTTCGCGCTTTTACTTCAATTCAAAGCGGTGTTTAAAACCTTATATGTCTTACAAAGTTAAACAGCAAACAAATCTCGAAAATCCTTCAAAGCATCAAAAAATGATTTGTTCTATTATAACCTACATTTTAGCTTATAATTTAATAAGTCACAAAAACATATAATTTATTAATGCAAATGCATATTTAAATTCAAAAATCGTTGCAATGTATTTCTCATATCTGAGTACTTCACAGAGCAGTTTATGAATAATATATGTGATTATTTCTTACCAATCTCAAAGCATGCTCGGAGATCGATTTGGAGTTGATAACCTTTAGCGATATCATTCTTTTCAAGGAGGGTAATAACAATTTGGTCTGCTTCTATCCCACTTGGGAAAAGTAAGGAATTCGAGCCTATTACTTCCTGTAATATAATGACAGCTGTTAGTTATATATGTTAGTTATATATGCAATGATTTTGTTATACTCCTTTGTTTTCATTTTACCATGTTGGAATAAATGGTACATAAAGTAAATGATAATAACCAAAAAGACCTTATTCTTTATATCTATCACTATTCGTCAGCAATTAGTTTAAAATAGTAGAAAAATATTCCAAAAGGAACATGATAGTAACAAATCTGCACGATATATGTATGCATAATCAATCTGTACCTTTGCTGTCCTTGATAAGAATTATCTTTTAATCCATATTTGTAATTGATTAGAAGCGTTTTAAAATATAGTTTTTAAATATTACTACATCAGACGTTTTGTACCATACTATGTAGATTTGTGGACTATCTCTGCTGGGTCTGTATTTCAAAGCTATTCCAGAGGAGACTCAATCAAATTAAAGCACAATTCTAGCTCATATAGACCTCTGGGCTATAATTTGGACCTGTACTTCACTGAAATGCTTGTTGGTAAAAGGCTATTTGTGGCCATGTTTTCTTAAGATAGTAGTTTAAATCTCTGCCCTTTTCAATACAAATATAAAAGTTTCCTCTCCTTATTTTGTCTGCTCTGTAGCTCATGGCCGTGATTAGGAAAATGAATGAGAATATTGACTGGACTATATGAAGTGATATACCGGGTAGTTCATTAAGAAATAAATTTTATCACATGAGAGAGCTTCAACAAAAGTTTTAAAATTTCTTGGCCAGCGTTTCTTGTGACTAAAAAAACAAACCAAAACAAAGCTTTTCCTTTCAAAAATTTAGCTTGGGGGAAAGGAATCAGCCAATCATTCCAATAAATGTGAGATTCATCGGCTTATTTGACCTCAAGGTAAAGTTGTTTGATGTTGCATCCCTTACATTTCATAACCAAAATTTTCTGATAAACTTTGGCTCTAGTAGTTTGTACGTATATTAGTAAAAAAAATTAATTTGAACTTGAAATCCATTTTTAACTTTTACATTTACAAAATTCTTATCGGGATGTTTTCAACCTTCTACCAAGTAATCAAATCAAACCAAAACTGTAGAATGAGTAGCATTTGATAGATCCCAGGGTTCTCTATGGGCCGTTTAACGTGGTGGCCCCGCCACAGTTAAAATATCGGCACCATAGTTCCACCACAGCTAAAATATTAGCGCTACAGTAAGATCATCGTCAATGTTCATCGTCAATGTGTAAATTTATATATCTCAAAATGAACCTCCGAATTATGTACAGTTTTCAGTTTCTAATTTCAAATCGTTCATGCAATTAACTTTAATCAATCGCGAAATGACCGTTTATAAGTGCCCAATGTTGGGTTTGTACAATTAATTATCTTCTTGACCGCGCTGGATCTAAGACATGAATGAAAAGAGATAAGCCATTTTTTTTAATTTCCCGGTAATTGCAGATGAATTTTTTTTAAAATACCAAATTATTACTTAGCTAAAATACCATAGATAACTACGTCCCTAAAATTGCATTGGCACTTCGAGTCAAACATCGCACGTGTATCGTAATAATGTATTGATCACTATTGATATATATATATCCATTAAAATAGTATTTTGTGACTCTAAACTGCTAAAATGTTTCTTTTTAATTTTTTTAATTCACAAGTTTTAAGATACTTCAGTCAATTAAGACCAATAATTGCAAATACATAGATGAAAGCGTGTGACCTTCTAGAATTTCCTCTGCCCTTTAAAGAACACTGTACATAGGTGTATAATTTACCCTTTGTAAACAAATTATTATAATAATTATAAACACTTAAAATTTGTTATAACTGGTACTATTATTTTCAGATTCCATAAGATTTTTTTTTTTATTTATAAGTAAGTGTGTGTGTGTGGGGGGGGGGGGGGGGTCACAATACACATATATAGGGTATACATTTAACAAGGTGTTTATTCGCTATCAATTAATTGTATTTTTTAAATTATATTTATTTTTCAATAAGTCAAATGATTCATACCGCTTGCTGATTAAACGATTGATTCAAAGGACCTGTGTGATTTTCAATTTATTTCGTGTTCTCTTCGTGAATTCAATTTCAAAATTACCGTGAATATTAGAACTTCGCGTAAGTCTTGCGCCAAAGTTAAATTTGAAATGATGGGGAACCCTAGATCATCTCAGCTTATTTAATTTATGTATACATGGCAACACAATTAACCAAAATCTTAAATCGAAGCAAAGAACTTTGATCCTTGCTACGTTTTACTTGTGTGCCAAATTTTATGGAAATTACTCCAAAAGGATAATAGATTTTTTTTTTTAGAAAATACAAGAACACATTCCATATTATTCTATTTTTACTTACCATATTAACAAGGTTCATCGGAATTAAAAATGATGAAAAAAATATATAAATTGTACCTGAACACTATGTTTGGTTGAAATTGGACAAGAATGTGAATGAGGAATAGCATTTTCAAAGATCTTGTCTGAAATTTCTTACATCAGTTACTAAGCTTACATAGCTCATTGTAAAAAAAAAAAAAACAGACCAATAAACTGAATTATGTACTCTGATTTAGTCCACTTGTATATCCGACTTAATTGAAAAGGAACCAAAACTGCAGTAGCACCACTTTTGAAAGAATTCTATAGAAACATTTATTTCTGGTTAACTTTACAATATCAATCATCAAAAGCAAATACCAGTACTTAAAATTAAGTATTTTTGTTAAATCTCCTTGCGTTCTACATTCTATTGAAATAGGACCAATTTTCTGAAAATAGTACTGGTTCCAAAGATTTCACACAAATTATTTTCTTAATCTTTGGCATCACCATTTATTGAAATCATATAAATATTTATCTTTCTGTAGTTTAGGTATATGTAACATATTGTAATTAAGCTAAACTGTAGGGGGACTAGCTTTTTAAAAAATATAGGTAGAAAAATGGACAGATGGAGAGAGGACAGACACCTACCCATTGCCTTAAAGTAGAATTGAAAATGTTAAAAGTTTACAAATTATAGATTAATCAGAATATCAGTAAATTACCTGATTGCTCGGGTCTCTTTAAATATGCTATAATTATGAATTTTATAGCCAAAAGGGAAAAACAATTCCAGTTTACCTTGTATAGGGTTGGTTCAATATCTGTTGACTTCTTTAATGAAACTTCAAATTTTCTAACATTGGTAGATACTCCTAGATTAATGGAACCCAACTGAACATCTCCAGGCAAGTCTATGGTGACCGTAAATGTTGTAATTACTGTTGGTACTATAAGTGGCCCATTTGTTCTGAGTTTGTCTACCTCCGTCTGAAGCGATGGTTCACTCAAAGTTACACTGTCACTTGGTATTATTGCTGAATCAAGCATGCCGTTTACTTCCAGACAAGGGTTCCCCACTGTATTAAAAAAGTCACATGGAGTACTAAACTTTTAGTACAAATGTACATTTGATATCATTTGAATGATACGTGTATTAATCAAATTATAGCTTACATGTATTTTTTTGGTTTGTTTAAAATACCTTATGTACCTAAATTTACGGGGAAAATAAAGGAATTTCTACTTCTTTTCTTTTTCTTATTTTTACTATGCTTCAGGCATACAATAGCATCTTCGTGAAATACAATTTATTTGATACAGTGATGAATTTAATATTGAAATGCTATTTCAAAAAGTGCCTAATGACTGCAATGTGTAAAAAGACAAGTACATATGTCTTTATTTATACTGACTTTTTTTTTAAATAACGATATAAGTATTGCCTTTCTTCATTGTCATATATTTTTAAGAACGGAAGCATTAATATTTCAACGTCAAATTGTCATAGATTTAATCTCATGAATTTACTACTATAACATGAATATTTTATCTTAATCTCGAAATAACGTGTACTGGATAGTAAATCTATAAAACGTAAGAACTAATTTAATTTAAAGACCGGAAGAATTAATATTTCAACGTCAAAGGTCACAGGTTTAATCTCATAAATGCACCATTGTAACATGAATATTTTTGTCAATTCAGAAATAACGTGTGCTGTTAATGTATAAAAAGTAAGATCTACTTATAAATGCAAGAATTACAGCTTCGTCGCAAAAACAAACCTCCGTGAGACAATACAAAATGAGATAAATGAACAAAATCAGTCAACGCGGACGAAGAAATTATGAAAATATTTTCCTTTACATATTCATTCTACTATTAGAAATGTAAAAACTACATCCTTAACTGTAGTTTTGGAATTTTTTAAATCTTAATATATATTACACATTCAAAGATGGTACCTGTGGATGAGATGACACTTGATGTTCCAGAAGTTGGTGTGACACTTGGAGTACCTGTTGATTGTGTGACACTTGGTGTACCCGTCGAGGGTGTTACACTTGGAGTACCAGTTGATGGTGTGACACTTGATGTTCCAGTTGATGGTGTGACACTTGGAGTACCTGTTGATGGTGTGACACTTGGTGTACCTGTGGATGGTGTTACACTTGGTGTTCCAGTAGTTGAGGGTGTAACACTTGGTGTACCCGTCGATGGTGTGACACTTGGCGTTCCAGACGTTGTTGGTGTGACACTCGGAGTACCAGTCGAAGGTGTGACACTGGGAGTGCCAGTTGATGGGGTGACACTTGGTGTTCCAGTTGATGGTGTGACACTTGGTGTTCCAGTTGATGGTGTGACACTTGGAGTACCTGTTGATGGTGTGACACTTGGTGTACCTGTGGATGGTGTTACACTTGGTGTTCCAGTAGTTGAGGGTGTTACACTTGGTGTTCCAGTAGTTGAGGGTGTAACACTTGGCGTTCCAGAGGTTGTTGATGTGACACTCGGAGTACCAGTCGAAGGTGTGACACTGGGAGTGCCAGTTGATGGGGTGACACTTGGTGTTCCAGTTGATGGTGTGACACTTGGTGTTCCAGTTGATGGTGTGACACTTGGAGTACCTGTTGATGGTGTGACACTTGGTGTACCTGTGGATGGTGTTACACTTGGTGTTCCAGTAGTTGAGGGTGTAACACTTGGTGTACCCGTCGATGGTGTGACACTTGGCGTTCCAGAGGTTGTTGGTGTGACACTAGGAGTACCAGTCGAAGGTGTGACACTGGGAGTGCCAGTTGATGGGGTGACACTTGGTGTTCCAGTAGTTGAGGGTGTAACACTTGGTGTACCCGTCGATGGTGTGACACTTGGCGTTCCAGAGGTTGTTGGTGTGACACTAGGAGTACCAGTCGAAGGTGTGACACTGGGAGTGCCAGTTGATGGTGTGACACTTGGTGTTCCAGTTGATGGTGTGACACTTGGTGTTCCAGTTGATGGTGTGACACTTGGAGTACCTGTTGATGGTGTGACACTTGGTGTACCTGTGGATGGTGTTACACTTGGTGTTCCAGTAGTTGAGGGTGTAACACTTGGTGTACCCGTCGATGGTGTGAAACTTGGCGTTCCAGACGTTGTTGGTGTGACACTAGGAGTACCAGTCGAAGGTGTGACACTGGGAGTGCCAGTTGATGGTGTGACACTTGGTGTTCCAGTTGATGGTGTGACACTTGGTGTTCCAGTTGATGGTGTGACACTTGGAGTACCTGTTGATGGTGTGACACTTGGAGTACCTGTTGATGGTGTGACACTTGGTGTTCCAGTAGTTGAGGGTGTAACATTTGGTGTTCCAGTAGTTGAGGGTGTAACACTTGGCGTTCCAGAGGTTGTTGGTGTGACACTCGGAGTACCAGTCGAAGGTGTGACACTGAGAGTGCTAGTTGATGGGGTGACACTTGGTGTTCCAGTTGATGGTGTGACACTTGGTGTTCCAGTTGATGGTGTGACACTTGGTGTTCCAGTTGATGGTGTGACACTTGGAGTACCTGTTGATGGTGTGACACTTGGTGTACCTGTGGATGGTGTTACACTTGGTGTTCCAGTAGTTGAGGGTGTAACACTTGGTGTACCCGTCGAGGGTGTAACACTTGGCGTTCCAGAGGTTGTTGGTGTGACACTAGGAGTACCAGTCGAAGGTGTGACACTGGGAGTGCCAGTTGATGGGGTGACACTTGGTGTTCCAGTTGATGGTGTGACACTTGGTGTTCCAGTTGATGGTGTGACACTTGGAGTACCTGTTGATGGTGTGACACTTGGTGTACCTGTGGATTGTGTTACACTTGGTGTTCCAGTAGTTGAGGGTGTTACACTTGGTGTTCCAGTAGTTGAGGGTGTAACACTTGGTGTACCCGTCGTGGGTGTAACACTTGGCGTTCCAGAGGTTGTTGGTGTGACACTAGGAGTACCAGTCGAAGGTGTGACACTGGGAGTGCCAGTTGATGGGGTGACACTTGGTGTTCCAGTTGATGGTGTGACACTTGGTGTTCCAGTTGATGGTGTGACACTTGGTGTTCCAGTTGATGGTGTGACACTTGGAGTACCTGTTGATGGTGTGACACTTGGTGTACCTGTGGATGGTGTTACACTTGGTGTTCCAGTAGTTGAGGGTGTAACACTTGGTGTGCCCGTCGAGGGTGTAACACTTGGCGTTCCAGAGGTTGTTGGTGTGACGCTAGGAGTACCAGTCGAAGGTGTGACACTGGGAGTGCCAGTTGATGGGGTGACACTCGGAGTTCCAGTTGATGGGGTGACACTCGGTGTTCCAGTTGATGGTGTGACACTTGGAGTACCTGTTGATGGTGTGACACTTGGTGTACCTGTTGATTGTGTGACACTTGGTGTTCCAGTTGATGGTGTGACACTTGGAGTACCAGTTGATGGTGTGACACTTGGTGTACCTGTGGATGGTGTTACACTTGGTGTTCCAGTAGTTGAGGGTGTAACACTTGGTGTACCCGTCGATGGTGTGACACTTGGCGTTCCAGAGGTTGTTGGTGTGACACTAGGAGTACCAGTCGAAGGTGTGACACTGGGAGTGCCAGTTGATGGGGTGACACTTGGTGTTCCAGTTGATGGTGTGACACTTGGTGTTCCAGTTGATGGTGTGACACTTGGAGTACCTGTTGATGGTGTGACACTTGGTGTACCTGTGGATGGTGTTACACTTGGTGTTCCAGTAGTTGAGGGTGTGACACTTGGTGTTCCAGTAGTTGAGGGTGTAACACTTGGTGTGCCCGTCGAGGGTGTAACACTTGGCGTTCCAGAGGTTGTTGGTGTGACGCTAGGAGTACCAGTCGAAGGTGTGACACTGGGAGTGCCAGTTGATGGGGTGACACTCGGAGTTCCAGTTGATGGGGTGACACTTGGTGTTCCTGTTGATGGGGTGACACTTGGAGTACCTGTTGATGGAGTTACACTTGGTGTACCCGTCGATGGTGTGACACTTGGTGTTCCAGTTGATGGTGTGACACTTGGTGTTCCAGTTGATGGTGTTGCACTTGGAGTACCTGTTGATGGTGTGACACTTGGAGTACCTGTTGATGGTGTGACACTTGGTGTACCTGTGGATGGTGTTACACTTGGTGTTCCAGTAGTTGAGGGTGTTACACTTGGTGTACCCGTCGAGGGTGTAACACTTGGCGTTCCAGAGGTTGTTGGTGTGACACTAGGAGTACCAGTCGAAGGTGTGACACTGGGAGTGCCAGTTGATGGGGTGACACTCGGAGTGCCAGTTGATGGGGTGACACTTGGTGTTCCTGTTGATGGGGTGACACTTGGAGTACCTGTTGATGGAGTAACACTTGGTGTACCCGTCGATGGTGTGACACTTGGTGTTCCAGTTGATGGTGTGACACTTGGTGTTCCAGTTGATGGTGTTACACTTGGAGTACCTGTTGATGGTGTGACACTTGGAGTACCTGTTGATGGTGTGACACTTGGTGTACCTGTGGATGGTGTTACACTTGGTGTTCCAGTAGTTGAGGGTGTTACACTTGGTGTACCCGTCGAGGGTGTAACACTTGGCGTTCCAGAGGTTGTTGGTGTGACGCTAGGAGTACCAGTCGAAGGTGTGACACTGGGAGTGCCAGTTGATGGGGTGACACTCGGAGTGCCAGTTGATGGGGTGACACTTGGTGTACCCGTCGATGGTGTGACACTTGGTGTTCCAGTTGATGGTGTGACACTTGGTGTTCCAGTTGATGGTGTTACACTTGGAGTACCTGTTGATGGTGTTACACTTGGAGTACCTGTTGATGGTGTGACACTTGGTGTACCCGTAGATGGTGTAACACTTGGCGTTCCAGAGGTTGTTGGTGTGACACTTGGAGTACCAGTTGACGGTGTGACACTTGGAGTACCTGTTGATGGTGTTACACTTGGTGTACCCGTAGAGGGTGTAACACTTGGCGTTCCAGAGGTTGTTGGTGTGACACTAGGAGTACCAGTCGAAGGTGTGACACTCGGAGTGCCAGTTGATGGTGTGACACTTGGTGTACCTGTTGAAGATATGACAC